TGGAATCAGCGTATACCGTGCTCGGCAACGCATGGGTGAAAAGCTAGCAAAGCGAATCATTACCACGCTTGGTCCTGATGCTATCAAAGATATAGATGTCGTTATTCCTGTGCCTGAAACGTCCAACACCTCCGCCGCCGCTCTTGCTCGGTACTTGGACAAACCCTACTCCCAGGGTTTCGTAAAGAACCGTTATGTTTTCCGGACATTCATCATGCCGGAGCAGAAGGCTCGACAAAAGGGAGTTCGGCGGAAATTGAACGCCATGGTGTCGGAGTTCAAGGACCGAAATGTCCTATTGGTCGACGACAGTATCGTTCGTGGTACTACAAGCAGAGAGATCGTTATGATGGCTAGAGATGCTGGGGCGAAAAGTGTTTTGCTTGCCAGCTGTGCTCCTGAGATAGCGTATGTTTCCTTACCTGCCGTTCAATAATGAAATACTAACAGCTGTATAGCCATCCCCATATCTATGGCATCGATTTAGCCTCTCCACATGAACTCGTGGCTCATGATCGTGATATCAAGGCCATCACAGCTTACATCGGAGCTGATGCCGTCATTTATCAGACTTTAGACGACCTTACTGCTTCCTGTGCCGAAATATGCATTGAAAGCGGTAATGCAGAGCCCGTTAAGTTCGAAGTCGGTGTTTTCAATGGGGTATATACAACTCCTGTCTCAGCAAACTACTTCGAACACCTAGAGAAACTTCGTGGTGAAGGTAGAAAAATCAAGAGAGTCGAAAGCGCCAGAGCTGCTGTCCTCAACGGCGTCGCGAGCCACGAGAATCTCCTCATCGCTTCCAGCAAAGTCGACCTAGATGCGAACGGGAAACCACTTGTTGTTGACACCGTCAGACCAGTAGCAGATGCTCCTGTTGCTAATCCGACTGACTCATCCCTCCAAGCACAGGCGCAGGCGAATAGCCAATCTCAACACCAAAAGTCGACTGACGTCACACCTCATGTCAAGGACAGAATGGACATCAGCATTCATAACCTCGGCGATTACTAACTCATACATATCCCAACCAAACTCGGCTGATACCTCTCGTTGACAGAGCTTATTTCCATTATGCCTCCCGCTCTCTTTGTCTCCTTTTCCCTCTTTCGTCTCATAGAGCCATGATTTGAACGTTTGAATGACCATGAATAAACATAAAGACCAACCGCGAGGTTGCCACATTCTTTTACCCTTTCTAGCCTTTCCCCAGTCTTCAGAGGGCAGTACAGGACATCCGGCTGCCAATATCACTTCTACTCCTGACCCCGATCCCGATTCAACTCACTGATCAAAATCAAATGTGGATGAAGAGAGATGAAATAAAAGTACAGTAACGCATAGGTACATACTTGCTTAGTGTAGGTAGCAAAGCTCAGCACAAATGCAAAAAACACCATTACATCTTTTATCTCTTTTTCTGCTTCTCCTTGCTAGCAGTTCAGGACAAGTTTTTAGCTTTATTTGCCACATGGCTGACCCCTATCACTCTGGGATACATCACTCATATGATATTTTATTTTGTATCTTATTCAGTATAGTATACTCCTATAACAAAAGAAGGTCATACTATAGAATTATATGAAACACTTTTTTTGCACGTTCCTCTGTTGTAAGCTTGTACCAAAGACTGAACCACGGGTCTATGAAGGTCAGTCCCGCTATCAAACTCAACAGTGGTAGGGACAGAATTTATATGGTTTCTTACATCATAGACTGGTAATATATAAGCAATTTTTTATCTGTCAACACCCAATCTTTTCCTTCCGTCTTAATGAATACTCCTGATTCCTAGTTTAATCACTATCTTGCAAAAGGCTTCAATCACTGCCTTCACGCAGTAAAATGACAGGTGTCAGTAGAACATAGCCTCTTTATCCTTGAAATTTCTTTCAAACCTTCCTGGGTGCATCGTTCGATTTTCTTAGGCAAAGACTTGATTTAAATATTCGTTTGAAGGTGGTGTGGGAAAAAAGCAGCGGAAAGAACAGAGACACGAGCAGCAGTGTATCAACATCCGATACATCCAGGCCAGCTTTTCGCTGAGTTATACCTATCTACCCAATGCGTACCTAAAAAGCTCCTCTCTATTCGTCAATATGGCCAGCAACAGGAGCAAGATTGCCCCTTTACCCCAAGAGGAGCCACTTATTCCTAAGAATGATAACCTCGCAGCACCTCAGGACCACCATGACCAGTATTTAGATGGCTCATCAACATATTATACGGAGCCTAGATATATAACAAGACAACTAAAGAGACACGCCATAGCTGGTTCTTCTTCTGTGTCTTCCGCAAAGCGCTCAAAAGTGAAAAGGGAGAAAGGGAAGCCGGTTCCAGATATCGACGAATTACCGCATAATCTAGGTAAAATTGAGACTCTCGATGCTGTTGTAGTGGGTTCAGCGCAGGACTTTGCTGTTCCCATGGTTCCTCAGCTACATTCAATAGACAGAAGCTCCTCCCCAACCCCTTACGAAGTAGCAACTTCCAGGCCTCGTCGAAACCGTGGCTCCAAAAATCCATACGGCCTAACACCAGGGGTTAGCCCCTTTCCAGACTGGAAACGCCCTACAGTAGCAGAGTGTGAGGAGGTTAACAGGCTACTTTCCTCAATTCATGGAGAAGTCATAGCGCCCAAGGCAATACCACCGCCTTCATTGACTGTATCGGGTTGTGGAGAAGTGCCTAGTATCCTCGATGCTTTGATTCGGACACTTCTTAGCGGTGCAACTACCGGCAATAATTCTGCCATGGCGTTCCAGGGCCTGGTGCGCAAGTTCGGTATCCTTAAAGAGGGCATCGGGAAAGGAAGTGTTGACTGGAATAAGGTCCGTGAAGCTCCAGTGGAAGACATCTACGAATCGATGAAATGTGGTGGACTCGGAGTCGCAAAGAGCAAATATATCAAACAGATCCTTGAAATGGTATATGAAGAGAATAAAGCTCGGAGAGACGCACTGGTTGAATCGAAGACTGGAAAGGAGCTTGATCTCACACGAGCCCCGGGTTTCAGAAACGAGACTGAGGAGCAGAAGGACAATGAGATCGCCATGACGAACGAGAATGTGCTCTCCCTTAATCACCTTCATTCTCTATCAAAGGATGAAGCTATGCTAGAATTCGTCAAATATCCAGGCATCGGCGTCAAGACAGCCGCCTGTGTCGTACTATTTTGCCTTCAACGTCCTTGCTTTGCTGTTGACACACATGTTTTCCGCCTTAGCAAGTGGCTTGGTTGGATTCCAACGGATAAAGTCAACGAGATCACTGCCTTCAGCCACCTCGAGGTGAAGATTCCGGATCATCTGAAGTATTCGCTGCATCAGTTGTTCATACTCCATGGTAAGGCATGTCCTCGATGCCGTGGCATCACAACAGAGAATAGCCAGGGGTGGGAGGCTGGCTGCATCATAGACCATCTTGTACAGCGGACTGGGAAGAGAAAAGGTGGTCCACTAAAGCAGACAAAGCTCGGCTTCCCAGTGAACAAGCCTACGTAGAAGTCTGTATACGGTGGTAAAATAGATCATGCACAGGGGAGATCAACATAAGGATGAAATATTTCTCGCCTTCCGTAACACACCTGAATGGGGCTGTTGGACTTGGATCCTAAATTAATGGCTTATATGACCCGAGCCGTAGAGGCATCTTGTGGGTTGGGTAAGGATATCCAAGAACTCTTCTACCCACCGGTTGACACCTAGCTAGGCGTTCCATTGACTACCGTGCCACCGCGATTGTCGCAAGCAACACCTATCTTGCTTGAAATGTATATGGTAGATACATGTACCCAATTATATCGGCAAGGTTTCCGGAGTGCAGAAGTATCAAATCGATTTGTTATGAAGCACCTTCAAAGCTCGTCCAAGCCCGAAGCCTGGGGTCAGTAAACCAGCCTAGAATATCGAACTACCAGTTCAAGCCATCAAGTCCGGGAACACAGGGCCAGTCAGTATATATTGACGGAAGAAATGAGCGAATGGACAACATAGAAAAATCCAGGCCGAATTTAGTGCGTTTCTTCTCGAGGGTATATTTGTGACTGTGCTCTCGAAAAAAACGTTAAATATGAATTCTAGATCATTCATATAATCGGGGAATCTATGCAAAACATAGAATCAAGCCTCATAACAGTCAAATTCACAGCTGTGTTTTGATATAGAAGTGCGTAACACTTGGGCACTGCTGGAGTGGAGTTTTTGGACATAGTAAAGGCGCAAAACATAGCCAGCTCTGATTTGGTCTAAATAGTAATCTCCAATGAGATATACCTGGAGAATCACCGCGCATTGTCGTATGCTGGTGCTCGTTGCGATCTGTACCCTTTGAGAGTCGTGAACTAGTGAGTCTTGGCATCAACACCACCTTGCAAGCTCCTTTTGAATGCTCAAGGGCGAATCTCAACATTTCAACGCATTCCCGCCACGATTCCAACAGGGCCGGCCAAGGGGATGGATCACCTCAAGCTAGGCTATGAAACGGTGCTGAACTGCACTCTCACCCAATTGCTTACCTCTGCCGTGTTAATTCTCCCGACTCTCCTTGTTCTGAAGCTCTTGGTTTCTTCTCTGTTCTCCCAAGATGAACGGCCGGTTACATTTGACGTGCCCCTACCCAGAGAACTGAGTCCCGAATGGAGAGGTGTTGCCTGGGAAGATATCAGTAAAGAGTCCCGGGAGATATTGACCTCCCAAAGTACAACTGGAGTAAGTCACTCGCATTTGTTCGATTAATCAGCTGTTCCTGACGCGGCCACGTTCCCAATAGACGTTCAGCGAAAAGAAAATTCTGAGTTATTGCCCTGCTGATGGACGTTTGCTGGGAGACGAGAATGGTATAATACCAGCTACGGCAGAGGATATCGATAGAGCGTTCAAACGGGCTTCAGCTGCATATCTGCAATGGAGGGAAACAAGCTTTGCGGAACGCAGAAGAGTGCTAAGGACACTACTGAAGTAAGAAAATATATCGACGACGCATTTGGACAGACCTGCAGGTACAGACTATATGTACTAATTGTTCATTTGCTCAGGTATATCCTTGAACACCAGAATGAAATCGCAACCGCCTGCTGCCTCGACTCCGGTAAAACAAAAGTGGACGCTTGCTTTGGAGATATAATGGTTACGGCTGATAAATTAAAATGGACAATCGACCATGGTGAAAAGTCGCTACAGACGGACCGTCGCCCAACGAATCTACTTATGATGTATAAGAAAAACACTGTACGATATGAGCCCCTCGGCGTTGTGGGGGCTTGCGTGTCTTGGAACTATCCATTCCACAATCTGATTTCGCCGGTTATCAGTGCCATATTTGCCGGAAATGCCATCATTGTTAAACCATCTGAGCACACAGCATGGTCATCGGTCTTCCTATGCGATATCATACAACGCGCAGTTGTCAGCTGTGGCCATCCAAAGGATCTTGTCCAGACCGTCATCTGCCTACCACAGCATGCCGATGCAATGACATCTCACCCGTTGCTGCGGCATCTCATTTTCATTGGATCAAAACCTGTTGCCCATGAAGTTTGCAAGTCAGCTGCAAAGGCTCTGATTCCGGTCACTGTGGAGCTAGGTGGAAAGGATCCCGCCATTATCCTCGATGACCCTAAAACCAAAGGTGACCTCCCCAGTATTGCCTCCATTATGATGAGGGCGGTGTTTCAATCTGCTGGCCAGAATTGCATTGGGACCGAGAGAATAATTGCACTTCCCAATGTATACGACGAGCTGCTTGAAATTGTCACCCCTCGTATCAAAGCGCTTCGCCTTGGATCTGCCCTCTTAGACGGGAAGGGTGATCTAAAAGCGCAGAAACTTCCTCACACTCCCGACGTTGGTGCTCAAATATCCAGCAGATCATTTGACCGTCTTGAAAGCCTGATATCCGAGGCAGTACGAGACGGAGCTAGGTTGATACATGGAGGGAAAAGATACAACCATCCCGACCACCCCCATGGTCATTACTTTATGCCAACACTACTTGCCGACGTAACTACTGAAATGAAGATTGCCCAGACAGAGTTATTCGCACCCGTCTTTGTTATGATGCGAGCTAAAACGGTAGACGACGCTATTTCCATCGCAAACTCTATCAAGTATGCCCTTGGCTCCAGCGTCTTTGGACATAACAGGGCAGATGTCGAAAGGTGTATCTCCCACCTCGATGCGGGAATGGTTGCAGTCAATGACTTTGCTACCTTCTATGCCGTTGGCCTGCCTTTTGGTGGTGTAAAGGATAGCGGTTATGGAAGATTTGGTGGCGCCGAGGGCCTCCGAAACCTAAGCAACCTTAAGGCCATTTGCGAAGACAGGACATTCATCCAGACTAAAATCCCACCGCGACTAGACTATCCGATTCAGAAGGGACAAGGCAGAGGGGAGGATGGTGAAGCTGCATGGAATATGTGCCAGGGAGTAGTGGAAACTGGATACCAGCCATCTCTCTCTGGAAAGATAAGTGGAGTACGGAAAATTTTGGGCAATATGTAAGTCTAGTTCCTGGATTATGAAAGCATCATTGCTGCAATTATAGTTGTTATACGAGTAAATGAAATGAACGACACAGAATACAATCATACATTAAATCGTCAAACGGACTGCGGGGTATCGTTGTCGCAATCCTATTCCTCAAAGCAATACTAGCAACAGATGGTACAAAAATAGCTACCATTGAAAGCCTTCCTAAAAGAGACCACCCTTTCCGTTTCCTCCTAGCCCGCTCACGGAGTTTGTATAGGTACACTTTAGACGGAACTCATCACGGGTCTTCTCGTATGATGATGCCCCCCGACTCTCGATCGCCGGCCTGAACACCAACCGCAGGTTAAGAAAGAAATTATAGCGTGGAGGATGGAAATTGTTCCGTTCACGATTGCCATCAACACGCTCCCGATAGCATTAACGATGGTCATCAGAGCGCGCCCAATTGCGTGGAATGCGCCCACGATCTAAGTGTAGGAAGTTAGACGCATTATCTCAGGTTATCTTTAGAGCGTCATACTCACACATGATACGACGGCACCCATGGTTAGCAATAAGATGGCTTTTTTTTTTTTTCTGCTGCAGAGGAAAGCTTGGATACCCAGTGGTGTTTGGTTTCTGGTAATGTATATTGGTTTCTTGGTTCTTCAAGTATAGTATTGGTAGTTTATTTTATTTTTAAGAATACACGATCTAGCGAGGGGTAAGGGCAGGTTATATACTCACCAACATTACTTCTATCATGTTCTTCCAATCACTGTATGTTTGAGATATACGAGTTCGGTGACGTAGGGAGCGCAACGCTTCCTAGAATCCTGCCTTGATTCCTCACAAAAGCGATGCAAGATGATGATTTTCTGGCCCTGCACCTGTCAGTGACGTCATAACGGACCCACCACGTGGAAATAAGGTTAGCGTGCTGACCAAGGTAACCTTAACTCCAGGTTTTGATGCCTCAACGAGATGAAACTTGGAGGGCTGGAGAGGCTCTTTATTTATATCGTCTACTGCTTGACCCTTTCGTATCAAATGCCACGCTTCTACCATCGTCTATACAGTCATGAAGAGTGACCACCATCGGCTCTGTATATAATAGTGCGGATTCTATAGGACAAGGAGATAGGAAGGATATGTTTCCGTCAAGGTCTCTATCAGCGTACGGAGTAGACATTCCTACATACATAAGTTCGTTTGGATAAGCTATGCGGGCTTGGCAGGCCGATTCAACGGCGAGCTCCTTTCATTCCTTAGTAAGGCTTAGCTAATAAGACATAACTCAACCAGGCGTAGATCGAGCAAAGTAAATGCCCTGGAAAAGTCCAAATGTGATAGACATGACGACAACTCGCCTTCACCTGTCAACTAGTATTAGCGACTACCTTGATATGCGCGATTGAGATTGGAATTACATCACTCCAAGTGATTTCACTGTTCAGTTCCCAGTGTGAAAGGATTCATAAGTTTGAAATTCTATCGAAAACCCCTATATTTCTCACAGTAGGCATTAATTTGTCTTGAGCGCTATCCGCGAAATGCAGGAACTTCAAAGTAATTTAAGACGATGATTTGATCGAAAAAGGATACACCAATTTGACCAAACTACCGCATACTCCCGTCCCAGCGAACGAGAGTAAAAACGCAAGAACACAAAATCAGCAAGGAGCACAATCAATAGCTCCGAGAAATAAAGTAGACGCCCAAAAATAGGTTTCAATCCACCCTGGGGTGAGAAAAACCTAAGGTCGAGCAAGCTGCTATGGAACAACACGAACAGCCTCTAGAAATAAAGGCAAGAATTAAGGGAAGAGGAGCCCAAGTTGAATAGTGTACGACCCAAAAACCCCCTGAGTACTCAAGGTGAATAGCCATACGGAACTACTCGCTGCAGATTCCTTCTCCACAAGATATAAATAGGAAGCCATTCCCCTTCCTCAGAATAGGATAATTCTGCTTAGGTTGGCAAATTTGACTCTTCTAAGTCACGCCAATCTGCATGGAGTGTAGACAGGACATGAACTTTGATTTGTGGTGTATCACCACCGTATATATATCCCCAGAGCCCACAGTGAACCAACATTCGTTTGCCGGTTTGAAGTGTTTGTTGGCCGGCGTACCCTTGGCAAAGGAATGCCAGAGAAGAAGATTCTCGCATGGTTCCAGTCCGAGAGGAACTTTGAATCCATGAAGATTCGGACATCATCATCCGTTCGTATTGCTGTGAAAGTTCTGAATCTGAATATACTCTTATTTCCCTCTCTGCTGTCTCTTTTTTATTCTGTTTGTTGCGGTAGCTGGTGCTTTTTCCACGCGTTTAGCACCGACCTTCTTTTGCCGTTGCTTTTTAGCAATGCGTTGACTTCTTCTAGGTAACCCTCGTTTTCGTGTTCCTGTTCGGTATTAGTATGATATTCAAACGACCAGAGAAGTCCAAAACTCAGGTTTTGTGGACAGATTTTAAGAGAAATAAGTTACACTACTAGCACGTACCATTTTGTGATGGGGATTTCCGTAACTTCTTCAATATCCATGGAAGCACGTTTATTATAAAAGTATATCGGTCCTCTTCACTAGCCTCTTTCCCTATAAAGTTGAGTAAAAACGGCTGTAGTCGTGGTGGCAGGAGTTTTGTAAGCTCAAAATATATTCCGTTCACGGTGGTAGTGGCTTGTTGTGAGAGCTTTTGGGCGGTCTGAGAGACGGTAAAATGTATGCGAGGCTCTAGGTCCCTGGTGTCCTTGGTCGGTCCAGAGCTAATGTTTTTCGAGACCACTTCTTCTGCCAGACGTTGGAATGTCGTCTTCGAGAGAGTGTTTTGGAGAGACGTGTTGCAGCGTCCTGAGAGCTCTGCTAGGAGCGTGTCATTCTTTTGTGGAAGGTTGTATTGAGTCAATTCCGGGTCCCGTGGAGCCGTATACGGCGGTGTTAGCGGTCTTTGGGTCAGCATAATGTCAACAGTAGTCGTTAACGGATATCGAATAACCGTTGTCGATGCTGATGTTGTCGTTCTTGTTCTTCCTGTCTTTGCAAGTTATGAAAGGAGAAGTTGTCGACACGAATGAGTCACGTGGCTCGTCCCCGCGTCGCGCTTATTCAGAATTCCAATAAGTTTGGCGAACGACAAGATACATGTCTTCAGCTTCAGAGCAAAAGGGGAATTCTTAACAAATGCAGCGTCACACATTTTTTTGAAAGATGAAGTATTAGTTTTATATGATATATTTATTGTCGGGAGGTGCCTTTATTGTTGGTCATGGCATACCCGTCTCCCGAACCCGAAGACACCAAACCAGAGGCAGAGGAACACCATACACGCGTTATCCTACTCCCTATCTCCACATCAGCCGTGGAATCTTTGAGACTCCCTGGAAATCGAGATTTTGTTGGACCGATTCCACTAACTGGGCTGCCTATTGACCCATTGCTCACACGTGGGAAAGATAAAGTGCTCGCATTCCGGCTATACGAAAATCTAGATCGTCCATACTTCGTCATCGGAAGTGATAAATCATGCCAAATACAACTTCAAACTACAACAGATGAATGCTGGGTTAATATACGACATTGCCTGTTTATTACGATACCCGATGATAAAGACGATGCAATTCTTCTTCGCAATTCGTCCACCTCTCGCTTTGTCCTCCGGGATATTCTCCATAGGCAAGATGATGGGGAGGAGATATTACCTGGCGATCGACTGAGGATACGACCTGGCCTTATGCATGTAACTTTTGGAGCTGGTCTCGAGTTTTTACTTAAGGTCCTTCCTAGTAGTACCTCGAATACCCGCTCCCCAGTCTCTTCCGGTATTTGCGAGTTGCTAAGCAGACCGGCAATTACGGCCAAATCGACCACCCTTCGGCGAAAGAAAGCAGCCAACAGAGATCTAACCGATGCCCTTCACTCGAACAAACGGATCAAATCTGAGAACTTTCCTCTAAAAAGCGTTCAATGTGAACCACGGCCCACAATGCTGGATCTTGTTGCCGAGACTGGGTTAACACGCGTTTTTAAGCTCCAGCGGTGTGGACGTGTTGTTGCTGCGAAGGTGTGCAGAAAGCCAGATATAGAGGATGCGGTGTACATGTGGGAAAATGAGAGGAAAGTTTTGCAGTCTTTGAAACATGTATGTTCTACGACCTCTCCTACTGTCTAATGTCTCCATTTCCTTCTAACTCACGCGACTAGCGTAACATTGCACAGCTCCTCGATTTCCAGGCTACTAACCTTACCCTATTCCTTGAGTATATTGAGGGATTGGATCTTTCCCAGTACGCTGATGGTGACAGATTTTCAATAATCAAGGAGGAGATGCAACTACAAGTCTGGATAGACATCAGTAGTGCCCTCAAGTATATTCATGAAAGGGGAATTATACATCATGATATAAAACCTAATAATATTATACTTGGAGGCCATAAGCGAGGAGCTGTTCTCTGTGATTTTGGCCTTTCCACCCTTGAGCATCGCTATAGCGACGGAGGGTCGACCTCCTATGTTCCACCCGAATTACTCCTAAAACAGAGAGGTAAACCAAGCGACATATGGGCTTTTGGCATTACCATGCTCTTTGTTTTCAGGCATATACAGCTACCTTCTAACGGTTGGCCTATTCGAAAGATCATGGAGGATTTGAAAGTCCGGAAGAAATTCATGGATTGGTGGGATCGCATTGATACCCTACGAAAGAAACTTCCTCGACGAATGACCGCTCTTCGGCAAATGCTGACTCCCGATCCTCAACGCCGGATTTCAGCTTCTACCCTGTGCGACGCCTTGAATAAACAGAGAATAGCTGCCGTCGCAGCAGCAGCAACAGCAACAGAAACAACAACAATGACAACAACAAAGAAGATTAAAATGAAGAAGCCCTATGTACTTAAGCGCTGACGAGTTGCCGGAGACTACTTCGTGTGCATGCACGAAGAACCAACTAGATCCAGCATTATAAATTGCAGAGGGGCTAATTGAACACGAGTATCTTTCGGCAGGACACAAAGTGCCAGATACACAAAGACCGGTATGTGGGACAAAGTCAACTGTTATACTGACAGTATGCTAATTTTTATCTGTGTATGCAGTGCCTGGAAATACATGGAATTACGTCTTGTCTAGTTGTGCCCTTCATGAATCTCCTTGAACGTCCACTTGGAGAGACACCCTTCTTAATGGGTAGAAGTAAATGTGAGGCTTCCTATGACTATCGGGCTGACTTCTTCGAATTCTAATCTCGATCCCCGCCAACTTCCCTCCTCCCACCAATCTACCGACCCATCTTGTGGTTCAAATTAGCCCATATATAACATGTAATTTGGGGCCGGGAGCCTTACCCAGAACCGCTTCATAAATGGCGGCATCCACCACTACAGGCACAGCAGGCAACGTTACATTCTGGAAAGGGCATAATGTTAATTATTATGCCACAGGATTGTACTGTGTGATCTACTTACTGCCATATCCACAGCAGGGAATTGCGCGTGATTTGTCTGCGCACCACTGTGCACAGTTGTTAATTTGTCTGGTCCGGTATAAGTTTTAAGCTCGAAAAACTTACGAAAAATATATTTGGATTGCAGCAGTAATTCTCGCCTCTGGCTACTTTAGTACCCTGCCCACTCAATAAAGCAGGGCTAAAGGCGGGTGATGCGAGAACTAGCAACGGGGACAAAAGTACGATTGGAATCTTCATCGGTGATAGTCAGTCTCATTAGTTAGCAGACTTGGAATTTTATTTAGAGAACAGGAAAGGGGAACCCCTTTATAAGTCTTTCAATTGAATGATAATATGGTGAATTATCTCAATATTATATGCATATTCAATTAGAGCGGCGGATATTAATAGTTACGAGTTTCCAAATCCGGCATTTTGCTTAGTACGCGAGCAGCTTCGAACTGCAACTAACGAAGAGTCAGTACAATGAACATACATCGCACGAAACCGTGGAATAATCCAAAACAGTGAATAACATTCTTTGTAACATGATATACGGAGTACATAGGCATCTATCAAAGCCCTTTATATTCATTCACCTAGCCGGATATTAGTCAGTGGGATATTTATCTTTCACGTGATAATTAACTAGTTATGGGGAGTCAGTGACTGATTGCTGATTTAAGCGCTGGAGGGCGCTAACTAAATTTTGCGCAAGCGCCGAAGCGCATCCGAATACAACTTCCTATTTTCAAAGAAAGTGATAATTTGGAGGACCAAGGCATGAGTCTGCCGGTTAGGGGCACGAGAACATTCCATTATGCAGTTCAGTGACTGTTCCATGACGCCAGTGAGAGTCCGTGGAAAAAAGCGACATCGTAAAGATGTTAGCCAGGGCACTAGGGAAAAACGCCCAAGGCAAACTTCAACAAGAGCTAGCACCAATTATACCCATTATTCACATGTACACTCAGACGGTACAATCATCAAACCAAAGCTCCGGACGCAAAGTGCCATCCCTTCAAGAATTTCCTTACAAACACTGCCTATGGAAATTCTGCAGCACATATTTTTCGACTGCCTGGAAATAAATCTACTCCGTGTGTTTCCGCAACTTGCATGTGCGATGTGCAACAAGCGCATATATTCCTGTATAACTATGCTTGCCATCTGGGAAGAACCAAGCCCAATCTATCATACGCTTGAATCAATGGATGAACGGGCAGGGACCTGCTTGGAACGTACACAGGGAAAAATATTGAAAGCGTTCCGTCCAGTTGGGTATCGATATCTATCCACAATAGAAAAGGCGAGGCTACAATCCCAAATTCTCAATTGTCGGTGGGCGACTCTTGAACTTATCAGCTCTTGTGTTGTTAAATGTGCCGGGCTGGAGCAACTTCTAGAAACTCGTGATGACAACCCGCAGATGCATGAGCCTGATTTGATTCGCATTTTAAATTCACGAGAAAACACGTTACTGAGGTCCTATTTACGGATTGCCAGCGTTAGGAACAACCGCAGTCTATGGTGGTCGCTGAACTTTCATGTTAAGGGAAATTTCGACCACCATGTGCTATTTCGAAACGTTGCGTGCATCTTCTCCATTCCAGAAAAAGCAATAGACAAGAGGCCGTGGTCGCCCCGAAAAGTGGAATTGTTCAAGTTACTTCGCCTCTTGCTCTACCAAGGAACCAGCCTAGCTCCCAGTCAGCCATATTCCCGAGAAGTGCTCCATGCAGGTGTGCATCAAGCTATTATTGAAAATAATTCAAGTATGGTAGAACGGCTTCTTGAATTAGATGAGTATTGTGTTAGTTCCGAGGCGTTCTTGTTCAACGGTAGACAGAAGAATGCCGGCTACGAGATCCCATCCGAACATTTCCTTACTGCCATTCGCCATTCCACAACTCTGGATATGATGAAAACATTAGTTCGTGCAAGCGCGGAGTCACTTCCATTTGACAATTCTGAAATTACCGAATGGGCGCTTGAATGTGAGAAGTCATCCTCTCCATTTTGCGAATGGCTCTTAGAGATTATGGTTCAGCTTCCTTACCAGAGGCGCCACTCCTCGGAACAGATGTTTATCTGTGGTATGCTCAACTTGTCCGGCTTTAATTGGAACCTGCCACCGGTGGGCGCGGGGCGGCTCCGTTATGTGACAAATGACCCTGCCTATAGGCCGTACGTAGTAGCATGGTCGGAGGAGCCATATCCGTGGCCTGCAGACCTGTTTAGTTACACGGACAAAGCTCCCATAGATCTTAGCGTTCTGCAACACTCGAAGTCATGAAATTACGTTGTTTCTACTACACTTGCAGTCACGTAATACTTATTCATAATACCAACATATATTTTTAGGGAATCCAGTGACTCATTTTATTCTCAGGTAGTGACTTGTTGGATGCGTTTCTTAACGCAAGTCATGCTACGTTTTGACACAAGTTTTCCAACAGTTACGATCCGGTACAGGAATATCTTTCCATCAACACCATGATAGATGCATCATCCCGGGGAATGTTATCCTTTCTCTTATCAAATAATAGCTGCAAAAAAGGATCTTTGTTTGGCTCTGCATGCCTGGCGGCGACCCTGAAATGATTATGGCTCACTGGCCAAGGATAGGGATACCTGTATTGTTTGCCACATATATGTAAGCTCAGCAAGCATCTAAAAACATCGAGTTCGCGATCCTCGATGACTTTCCTCAACACTGCTTTTGACCTATCGGGAGGCCAACCGCCGTCTATATAGGCATCTGACGAGAGGAGGGTAAGGAGTTCTAGTTTGTCTTCCCTCCAAGGAGGTGTAAGAAGTCTATCTGGCATTCTGCATGGCTCTGCTGGATAAGGAGGAGCACAGGGAAGTCGGAATATATCGATTTCTTGAAACACAGGGTTGAGGTCTCGAATTTGGAATGCACCGAAACCGAACCATATTGCAATCTTGCATTGTTGGTCATTTTCCAGGCTATGTGCTCGTATCACCAAGTCTCCCTTTCCGCGTTTTCCGACAGGCGTAGGATCGAATCTGTTTATATCTTGCCAATATTGATCCAAGTTTAAGAGAATATCTTGGTCTTCGTCCGGGGATATCACAAAATGCGAGCGTTTCTCTCTGATAACATGCTCGACATATTCTCTCTGGCATTTTCGAAGCAACGAAGCCGTGAGCCACCGGCACCTGAGGATCTCGGTTTGGATCTTTGCTCTCTCAAGGTGATTGAAGTAAAAGAAATCGAGGGGGAGGAAATGGTGAGATCCATAGATATTATCGAATCTTGACGAGCGGTTGCAGCTGCTGAATGCAAGACGGATAAGCCAGGTGTATAATATCGACGATGATAGAGTGTGAGCAATGTGTATTGAGGCGCGAGGAAAGTTGAATTCAAGGCATTGGAAGAATATTTTATGCACCAGCTCGGCGGGCAACGACTCTATGGGTGACCTTCGCCTGGATTTTATTTCCAGGCGACTTGGGAAATTCATTGACATCAGGTGCGTTGTTGAATTTGATCAGTCTCGTGTGTCTCCGAAGAAAAGGGGCTCGAAGTTAGGTTTCGTGTTTTCTCCTTTACCACTTATCCTCCTCCCAGATTAGCCGGGATAGAAGTGATCGATGCCGTTCCTGTGCCGTCCTTGCGCCTTTTAAGTGAGAAAAATTCTCTGCAGTATGCGGATTTGGCACGGAGACCAAGCGTTGGAGGGCGTTTCGATACCAGCTGGCCATTTACATATAGCAATACCACCGCATCAGCAGTGCATGTTTTGCATTCCCACTCTAGGCTCCATCGATAAACACGAGAAATGCACTATGCGAGTAGGTGGTTTATTGCATTAGTTCGCTAGAGTCGGGAGAAATCGTGAGACTGGATAGGAAGAAAAGCCATCGAGGAGGCAAACATCGATATAATAGGAGGCCGGACTGCTCTAGCATGTCCATGGCTTCGTGCTAACTTGTTGCCGAAGACAGACACAACATGGGGTATGGAGCATTATCCCAACTCGGCATATTAATCAGGGGAAAAAGCAAAGCAACCACCATGCTTAATCCTTGGTATTCACTGTCTATTGACATCTGGCATCTTGTGTCCGGGCCCTGCGGGCGGAGTGCTGCAACAATGCCGGCGCTCATATCTGCCACTGGATATCCCGGCCGGTAGACATGCGAGTATCTCCTATATCAGACACTGAATAACAACAAACCTGATCCGGGGGTCCGGAGGGCCCGGAGCCAATTGATAGTGCCTGTTCAACAGTCCTGCGATGCCCATTGTTGTATCTGAGCCTGGCTGTCGGGTTGTTTGCTTCTGGTCGTGCAGAAACCCCCTCATTTTTTTATATTTTTTTTTTTTTGGCCCTGGATGTCAGCATGAAGATGGCTGGGGGAGGGTTATGCGATGCGGTTACGGAGTGGTTGGTTCGCTGCGCATCGTTTTATCTTTGACTGGCTAGTTCGACTTGGTTGGCTACATTGATAGATTTTATGAACAGCGGCGAGGATGTTAATGCAGCCTCATAAGTCCAGAAGTAAGATAACTAAACATGACAGTTGCACAAGCGGGAAAACGAATGTAAAAAGGAACATGCTTCTATTTGAAACTCTCGGTTCTATACAGCTGTGGTTGATTGTACTCTCCAGGCAGCAGTAGGATGCTGGCGAAAAGGCGTTTCAGGCCACAGAATACCAAAAATACATAGAAAATCACGGATACAAGCTGTGGCAACGGCTTGGTAGCAGTGTGCGGTTTTACATGACAGCTAAGTCGCCGTATTTCTCCTGTTCAGCGTAAAGGTATCAGTAATCATATTAACACATTCGTATATGCGGCACCCCGGCTGATATAATGTGCGAAGGACATGAGAAGGGAAGTACTGACCTTGTAGCCTGGTGGCATCCAGATACCCTTGGATACGAGCTGAGCGGTCTTGCGGTCGATTTCTGGGGCGGCAGCGGCAACATCGTCCTGAATTGTAGCGATAATACCATTAGCATCGGCATTTTATGTACGTATTCATGCGAAGCTCCGCCAATCTGCTCAGCGACTGACGAATTTCGAATATGGAAGTAATTCCGGCCATAATTGGAAATTAGAGGTGGGCAAAATTGATGACAGACACATTTGGTACAAATGCAACGAGATTGGGATATAGGAAGAACATACAACTGTGAGGTCCTCGAATGGTCTAGCGGACTCGATGTTGTCCAAGGTCTGTGACAGAGACTCCAATTCCATCTCGACCTTGCCCTTGGTCTCCTCGGCGTTCTTGACGGCCTGAGCCTCAAAGGCCTCGATGGCCTTCAACTGTCGGTTGACATCGTAGGTGACTGGCTTGAAGTTCTTGAAATGTTGCTCGATCTCATCGACAATGGCCTGGTTCTTCAACACCTTGCGGTAGTGGGCGAAGTCGACGGTCTGGGGCGCTTCGGACAGGACTTGAACCTTGCGGCGGGCGTCGTCGTTACGCTTCTTGAAGGCCTGGAGAGAGGCAGCGGTTTGACCGCGGAGTCCAAGGCTCTGGGCTACTTTGGCCCAATCGAGTTTGAGAGCAGCGCTCCGCTGATAAACTGCATGTTAGCCGGCTATATCGACTCAATGAAGAGAATAACGGTCGAGAATAGGTGAATTATCTCGGGAGAAGGGAGGGCGACGTACTGTAGCTGCCATTGTGACCGTGGGTGTGGTGTGTCTAGATACTGTCGAGGCGTGCAGTTTCAACTTCGTCGTTCTTTTCTCCTGCTTGTGCCGATGAAGTTCAGATGTTTGGCAAAAGTTGGTCACGTGGGAGATCACATGACAGATTGGGGCCCTGGGGGTCGCTTGCGGGCGGCAAGGAGAATTTGATATTCGCGACGACAAGGTCGATGCTGACAGTTATACGGGGTAAAGCTGTGCTGACCTTATTTGTATCTGTGGGAATAGACAGCCTGAAGGCTAAAGGTGCACTGTTAGGGTGGTGTATCTACTCCGTACTGGCAGCAGTCTTATAATAATATTGATAGGTGACTGATACTAGGCACCACAGCGGTAAGAATTGATTTCTCTATATCAGATAACCAGTTACATTCTATCCACTATTAAGATGATGTGGAGAGCAGTAGGTCATATAGGTGGGAGTGCTTTGTGTTGTTTCACCAAAGATATTTAGGAGAAATGAGATACGAGAGCATTTCACTGATCCATTATCTAGAGGTAGAATTTTGTGCGCATCAAGTTTTTGTTTATCTTATTTATGATCATAGCATTTTGATATTGCACGCATCAGGCAGGGCGTAAAAGGCAAGATACAAAGGTTGGTCTAACATCATTCAAAGATGTGTAGGTACAATGGCAGGGTCATTATATGCTCAGTGCCATGATAGAGTTGACGATATCGTTGTCGTTCTCTTTGAGGGCCTTGACAGCCTTCTTTCTGGAGACGTTCGCTTGGGCCATGACAAGCTCGATATCCTTGGCCTCGAGGCCAGTGTCGTCAACCTCCTCGCCATCGTCCTCGTCCTCCTCTTCCTTCTTCTCGGTCTCGGCGGCCTTGCCCTTTCCGAGGTCTATGGCTTCCTGACCAGCAGCTTCACCAGCAGCGGCGTTGGCGCTCTCGCTAGCGGCAAGCTGTTGAGCAGCGGAAGCCTGAGCCTGGGAGTTGAGGTCTTCGATCTTAGCCTCACCAAAGATGCTAAAAGTAGAATCTAGTTAGCCCTATATTCCGAGTCTGTGATAACGGATGACAGCCGGAGCTGTCTGCACCAGGCAAGTATCAATGGCATAAGCTTACATCCAGGTGTTGCTGGTGGGGGAGCGGTAGACATCAGGCTGGTTGATAACGAAGAGGATCTAGAGATACGTCAGCATCAGGATATCCACAATTGTACAACTGCTCATGGTCTGCCGTATCCTTACGTTCTTTGGTCGGCGAAGAGTAACTCGAGTAATTCCGGGAACATGCTTCAGTCCGAGCTTGCCAATTGCTTTTCTGGCCTTCTTCTCGTTGCGGGAGAGAACGGTAACGCCGGAGCCACCAGGAATGTTCAGCTCCTCGGCGCCTTCATCACCGGCCTCAGAGTCGGAGCTTTCCTCGACGGTGGCCTTGACATCCTCCTCAGGGAGCTCTTCTACTCGTGGGTTGGCCATGGTTGCTGTAATGCCGGAGGGGTGGATTATGTGTGGAAGAACGGGCGTAAACTCTAGAAATCGCACATAAGGCCCATTAGTCTTACTCCCTCTGTCTAGCCGCAAATTAATCAAGGCCAATAGAGACAGGAACAACCACCGATTCTACTTACCTGGGCGCTGGCGCTGGGATTCAAATGTTGTGCTGGTTCAGTGGTTGTTGTTGGTAGAGCTGTGAGTCGCTGATGGTGTGTGGTCTCGCCCAATCCCGTTAGCGAGGTTTTTTTTTTTTGTAGCACACAAATCAGATAAATATCACTACAATATCCTACAACAGCACGCTATTTTATAGGATAAATATTTACGGCCATTATTAACCATCAACAGAAATTATTCTACGTAGAACGAAGTTATAGGCTTGTTAGCGCTAGTATCGGTAAGTAATATCATAGATCAGGGCTTCGTCGGGATACCAATGTGCGGCACTACCCCAGCCTCTTGAATTGGTGGAAACTTAGATAGGGAGGGCATTTTAATCCCGTAAAAGTCTGGATAGGGAGAGGTGTTGAATTGAGCATATGGATTTTTTTATTACATATGATACCATAGTCAATCACAGTGTCAAAAGGAAGTTCTTTTTTGCTTTGATTTCTGAAAGTCGTAAAACCATGGTAGTAGAAGCCTGTTGTGGATCCAGTATTATTCCATCTAATCGGGATAAAGTGGTTCGCAGATTAAAAACCTGTCCTCAATTCCTCAGGTTGAAACTGATTACAGTTGAACATTCCTTCTTGAACAAGGGGAGGGCAACTCTATACCTTTTTTTGCCTCAAGCACAAGAAGCCCTCCCTTAATTCAATGCGCCATCCTCCGAATATCATCAACCCTTAATTCCTCACGAAGCAGCGCGGACTTTAGATAGAGATTTTTGGACAGCGAAGCGAGCCTATAATTGTAGAAAGGACAGTTAGCAATTGAGTCAAGCCTTTGCAAAATAGCTTTGCATGTCCGTATATTCGACATGCATAGGCATGTCTAGTCTGGAAAAGTAAAATACGAACCTGTTTTCTCAGTCTCATGACCTTGAATCGCTCGAAGTCGGTCAGGTTGCGTCGTCGATCTTGTTGTTCCTTCTTCTTAGCATAGCCAGTCTGAGCCCATTTGGCGTCGATGCCGGACTTCTCCCAAGCCTTCCTCATAGCTCCAGTTCTGGCACGTCGGGGGAGTTTGTCGAGGCAGAGAGATGTGAGGGTGACATGGGCGAGAGGGATGGATTGGCGTGGGACGACCTTCTCTTCATCTCCGGAAGGACCATCAACCAAGACCTATATTTTTGAGTATCCCATTAGATAACCTGATTCCCCGTCTAAATGATGCCTTCCATTTCGCGCATAAAAACTAACACCGGCCAGAGGGTCAAAAAGGATAAAAAACGTACGCGCTTATGATCTATGATTTCGGAGATAGCAGCAAGCTTGTCTGCATATGGGCCTCTTCGGATCAGCACGACTCTGCCGACCTCGACAAGTTTCCATGTCGAGGGCTTAATATCAATCTCTTGAGACATGGCGAAGGAGTCCTGCAAGCAGATCGAACGGATTAGCCGGGGGACTATGACAGGCGCGCAGAGGGAGGAGATGCTCACTGTCCACCGAGGGAGTGCTATAGAGGGTGGATAGGGGTCGTCGTTGTCGTTGTCGAGTTGAACGCTGTCTTCTGGTATCGCGAATTTCAATGTGTTCAGCGTGCTTTTGCCCACAAAAAAAGATGCCTCGCTTAGCCATCATCGGTTTAGTGGATTTTGCACCGTTTAGGTTTAGCGCGATTTTGCTGTTTCTTACATAAAGATGCTTTTTCTTTTCAACTTTTTTTCTTTTGAACATCAACAACTTTTCCTTCTTCTTCTCGTCGCCATCAGGATCCTCGTCAAGAGGGGAAACTGGATACACTGCGATGTTACTAACCATGAAGAGTAAGTCGAACTCATACTTCTCTCTCCCTGCTTCCTGAAATGATGTGGTAATTTGCGGTTGATCCGGCTTTTGTGAAGCTCCCGCCAGAGCATTCTCAAGCAACTGTCGGGATGATATTTAATTTCTTACATATTCTGATTCTTATTTCGTTTAATTGACACTGTTACGATCCTTATTTTGCTTGGAACAGTGAGCTAACAGTTTGGTCTGGATACTAGGATGTAACTTCGTACATTGTTCGGCTAACAGCCAGTACTCCCACCCCCTGGCCTATTTCTGAAGGTAATTAGTCAATCGCACGACCCTCCGATTCCCTCCTTGGTTTCCTGATGAACATCTTCGCACAAGATAGTAGTTGATGCCTGCGGGCGGTGATATTACTCTTTTCTACCAAGATCGCTGAAAACCATCAAAGTTGCTGCTTGAATTTAGCATCCCACTCATGCATTGTTCAGCGATGCTAACAAGCCAAGAGAATCTTTAGGTCTTTATCTCATTTTAGTTCACCTGTTCGCTACACAAACTATATTGCGAGATATTATACGATGTTAGATATTCTAGCACACAATAGTTTGCAATATACACGTTCTTTTCGATATACATGTTTTTAATTTTGATAAATAATCGCCTGTAGCCAAAAAAACTCACGCTGACGACGTGTCAGGAAGGGGTATTGGTTAGTCAATACAATTCCAGCATGCCCATTGGGGTTGATGCTTGAGATTGACTTTACCTTAAGGAATCTAGCTCCATTCAAGATGTCAATCTCTTTGCCGTTGATCTAACCATCTTTGCCCTACGGCTTTGAGAGCACTCCTATGTGGCCTCTGTACTCCGTCTCTTGGACCTCACCAAGAATCCGCGGTAAAGCGTTCCTGATAAGGGAATGTGTCTCGTGCTAGTATATAACAATATTGATGGCTCTCTTAACTCCTGTAATAGCTTTGCTCTCGCCTCATATTACAATCAATCAATATTTATCTACTAGCTAGAAGCATAGCTGGTCAGGTTGGATAACCTTCTTACCTATTTTGACATGTACTATCCTCGTCTATTATTTAGTAAGTTAGATAATATACAAAACATCAAATATAATACCTGCTGTATTCTCTCATTGTTCATCGTCTGAGGTTTAGAGTCACTCCTGCAACCGAGGAAGCAACCCAACAAGATCAGTTAGAAAATAATACATCCGTCGTGACTTGAGGCAGATTACTTTTGAAGGGGAAAAGAAACCAGGCGGTCGCTTCCAGTCAATTTCGGGCCATCAAACGTTGGGCTTTTGGAGGCTTCTGGGTTAGTGAATAGTCATGGGTATACTTGCGGGAAGACGGAAGATGGAAGGCGGATGCTACCTTGTACAGCTATATGAGGGGTAGCACCTCAAAGCCTACAGAAGAAGGAAATTCCCTCATGCATCCTTGACCTATGCAGTCATTTTTGTAGTATTTTTGCTTCTTACATGTCCTTCTCGTGTCGTTGTTATTCTCCGGCTTTTCTGCTTTGGATTTTTTTGATTCATTGATGACTAATGCGGAATGATCTGATAAGATTGCCGATTCCCCTAACCACAAGCTTACTAGCGCAAACCTAAAACGATATAATTTTTGAGTAATCCTTTTCGACTTTCGCCGACTTCACCGGAATGACGCCCTTTTTACTCATAACTAACTGCGTTCACCGACGCTGCATGACCACCACGCGTTAAGTTCGGCCATGTAAACTGGTTTGGACTTGAAAAACGCCTCCAGGCGTTTTTTTTGCCTTAAGTTGATGAGCGTCGCCTTTCTGCATAATTCCGAGCTGCATACCTAAGCCAGTCTTGCTCCGCACCTGCGATTCAGGCTGCCATCATGTCCAACTTTTCGTCACCAAAGGCCCGACGGGCCTCTTCCACCCCTCACTATCAGACATTCTCTACGCCGCCGCCAAAGTCAGCCGGTCGCCCTCTCTCTGCCGAGTCGGGCTCCACGAATCCCTCATCGTCTCACATCGCGGGCGAACGCGCGGATGCTCCGACCTCCACCCCCATCCCGATACAGCAGATGTCGGTGCTTGCATTTATTGCTCTCTGCGAGCAGACTGCGCTCAACTCGATAAGTCCTTATTTGCCGGCAATGGCGGCATCCTTTCCAGAGGTCGAGTCGCATGAAGTTGGGATCTATGTCGGCACCATTGCATCTGCCTTTGCGCTAGCGCAGTTTTCTACCAATTTTTTTTGGGGTTGGTTATCGGACCGTATTGGGAGAAAGCCTGTCATATTATTAGGAACAGCCCTTACAGCCGTTTGTTTTCTTGCCTTTGGATTTTGCAAAACACTATGGCAGGCCATCGTTGCCCAACTCTTCATGGGTCTGGTCAACGGGAACCAAGGGGTTGTCTCCACATGCCTGGGGGAGATAACAGATCGCAGTAATCAGTCGCGTGCCTTCACATACCTACCCGTTATATACGGAATCGGAGGCATCACAGGCCCAATTTTGGGAGGGTTGCTTGCATCGAAAGACGTAAAGGGCCAATCTTACCCATTTCTTGCTCCAAACCTCGTGTCTGCTGCAATATTGATTGGAGACTTTATCATTATTTCAATATTTTTGGAAGAAAGTGTTGAAGGCGCGGAAATGCTTCCTCGAATCTACGGAAAATTCCGCGACATGTTTACCTGGTTATGGCAATTTCACAGCTCTTCGCGGCCAACCTACTTGCGAAACGACCTTGATGCGGATTATCCGCGACGCTCTGTCCGCCATGGAGTCCATCATTACAGAGACTCTGTTGATAGCGATGATGATAATGATGAGACCGATCCCGCTATCACACCTCTCTTCCCTCATCGCTCCCATAACGAAGCACTCAATCGTGATGAAATCTTCAACAGAGATATGATTTTGTTGCTTCTCACCTACCTGATCTTCTCTCTGTCGAATGTCTCGTTCAATTCTCTCTACCCTATCTTCGCGCAAGCTCCACCACCTACGGGCCGAGAATTCAATCCAAAAGAGATTGGCATGTCCTTGGCTTTTGCCGGTATCGTCACCATAGTTTTTCAGATCTGTGTATTTGGAAGGCTTCGTGACAAAATGGGTAACAGATGGTCTTACCGCGCCGGTTTGCTTGGCTTTGTTGCATCATTTATCCTGATGCCCTTTATCAGCTATAAAGATAAAACAAATGCTGATATAGCTATATCCAAACAAAATGTCCTTGTTGCTGTGGAAGTATGTGTAGTATTGTTGATCAAGACTGTTGCAACTGTTGGAGGTCTTACCAGCGCATTACTCTTGGTACGTGTTCTGCCCTATGATATTAATTATACATTAACTAGCTGTATTGCTAATTTTGAATTTATAGATCACCAATTCTGCCCCAGACCACTCTGTTCTAGGCTCTCTCAATGGCCTTGCGCAGACCCTCTCTGCAGCAGGCCGTGCTGTCGGGCCATTTTTGTCTGGAAGTCTTTTCACCCTTGCCACAAAGGTAAAGCCGAAGGGCGAAGCTCTTGCATTCGGCGTTTTTGGTGGAGTAGCCTTTGTCGGATTCTTGCTTAGCTTGGGTATTCGCTCTCGCAACCTCGAAGCTGAGGGGTGGGGAGAGGAAGACGATGATTGTGGGAAGTCGGATGAAGAAGACGACGTTTAGCGATACACATCCCCAAACAGATAATCAATCATTATATACTCCCATAACCGGAGTGGTAAATTCCAAGAGGAAAAAGCAGATGATTTGATTCCCAGATCTAGCGTACCAGCGTTTACATACCCTCAGGCTTGAACGATTTACGAGCTTCGGTTGTTATTTGGAAGAAGAAAAAAAAGTAATAGTGCGAGATGAAGAAAGGCGCTTCTGCATCGGAGACAGGTTTATATAGTGTGCAATACCATGGTACATAGAAATACTAACAACTAGGATATCATTATCCTAAAAGTGAAACAGGTGTTATGTAGAAGAGAACTTTATTTAAGGGGCTATTTTTGTATGATTTTGGTGTCTTCAAGTAAGATTTAAAAAACTTCAAATCTATGAATGATATACCAATAAATAGATAATGAACTTGGGCATTACCGATATCCGTTACTTCATAAGGAGTCCAACGGCCCAAGGAACACTGAGTCCTCTCAAGTCGCCATAATGCTGTCCAACACCAAGAAAGACAATAGGTATACCGGTGGCATGGACCATACTGACAAGCGTGCCAACCATATCTCCTACGGTATCACACTTACTAATGATGAATCCATCAAGGCCTCTACCAGGGCCAAAGGCCTGGTTAAAATTCCGGGCTTGCATGACGCTATCGGTACCAACCAGAGCTTCTCCAACCATGAGAATCTTATCAGGGTTAGCGAATTTGGCAAACTTTTCCAAGGAGGACATTAGTCGCTGATCATTGTGTCGACGGCCAGCGGTGTCAATTAGAACGACCTCAAAGTCGTTTGAGGCGGCGTAGGCGACAGCATCCTTAGCGACATTAGCCGCGTCTTTGCCATATCCCTTTTCATAGAGTTCGACATGGCCAGCATTTTCTCTTGCACTGAGCTCCTTAAGATTCCGCGCGTGAACACGAAGCTGTTCGACTGCACCAGAACGAAAAGTGTCGCAGGCTGCGATCAGGACTTTATATTTATTCTGTAGAAGAAAGAAGCATAGTTTGCTCAGGTTTGTGGATTTTCCGACGCCGTTGACTCCCACAACCGAGATCACGTAGGGTCGTCTGGGCTGTTGCTGATTCATGGGTGATGTGACTACTTCGATTTCACGGAGTAAATCAAGTGAGGTAGTGGGAGTAAGTATTTTGCGAAGTGATGATTCCATTCCTGCGCGAAGAGCAGAGTCAATGCTTTGGAAACTGGCCGTCTTCTTACCTACCAGCTCCTTTTGGACACCTTCACAAAGGCGAACTGCAGCCTCACAGGCGACATTCTTCTTCAACAGGTGATCTTCCATTGCTTTCAGGGGTTTCACTAGGTCAGCTTCGGTCAACACTTTCCCACCAACCACGTTGCGGAACAAGCTGCTGATCGCGCCTATGCTAGAGTTGACGACACTAGTAGAGGATCCATTGGCTTTGGCCTTCTCCTCGTCTGCATCCTGAAGAATGGAATGAATCTCATCACCAAGATCCTTAAGAACAAATTGGCCCCTCTGGGTCTTTCTTCCAAAAGACTCGCTGTCGATGGCATCAACTGAGGGCGCTGGTAAGTCTTCAGTGGTACCAGCTCCAGTATCATTTGCTGAATAATCCAGTATTTCATCGCTTTCCTCGTCCGCGATGCCATCTGGTCCCCACTTTCTCATCTTCTTTGCTCCAGATTTGCCATTAGTTGACTTCTTTGCCTTATCCTCAGCGCCAGAAGTATTGTTGGAGTTGGCGTTCGCGGCTTTACGAGCACGACGAGAAATGCGGCCTCCTGGCCCAGCTTTTGCAGTGATGACCTGGGAGCTTGGAGTGGCGGGTCGGGATGTTTCCGGGGTTTGAGACGGAGTGCTGTCACTAAGCACCTCCGCCGCTGGCGCAGCTTGACGCTGCACTATAAAAAGAGGTTAGGAGATATCATATAGAGTATGGCGTGAAGTCTGAACTTACCCGTAAGAAGCCCCGGGACAGGTGGTGGTGGTGGCCCTCCTGTGTCCGCCTGTGTAAGCACATCTCTTTTACTCTCTGCCCCAAGCTGACGTTTGTCTTCGGCCGGAAGCTCCGTGGTCTGGTCAAGCTCCCTTAGCTGTTGCTCGAAGTATTTGTCAAACGGGTAATTGGCGACCCTGAATCGTGACCCTTTGAGCTGCTCCTTGTATAGCCCCAAGAATATAGTCTTTATATTTTCTAGTAGCTCGTCGATCCAGGTCAGATGGAGGAGAGACTGATAAACTGCCTGTAAAAGAGTATTAGCTGACGCTGATTCCTAATAAGCCCTGAAGCTGACACTCACAACGAAGATAAGTCCGAATCCCTTTGCCTCCGTCCATCTCAATGTATATTGCTCCTTGTTATACTTTCGAGCAGCGCGGTCAATCCCAGTCCTCTCTTCGATAAAGACATCTTTGATTAGAGCGTTGATGATGTGAGTTCCAACTGGAGCGTATGTTTTTGACCAGAGGACTACGCCGGACGTAGTTATGACCTCAAAAGAGTCCAGCATCCTGTCTCTTATTCTTCCACAGCGAACAGGGTTTGATCCTGAGCAGTTATCTGGCCTTCGTCTGCTTTGTATAGATTCGATAATTTTTTGATAACAACTTTCAGCCTATCAACAGCTTTCCCACGTGACAAGGATTTAGTTAGTGGACTTTGAGCCGAAATCATGTTAGATCGACTTTAGTGGTGATACGATAGAGTTTGATTATGTATTCAGATTTCCAGAGGTTCCATTGGTTCAAATTCCAAATGAAACACGTGATAGTAATAAATTCAAAATATTGAGGCTGATTAATACTTTTATACTCCATGTTGTAGATGAATATGGAGCATTATTCCTGCTCAAGGTGTTAACAGTATAGGGAACGAAAAGAAAGGGATATGGGATCCAGAGGCTGTAACTATGTCTTGGGAGAATTCCGGCCCACAACAGCTTATAAATATATCCTGATAGTATATCCTCCATTTAGTACTTGCGTACAGCTTGTTTCATCACTGTCCTCGAATACGAAAAGAATAGGGTACTACACAAAACGATGTCGCGAAAATGTGAAGTTATTTTAGGACGGAAAAGTCGACGCGAGCAGTACTTATAATTCTGTGTGTTAAAATCCATAGCAGCGTTCACGAGCGAAGCCTTTAAATAGCTGCAGACTACATTGCCGATTGCCGCTACAGTGAACGTGTAGAGAGATAACAAGAACATTTATGGCAGATTTAAAAATAAAATCAAAAATAAAACTCCCTGACGGGGAATCGAACCCCGGTCTCCCGCGCTTGTTACTCGCTTATTAAGCGAAGTTGACAAGCGGAAATCATGACCACTAGACCATCAAGGACTTTTCCGTGGAAGGCGAAGGGACCGTTGTGGCTGATGAGGCAACATGCGACAGATAACAAGCCGGAAAGCCAGGAGATAAGAGTGTGATGAAGACAACCATCCAGCCGGACCAGCATCAGATCAACGCAAGACCATCGCCAACCAGAGGCTGTCCGGAGGGGTACAAGACATATAAAGCTGTCATGCCATCGTACTAGCTTCCATTACGCCCGTTCTGCTTTTAAAGATCACCAGAAATAAAGCCAGGGAACCGACGAGCTCCGTTCTTTCGAGTCTCCCTAATTAGAGACCACGCACGCACAATGCAGCGCAACACATTCGCACCTCCTCCGGCCCAGTCGCCTCCCCTCCACCATCCTATCCCGCAACATGTCTCTACAGTACCGATGATGCGGTCGCCGCCGCCGCCAGTCTCCCAACAGCCCCAGCCCCAACACCAGCAGCATGGATATAACAATCCTTATCAGCCAAATCCGGCCCAGGGAGGAGGCCAGTTTGCCCCTGGCTTTGGCGGCTTTATGTCAGATCCCACTGCTCAAATGGGGTTTCAGGTTGGGAAGAGTGCCGTCATGGCCGGGCAGGAGTATATGGAGCAAAACGTATGTCCATTGTTCTGTTTCCTGTTTGGTTATATTTCTTCCCATTTTATGTTGCGGCACGAGATACTCACAGATATTATATAGTTGAACCGTTATGTGTCGATTCCCGCACTAAAGCACTACTTCAATGTCTCCAATTCATACGTCATTAAGAAGCTCGCTCTCGTACTATTCCCCTGGAGACATAAGCCATGGTCCCGCCAGCAGGGACGGATGGCTGGCGCAGCCTCCGCAAACGGCCAGATAAGCCAGGCTCAGTACACTTCCATGTACCTCCCACCACGAGACGACGTCAATTCACCGGATATGTACATTCCCGCCATGGCTCTAGTCACCTACATCCTGCTCTCAGCGGTCATGGCTGGTCTACGAGGGAATTTCCATCCAGAGATACTACGCTCCATAACGTTCATTGCTCTGGCAGTGGTGGTATTTGAGATTGTCTGCCTCAAGGTTGCCATGTATATTCTCAATATTAATAATGACTCCCAGCTTCTTGACCTGGTGGCTTACTCAGGATACAAGTTTGTTGGTATCATTCTTACCTTGGGGGTGTCTGAGATTCTCACGCCGGGCCAAGGCACGGGGGGCTGGGTTGGCTGGACTGTGTTCATCTATACCTTCCTCGCTAACGCCTTTTTCTTGGTCAGTATTAAGAAATTTTTGAAAGACCATTCAAGAAAAAGATAGTCATGCTAACGTTAATTGTGTGTGTACAGCTACGTTCACTCAAGTACGTCCTTCTACCGGACAGCTCATCCGACGCAGCCATGCGAGGCGGAGCCATGCCGACCGTTGCCCGCTCCCAGCGCAATAGGCGCACCCAGTTCCTCTTCATCTACTCGTACATGATCCAGTTCGTCTTCATGTGGATTCTTAGCAGACAGGGCCCCGTCCCATCGGCAGCCACCACTCCCAAAGTGCCTACTCCTGGCACCCTCTCATGATCCATCTCATTCCCCTTAGGCTCCTAGACACATGATAAACACGATACCAATCTACTCAGCATCTACATCTACATCTATCCTTTAAATGTCTTCAAAAGTATTTTTAGACTAATGAGACCGATATATTTACTACTACCGTCAATAAAGAGGCAGACACGCTATTCGATGACCCCTAGCATCGGATCTTTGCCTACATATATATATCACGTTCCAAGATTTTTAAGATGAAGCGCCTCAGGGGGTGCTTCCTTACGAAGCACTTCAAACCCGTTCCTTGTATAATCAGTCTGATGCGAAGAGCAGGTTCTACGTCTGCCTACTGCAGCTTGTGCTATCATCAAGCAGCCGCCCTTCACAAGCACCAATAAGGCGTTGTGGCAGAGTGGTCTAATGCGATTGACTAGAACTTCTCTGAAGCAGATAATCAATTCCTTTCGGGGGCGACGGTTCGAATCCGTCCGACGTCGGCCTTATCTTTTTTATTTTCATTTTTTGTCTTCTCACCACCTGATCGCTCACACCACTATATTATTTTAAACATGCTTCCGGGGACCGTGTCATTATTTATTTATTGCTATAAAAAAACTGTGTGGTGGCCAGACGTGTCTAGCACTGTGTTATGCGCAAGAACCAGGTAAACTTTGGTGTTGATGCAGCCTCAAGCCATACAACAACCCTACAACAACACCAGAAGTGGTCACAATCCTCAAGGGTGCCGACAGCTGCAGGCGAAACCATTCCCAATATCCGCTCATCGTCATAGGTTTACTTTCTATTCCCTGTTATGATTAATATTGCTTACCACCTTTATCCTGTTTGCTATGCTGCACTTCATTCGCCGGGTGTGGGTGCACCAACGTCATACCTTGTACCAGCGCCCGCAGCGTCCCCCAGGTTCACGTCCAAGTCAATGGTCTCGATTGATGTATGGATGGCCAGTCAGATCGAGCGGATTAAGCAGCAATGGCCTGTCTGCTTCTTCTTAAAAGCTGCCTGTTGCCACTGGGCCGGCTGCTCCCAACTATTTGACTGTTGTCACTTGCAGCTTTGATATATACCATCTTTGAATACGACACTGCTCTACCAAGGATATCTAGTAGCTCTTTGTAGACAAGATGTCGAGCGTTGGAGAAGGAATTCGAAAGGTGCAGGAGACCCTCCAGGGTCTGTATCCTCATGATAAGAAGCTGGCAGACCTTGCAAAGGATACCACGGACATCCATACTGCCGGCTCAATCACCACGGACCACGGAACAAAGGTCGAGAATACAGATGAATGGCTAAAGGCATCCGATAGCTCAAAGTCGGGGCCGTCTATGCTCGAGGATCAGATTGCCCGAGAAAAGGTACGTTTTACCCTCCCCAGCTCTGTTGATCCTTAGTTCCATAGACTGACATCTAGTTGTATAGATCCACCGCTTTGATCACGAAAGGATTCCCGAACGAGTTGTGCATGCTCGGGGAACTGGTGCATTTGGGCATTTCAAGCTCTTTGAGAGTGCTGCAGATGTCACTTCGGCCGGAGTCTTGACTGACACGTCTCGCACTACACCTGTCTTTGCTCGATTTTCTACCGTCCAGGGAAGTAGAGGAAGTGCAGATACCGTTAGAGATGTCTGTGGATTTGCGGTCAAGTTCTACACTGATGAAGGAAATTGGGATCTCGTGGGAAACAATATCCCCGTCTTCTTCATCCAGGATGCCATCAAGTTCCCGGACTTTGGTATGCACTCCTTTTCTCCATTTACCTTGTACACATATACTAAGATCCTGCCTAGTGCACGCCGTTAAACCGGAACCTCATAATGAAGTCCCTCAAGGCCAAACTGCCCATAACAACTTCTGGGACTTTGTCTTCCTACACCCCGAGGCTACTCACATGTTCATGTGGGCCATGTCTGATAGAGGTATTCCACGTTCATACCGTATGATGCAAGGATTCGGAGTCAATACCTTTGTTCTCATCAACAAAGAAGGAAAACGCCATTTCGTCAAGTTCCACTGGACTCCAGAACTCGGTGTTCATTCACTTGTCTGGGATGAAGCCCTCAAAATCGGTGGTCAAGATCCTGACTTCCACAGAAAGGATCTGATGGAAGCCATTGATAACAAGGCCTATCCCAAGTGGAAACTTGGTATTCAAGTCATCCCTGATGATAAAGAGCATGATTTCGACTTTGACATCCTCGATGCAACCAAGATCTGGCCTGAAGACTTAATCCCTGTTAGATATATCGGTGAGATGGAACTGAACCGAAACATTGACGAGTTCTTCCCTCAGACAGAGCAGGTTGCCTTCTGTACCGGCCATGTTGTCCCAGGCATTGATTTCTCAAATGATCCTCTCTTACAGGGCAGAAACTTCTCTTACTTTGACACTCAACTCTCGCGTCTCGGAACGAACTGGGAGGAGCTGCCTATCAACCGTCCTGTCTGCCCAGTCATGAACCACAACCGAGACGGACAGATGCGCCACAAGATCACTCAGGGTACCGTCAACTACTGGCCAAATAGATTTGAAGCATGCCCTCCAGCCAAGGTCGGGGAAGGATTCCACTCTTTCCCTGAAAAGATAATGAGTATCAAGCAGCGAACTCTCAGCAAGAAGTTCCGCGAACACATCAACCAAGCTCAGCTTTTCTACAACTCTCTAACTCCATACGAGAAGAAACATGTTCAGAATGCCCTTGCCTTCGAACTGGATCACTGCGACGACCCAACCGTTTATACCCGCGTAGTCAAACGTCTGGCTGAAATTGACCTCCCCCTCGCACAGGCTGTGGCACCTCTTGTCGGGGCAGAAACTCCCCAATCTTCGCCCCGTCCTAACCCGGGCCTGAAAACAATCAATCTAAGCCAGGCAGAGATTAACCAGACCCATCCCCAGACTGGCAGTGGTACACCAACCATCAAATCCTGCCGTGTCGCCATTTTGATCGGAGACGGCTACGACCCGGTAGCATTCATTTCGGCCAAAACAGCAATCAAGGCTGCCGGAGCCCTACCATTCGTCGTTGGGACTAAACGCCAGCCTATCTTCGCTGCACACCAGCATAAAGAAACAGATAAGGGCGTCGTACCTGATCACCAATACGATGGTGCGCGCTCGACCTTGTTTGATGCCACTTTTGTTCCTGGCGGTGAACATATTCGCATCCTAAGCAAGATCGGCCAGATCAGATACTGGATTGCTGAATCATTTGGTCATTTGAAAGCCATCGGCGCCACTGGTGATGCAGTCAATCTAGTTGCTCAGGTGCTAGGCACAGACGTGCCGCAGCTCGAATTTGCGGATTCTTCTTCGGCCGGGGTCGTGGAGAGCTATGGTGTGGTTACCAGCTGTAAGTTGCATGAACCGGAGAGCCTGACGGAAGGAATCAAGATATTCAAGGAGGCCAATGATTTCTTGGGCAAATTTTTCTACCATATCTCTCGTCACAGGAATTACGAGAGGGAACTTGATGGGCTGGCATCTTCGCTTGCTTGGTAAGGATGAGCTTCAGATATTGAGGATTGTCTAGTTCTTTATCTACTACTTATTTAACCTATCTATGATCATTTTGTGGGGAGAAAATTAATATGAAATAATAATTCTTTTTCAGCATCGATCATGAAAGTGGAAGGTGAAGAGAGGTGGGATATATTTAATTGCCTAATTATAAGTAGATATCTGGAGATTAGGTTCACATCTATAGGAGACATATTCCAACTATCACTGGAGAGGAAGGTAATGGAAGGCTTCCTTACTGCCTGAACCATCACAACTGGGGTTCATAGTAGTCTATGTGAATGATAAGGCCGTTCCACCTATATGTGTAATCTATCAGAAAAGGCACGAAGTAAGCCCACACTCTACTTATATCGGAGGTAATGATACCCTATACACCTAGAATAATAATAAGGAACTCATCGTATTAACAATAGGTATCTAATATGTATATATCGAGTTTGCCAACAGTTCTTCCAGTCCCCTATCTATCTAGTAGGGTCTGGATATCAATGTCTAGCGCTTAGCTAATTAGCAGGATGAAAGCCCTAGCTAACGGCATAGGTATAGAGTACCATCCTTACATCCAGCATATGCGTATCTCCAGCCTTAAGGGGGTATGTCCTCTTTCGTAGTGAGGGGTGGTGAGGGCAGTGAGCGGCAGCAGAACCCGCGATGGCCAAACACGTCGGCTTTAAACGAAGAAAGCGTACGCTGAATCTTCCTCTTCTTTTCTCTTCATCCCTAGCAGTAGCAGTAACAATACCAGCAGCCAAAGTACAGTAGCAACGACAGCAGCAACAACAACAGCAGTAGCAACAACAGTAGCAGCATAGCAGCAGCAGCAATAGCAGCAACAACAGCAAGCAATAGCAACAAGAAAAATGGCTGACAACAGCACCGGGGCGGATCCAGGGGCGGCGTGGCCCGCGCTCATTTCCCTCAACTTTGAGGGGATTGCCCAACTTGGGGCCCCTGCGATAATAGGGATCATATCCACCTTTGGCTGTTGTTTTGGCCCTTGGACCAGAAGTCTGTCGGGAGCCATCGGCTCTACCATGTAATTTATAACCCTCCAAAAGAAGCCTGATATGACACTGACGTTCGATTAGTCGCGATTGGACGGGCTACCACTGTCACTGCCACTGCCACTGCTCCGATTGCTCCCCCCCCTCCTTATACCACCGACGACTCTCCACCACCTCCTCCTTCTCCCCCCTCAATAAGGCCTACCGCCTCCATCTGCCGCCGCTGCCGCCACTGCCGCCGTTTACGCTCACGAGAGACGGAGGCCGGTCAACCAAGAATGGAGGTGTAGGAGGACGATAAGGAAATTAGAGGTGAGAGCAAGTGATGTAAGTAAAGTCAAACCAGCTCTATATTGGTCCAAAATATGGTGTACTAATAGTTGATACTCAATGTTGTAGAACCTTTCTTTTCTTCTTTTTTTCCTCTTTTTTTCTCCTTTTTTCTCCCCGCTTTTTTATTTTTTTATTGTTTATTTTTTAGGAAATATATATATATTTTTCCAGAGAAATAGAGAGAGAAGCAGCTTACATGCTCTTCTTCATCCTTACCGTAGACCCGAGATTATTGCTCTGTCAATAACAGTGTAGACCCAAGGGCTCAGGAGGATGATAGTTGGCATATTGCTAAGGGGAAAGGTGGGTTAACAGCAAGTAGGGGAATAGGGGAACAGGTAGACAACACGTCTAGATAAGTTATCTCCTTCTATTTGCTAAGTTAAGGGTATATATTAAGGGAAATATATTAGCTAGATATTAAGCCTAGTACCTTTAGATAGCTAAAGATACATAGCAAGGGGAGTGATAGATATAAATCAATAGGGTATATTTACTTTAATCTCAGGGAGGTATATTAGGACTAGGGGTATTATCTAGGCCAGGACCAAAGGTTAACATAGGGTTCTTGGCCGTCCTTACTTCGAGTAGTCCAGCTAAGACCGTTGTTAGAAGTAGATAGAGACTTGATATTGGCATGTTGGAGGAAAAAGTCGCGTTGCTGAAATATGACGTTGGAAAGTGAAATTTATGTGAACATCCACGTGACGTCTAGACACGTGATGGAACTAGTGCGGGGCCGTTGCTTTTGGGTCGTTGGGAAGGTGAGAGCATTGTTCAACAGCCATATAATTAATGGTGAGGATAATAATCATGGGCGAAGTGTACAGTGAGATATGGGTGACTACCTACGGAGTACCATAGGGGAAATAAGTGAATCCAAAAAACCTTCAGTGTAAGAATTACGGTAGTTGAAGCCAACAACTGATAGATGAAAATAATAAATAAACTTTTCGTGTCTTTAAATTAACTTTAGGCACCTGGGCACCTTGGGTAAGCAGATTTTAAGTTTCGCTTTTTCTTTTATCCAGGATTAGTCAGCCTCAGGTAGTGAGGTCCATTCCATTTCGACGCCCAATATCAAACCTTCGACAGCGGCGTGGAGCTTCAACTTTTGAAATATCAGAAAACACATTCGCAATAAAGGGATAACTCAGTCGCTAGACCTTGGTGATACAACTTCTGCAACTCGGGATATGCCCCTGCGTTGTGTCAAGCTGATTAATGGAAATCTGACTACGATACGACCTCATGATCATCAGCTACCTAGCTTACATACCCTTTTGAGCTCCAGGTGAATTTGAGCCTTGGCAACCTTTCAACAAGCTTGAATCATACCATCTAATTGCTGGAAAAATGGAACCTCTGGAGAATACCGAGCAGGAAGGGTTGGTGGAGGAGCCGATAATGCGTGCGGACGAAGTCGACAACATTGAAGTTGATATAACCACATCCACTGAGGAACCAGTAGTCGCAGCAGATACCGTCTCAGACGTGAAACTCCCTGAAGTTAATGAAGCAAAAGTCGATGAAGCGGATGGATTTGGTGATGCATCTGTACTGCAGAGACTGTCTCAGCCTTCAACTAGACCTGAATTACGGCGTGACAGAGTGGCACCGCCCCCACCTTTGCAACCACCACCACCTGCGCCAGTACAGAACCCTGAAACCCAGACGGACTCAGTGAGCCTTGCTCAACTCCGCAAAATTGTTCAAGATCTTCCAAAGGCCGATTTACCATCTTATGCCTTCAAATATGACGACTGTCAACCATTTCCGGAAGAGATCAATGAATGGTTTGGCGACAACGAGCCTGACAAACTCATGTTACTGGGCTGCAAAACTACGTTTGAACAGACCTGGTTATCTTTTTGCGAGGCGTTGTCTGGTCTCCCCGAAAGTGAACCATCTTGGTTAAGCGCCACGGACGAGGACAAAGAGGCATTTATAGAAAAGATGATAGGACTTTTTACCAGCACCGATATCTTTTCCCGAATCGAGGCCCTGGAGAGCATTTGCTACACCTTAACAGGTGTCTGGGTTTCTACTGCTGGAAAGGTGGCTGGAGATTATCCTTCTGACATTACTGATCATGACGCGGCTGAGACTCCAAAGGAACGATCTATGCAAATTCAATGGATGATTAAAAACGCCCATACCTTTCTAGAATGCCAAGGTATCGAGGCTCTATTTGCTTACTTACAACGGTTTTTCAATAAGGATCAGTGAGTGGAGCAGCCCACCTATTTTTCGGACATTTTGACTGGAGTTTCTCATATTTCTTTTTAATAGGACGTTAGTACAAGAGGATATGAAAGCCTTTGCAAATGAAAACGGCACAACGGCCTATGTTGCTACAAGGGATAGGGAAATTAATCTAATACTCACCTGTCTTTATATCATTGTTGAGGTGGCACGAAGAGAAGAAAAACTGGAATACTCTAGCCTGGAATTGAGAGATGCATTTGGTAGGTGATAATTATATACCTATGAGTGACTGGCTGTAGTTGAGACACTCTTACTAACTCTATCCACTTAGCCGCGTTAAATCCCAACCTACCCGCGACTCTTGTTGAAATTGTTGCACGTCTGCGGTGGGATGATCCGTCCATCTTTCCACTAACTAGAGTAAGTTACACTCTTTGTCTTGTTGCACACTATATTCTAATAGCTTTAATAGGTCCTCCTTCTCTTCTGGAAATCAATTCTTCTTCTATTTGGTGGCATCGAACCTCTGAAAAAAGCAAAAACTATCTTGGAGCCCATGCATGTACCAACTGGTTCTGGTCAAAACGAGTCATCAAATATTCCAACCCTTACTGCTTCTCCACTGGATTATCATCTATTTAGACAAGAGATTATATCAAAATATCCTGCCTACAACCCACCACCACCATTGGTTCCTTTTGAGCTGGAACACAATTCAGTTCTGCCTCCTCTTCCCACGTCCTCAAGCCGCAATTCTTCGTCCGTTCTGTTTTCTGGAGTTGGGTCTACCCTGGCGAATAACAACGATTCTATTCTCCATCAATCCGTCCACATTGCCACACCTGCCCCTTCCCCTCCACCATCCCCAGGGGGCCCTGGAAAGGTGGGCAAGAAGCAGAATTACCAAACAAATCAGCATTTCCCTTTCATGTACCCTCCATTGGACGGTTCAAGTAATAATATTGGAGGAAAAGGAACTAGCGACCTTCAGGACAGCCTTGTGGGTAGGAAGTGGGAAGGCAGCGATGTTCCTGCGTCAATAATTGAGGCCGGCGAACTGTTCTCTAGCCGCATGAGGATGACACGGGCATTGCAACAACTTTGGGAAGAACGAGAAGCGTTCATGAAGTACGATCGTGGGTGGGATGAAAGGGCGCCTGACAGTGGCTACCGAAGGCCGTCCAATGGCCAGGAATCGGAATCACCGGCTGATCAAGAATTGAAGCCTCGACGTCAAACTGAAGATGAAGATGTTCAACGACGCTTGGATGAAGTCGAAAAATTTTACGTACGTGTATTTAAACGGCTACCCCTAAATTGTGCGTCTAACATCTCCTAGGTTCACGCACTTCCAAGCCTTCAGTCTTTCGTGATTGTTGTGTTGAAGGAACTTTTAACGAGCATCACCGCTATTGCAAGCCAAACAAATGGCAATGATGATATTGATGGTAGAGCAGAGTAAGTCTTCTTCCCAATAATTTATTTAACACTTTGCTCACGGCCTTTAGAAATGCATTGAATGGCCAGAAACAATCATCGAACAAGAATCGCATTCTAGAGCCATTCCTATCTACCAAACAGCTTCAAGAAGCAAGATCACGAGAGATCAGATTTGAAGCTATATCTGGAGCGTTGATTTTACTTTTGAAATGGTTCAAAAGATGCCGTATGTACACCAAGTTTGTAAACCCTTTGGCTTTTCTAACATTTTGACTAGATATCTTGAAATTTGAGTATTTGTCGCAAATACTTCTCGACTCGAATTATATTCCTTTAATATTAAAAATGTTCATTCACCAGGAAGTTGACCATGCTGTCGCCCAGCCTCAAGACCCACTAATATCAAGGTATTGTCCTAATACTATTCAACTATCTACGAAATCATGCGTACTAATTCAATCTGTAGTTTTTTTCACTTCTGTCATGTTCATTCTAACCAACCACCAGAACCAATTCCTCCTCTCGAACCCACAGAAATTGCGGACGACAGTAGTGAAGATGAAGCAGCTCCGCCTCCGATACTTCGGCAGAGCCGTTCTAGAATATCGATGCTCGAAGAGGCATCTGCAAAATCGGCTGCAACTGAACAGAGCAAAGAAAATTCCAGATTCCTTGAAGTCGATGAGTTAGGTTTTCCAACAGCACCAATTGAGCCAGGACCTATTTCGACCTACTCCTTCCGAAACTTCTTCTCCGCTATCAACTTCCTGCACATTATGCACAAGATTACCCGCGACAAGGCTCATAGGTGTTTACTCCTTGTGCAGTATAAATGTAGCGCCGTGCTACGGAAGGGTCTCAAGATACCGGACCCGCACCTTCGTCTATATACTCTCAAGCTGTTTAAGTCACAAGTTCCTTACTGTGGTAGGAAATGGCGGTTAAGCCACATGAGAGTTATAACGGCGATCTATCTATATTGTCGGCCTGAGCTCCGCGATGATTGGCTTGCTGGCGGTGATGTTGATGCCGAGGTGGAGGAATCGCTACCAATGGAACAAGCACTACGAGGGTTAACCCACTGGTGGCATGTTAGGCAGTACAAGGATGTCTTGTCTACTGAGAATGGGAAACCATTGGTAGAGGAAGAGCGGGATTTTTTCACACGAGAACTGGAGAAAATTGGGTGGGGGTGGTTCGGAGAAGAGCTAAATAATGGTGTTGATGAGGACGGAGAATTTGTGCCTCATATTGGAGGAGGCCCTGAATTAGAGAAAGCCATACAGATGGAGGCTTGGTAATATGATATAATACTAGCATGGAATCTGTTATACTTTCCGGCAAGGCATTGGTTGGCCCTAAACTATAATAATAGATTTTACTTGCGGCAATCATCACCATTACGTAGATAGGTTAAGTTAGTTTTAGCATATTAAGATGCACATCTAGCAATGTACTGTAGCTTAACACTTGTAGTCACCTAATCTCAAGGGTGAATATTTTAAAGACAGTGATGTCGGCAATCTATAAAATAATAATGTTATTTCACAATTGTCCGCTGGCTCAGTTCAACTATGATACGAGCCAGGAAAAAAAAATCAAAGCCCTCACAACTTCCAGATGTCAAATTAAATTTTTGTCAGGCGTCCCTTCCCGCTGGTCACACATGCCTCACTGCGAAGAAGGACGCCGAACTAACACCTAACTAGTTCAATTATGGGCTCTCCAGCCAAATTCCGTTGACAATCCATAACCTAGGGCCTAAGAATAAATGGCTCGTTCTTATCATATGTCATTTGTGCTTCTGGCCCTCTAAGTTCCTTTGGCCAGTCATAGTAAAGCTCGTAGTGTAGGATTGTATGATCACAGTACGTTAAGAAGAGGCGGTAGCGACGCGAGTATTCAATGCCATGCCACTTTTCTTTCTTCGTGCCACCAAAGGGTAAGTGAGAAGGAAATTTGCCGGACAAGCCAGCTTTGGGGTATTTACACCCAATAGGTTCCGGTTGAGCATTGTGGATTTCCTGGTTATCAACATCATTCATTCCAGTACATGTATCTTCATAATCATCTGAGGGGGATTCGGGTGGCATCAAGTGTGGCACAACTGGGCTAGCAGCAATCCCAAGTAGCGGGCAAAGTGGACGAAGCCGTTTTCGTTCTTGACTTGCAAGCGGTAATATACGGTCCATTCTGAACACCTTCCCTTTATTGCGGACCTCAGTAAGACCAAGTATCGCAACTCTTCCTTTCTGAGATGCTGCAACAACAACACCGAGCTCAGGTATCTGAAGAGCCATGTTAAATCGATCCGTTGCTTCGATAAACTGTACAGGATTTGTTACTACTTGTGATAAAGCAGCGCGGAAAATGACCGAAGGGCCATTAGAAAAGGGACCGGGGAGCATTCGAATATGAGATTCAGAAAAATGGAGAATTTGGAAGCTATCAAACAGATCGGAAGTCGGGCGGTCATCTCTTAGCAATCCCACCCTACCGTTGGCCTTGGTCGCTGTGTTAGACTCTGAGTGGATATCTTCATTCATAGGAGTATCAGAGTGTTCATCCAATTCATCTAGGTTACTCGTTTCGGATGAATCCCCATCGGATGAGTTATCACCGCTATTGTCTTGGTCCATATCAATGTCCGCATCGTTTACCGTGGCATGACTGGTGTTGGTTCCGAGAGCAGGTGTGACACCCTCGTCTTCCTCGTCTTCCTCGTCTTCCGCGACTTCTTCATCTTCTTCGTCTTCTTCGTTTTCTTCATCCTCATTATAAGTCACGTCACTATCTTCATCAGACTCATTTAAAACAGGGGTATTGGATATAGTATCAATTAGGATATTGGAATAATTATGGGCAACTAAAGGAGAATTATTTTGGAGCGTCTCTTGTGCTCCAACTGTAGAAGGAGGAAGGTCCCTGGGCGTTTCCGTCCTGACAGGGGGTGTCTTTATACCAGGAACTGTGTCGTGACGATTAATGGGATCTTCAACACCTCCATCAGAATCATCGGAGTGAGTAAGTGGAAAAAGCTCATCGGGTGAGGGCCCTTGATTTCGACGTTGAGCAACGGGTGTTGAGGACGAAAAGACATTATAATACTGGGTAGCATCGTGGACTTTGCTGGCTAAAAAGCTAAGATCATACGGTGCATCCTTGTCTGGGTACTTATGTGGAGGGCCGCCGCAAGCTTCAAGAAGGTCTTTTTTCATGCGAAAGGACCTCGGATCAACAGCCAGAACATTCCATCCCCGCTGCCGGCTACCAATTCTCACAAATATTAGACAGTTTCGATCCGTACCCTCTTTCATGATTAACTTACTCGTCAAATAGGTCATCATACTGTTGGTCATCATCCCCGGAATAAAAGTCCCAGTAGTTAACCGGACGAAAACGTTCCCAAATCCTCCATACAAGGAGTTTGTTATTGATGTCCGTGCTGACTAGCCAGTCTCCATGAGGGTCTAGGTCACAGTTCAAAAATGAGACGTTAGGTATATTTGCAGAATGCCCCGATAATGAGAGTCGAATATTCTGAGAGCGTCGGCGTTGCCGCGACCAACCCCGCAGCTTCAAGAATTCCGTAATACTGGTAATATGAATCCATTCATTATTATGGACCTTCGGGTGTTTTGCCCTAGAAGATAATGAACCTTCCCGAGTCACATGTGAAACTTCCGTATTATCCACCAGGGCAAAAGCAAATATGGTTATTGTTGTGGTATTTGAGCTCACAGCTATCATTCTCGCGAACTTATGGATTGCCAAAGCCCAGGCACTTTGTGTAACCCACTCACTGAAAAAGCATTCTACTCCATTGCCTACCTGGACTGGGTCGGTATCTTCAGCCCTGCGGTTTTCAATACACCAGAATATGCGTTCAATCCTATAAGCAGCCACGTTCCCTGAATCCGTTGCCAGAAGTAAGATCTCATCGGAGCCAAGGTCACCAACAGTGATTTGGTTGATGGCATGAGGATTATTGGGCGCAATATAACCCGGAGCATCAGGTCGTGCCATTTTTGGGGTTAGGATAAGAGACGGCCGTGAACCAATAATTTGTCCGCAACTTGGCTGGAACACGTATATCCGACTGGAGTAAGCAACAAAATAAAGGTTCTGCCTCTGGGATAGAGCAGTCTTGAAAAAGAGTATCATGGTTAATTTTACATGCATTGAATGGTAAAGGAGACATCAGAACGTACCAGATTATTCCGCCATGTCGCAATAGGAGGCGATGGAACATTCCGTCTGATATAGAAACTCAGTTAGCCGTTGAGTGAAGGGTCTCTTGGAGGAGCATTAGAACGGAATAACATACGGAAACTGCAGGCTTAAGTCAGCGATATTGCTCTACAACATATAAGGGGGGATTTCTTTTAAAACATACACGCGTATCTCCCCGTTCAACGCCGTGCGGCTCCACGGTAATTCCATGGTCAGCGTGTTCATCGAGAACTTCTATCCAGACCGGGTTGCCTGCACCAATATCACTCGGAGAATTTTGATCCATGTTGTACAGTCAGGCCATGTATTTGGGGATATCAAGATTAAGTCATCGGCACTACTGCGGGTCGATCAAGACAGTTAAAGCACTAAGGTAAGTAAATATGCGTGAGATCAGGCGCTGTCTCAGAGATGAAGCAACCATTCTTGGTGGAGGCGAAGAAATGTGGTGGGGTTTTTTTCCTTAGTTGCCGGAAACAACCAAGCAAGAACCGGGATCAAGTTGCAGTCGAGAATAGCAGCGTTCTCACACTCTGACATGCATCACAGTAGCAGGTTGGCTATCAGCTCGCCAAAATAACAGCATCTGGCTACACCACCGAGATGTTGACCTGTCGTCGAGAGAAAGCTGATGAGGCTGCGAGTGTTTTCCGGCTTTACGTCAAACACTTTTTCGTTCTTGGAAAAGTACGAAGTTTACCTTAGTCACGTGCGCACTTTATTTCCCCAGTGTGATAATGCACGGTCTCTTTATTGATCAGTGCATTGACTGTTTGTCACATGACCAATTTCTAGTGGACGTATTTTCGGCGAAGTTTCAAGTTTCGACTTTCTGAAGAAACAAGCTGAAGAATGAAACAAACAAGACGTTGAAGGAGAAGGCAACAACGGAGGCACCAGAAGCACGAAAAAGGGGAAAACGTGGTAAACACCGAGATTGTCGCTCTAGGTAGCCAGCATGGATCTTGTGTCCACGATTCGGAAGGAAGGGAGCAGGTAAGTTGCACAGCTTGAGAGTAGCCAGTCCGTTGGCTTCAAGTGACTGATCGGTACATGGCTTCATAGGGGCGGTCAAACGGAGTTCAAATGGTCAGACGTTAAGGACTCGAGCCGCCGGGAAAACTACCTTGGCCATTCCTTGATGGCCCCCGTTGGTCGGTGGCAACAAGGCCGTGACCTCTCGTGGTATACCAAAGGAGAAGACTCTGACGCAGCAAAGAAGGCTCGAGAGGAGGAAATCCGGAAGGTTAAAGAGGCAGAGCAAGAAGCTATAGCCCGAGCACTTGGTCTACCAATATCAGTGCCGTCGAAAAGCTCGAACGCCAACCTAGAACCACTGGGGGGAAAGGAGGTCGAGCGAGCAGTCTTAGAAGGAGCGGATGATCATGAAGATGTTGACCGCGTCAAGGGAGTCGGGTTTGGTGGCTTCACTGGCAAGACGCCAGCTGGAGAAGGGATCGAAAAGCTGGAGCCAATAGGAGATGTTTCTAGCAACTACAGTCAAACTACAAAGACCAATGCTGACAACCGGCCCCGCAGTGACCGCCACTCGGAAAGAAGAAAGGAACACGACAGAAGAGACGATCGAGATCGTGCAAGGCACTATAGAAGTCGGAGAGAAGACCATCGCTCGGATCGACATGAAAGAAAAAGATATCGTTCACGTTCTCGGTCCCGAGAGGCCCCTAGGCGGCAACGCTCAGCTTCACGTTCACGCAGCAGAGATCGGGAATCACGAGATCGTCGAACCCATCGCAGACGGAGCAGATCACCCCGTGACTCCCGATATCATAGAGACGATAAAAGATATGAACGTAACGACAGAAGACGATAATACAGCTCAAATATAATGACAGGTTTTGGCGTTTTGGGTTATAATCTATTATTACTTATTGGCATAGCCTCTAGGGTTGATCACGCTTCATTTTTTTATAAACAGATACTCCGTACTTGTCTCTAATATCTATAAATTTACAATTCGTCTTTAGCGCTGGATTGGGCATTTAAATCGGGCATAGTCATCATTTTTACCACAAGGCTGGTCCAACCGGTGAAGTGCTGTGTTCGCTGGCCTTTGCCTGTATCGGGGTTGTACTGCTCCCAAGCAAAGCCAGTGTTCTTCCACTCTTTGTAAACATTCTCGACTATATTCTTGCGTAGCTTTGTATACATCTCAGATGCTTGTTCCTGGTGGGGACCAGCAACCTGCGCGACTCTCTGTAAAGAACGCCTTAGTTAGCTATGAAAATATGTGAACCATATGAAGACATACCAGAAGATTACTGAGGACCAGATAATTCATATTGATCCAAATAGGGCCCCTCCAGTAGTTCTCGCCAGTTCCGAAGAATTCGTCCTTTTTGCTCAGACTTCGGATGCCGTAGTCACTCCATAGTTCGTCTGAATCCTGGATGAGATTTAAGATATCTCCCAATCTCGGGTGTTTGGCATCCAGAAGACCCGTTATGAAAGGGAAAATTGAGATATACCCCTTATGGCATACATGAACACTGTCTTCGTAATCATCAATTGTGGAATCACAATATGTCTTTGCGTCCTTATTCCAATGGAGATCATCAATATTTCTAAGAATAGCAGTTTCATATTTGGTGAATTCCTCGACATCAGCTGTCTCACCTAATGCTCCGGCAATGTCTCGCAAAGATTGGGTCATCATGCCCATCCAGCTTATGAGATCAACGTGAAGCTCACCAGGGTGAGGCGGCTGGGGTCTAGGGTAGTCATCCAGGCCAGACGTGAGGATGTGCTCGACCGAACGTCCTCGCCATCGATATCCTTCCTTCGTAGAGAAAGAGTCTCTTTCATAAGATTTGAGATCGCCCCATTGGGTCTTCCTAAACCAGAAATAATGGCGACGGAGTAGGGGATATATTGAACGAAGGAATGTTATGCCAAGCTCTTTATTGTCAGAATAAGCGGAGTTGTTAGGACTATCGGGGCCAGAAGATTTTCCTAGGGAAGCTTTGTTCATGAATTCTCTGAGAACAAGAAACAATGTAGGCGGGTTGGCATAGTGAGGGTATTGGGTTTGGAATTCCCTTGGAACTTTGCTTCTAGCCTCAGGTCCTAGGATTTGTTCTCTGGCAATCCATCCATCTTCATCCATGAGACTCAGCCAACTCTTGACAATCTGAAGCCTGTTCCTTGTTAGTCCGCTATTTGATAGATAGAGAAGGGTAGAAGGGCGTACGTCAGGTCAAGATCCCATTCCAATATTGGCAACAGGTGGAAGCCCTCGTCCCACAGGAACCCCCTGGGGAAGAAGGGCCTGGAAGGTACTGAAGTAAATAATTCAGATGGATTTGCGACCGTGAGTTGGGCACGGGATCGAGCTTCGGCAGCCTCTTCCCAGAATCCTTCATTCTCTTCATCGTACTCAGGAGCATAAGTGCGGTCAACAATAGAATCTCCGTAAAAGTAACCGATTCCGCCTACTAAATTGGAGAGCATTTCCTTTGAGAACCGCAAGTAGTCTGGATTTTTGAACGGAGCGAGCGGTCTGAAGATATTCTCAAACTTTTGGGCGAATGTAGCAGATACATCCTTAATCCGCTTTGTGAGAGTGGATGCTGGAAATGGAAATTAGAGATAGTAATGACTAGATGATTATTGCGCACATACAGGTCAGTGGTTTTTCGGTTGTCCCTGACGAGAAAATAATATCAAACTAACCGAAAGTCAATGATCAATGGTTTGATAGTTAAGATAACTAAACGGTTACATACCTCAAAAGATCCGCGGAAGACTTTCTGTATATAGTGAATGTTACCTCCACCCTGAGTATTTGTAAGGGTGAGCAATGCCGGAGGAGGAGGTACATTCCCTTCTCCAAACTTCTTTACGGCAGCTTCAATATATTGTTTCATATGTGTGAAGAGTATAGCTATAGCAGTATTTGAAATATTAGCAGCACTTCAAGATCAGTTAGAACGAAAAGGTGGTCTCATACTCTTTCCCTGCCAAAGAGCCTCTGGCGGGACGGTCATGCTTGAAACGATTGTTCTGTCCAACGGCTTGTCGACGTAGCTTGGGTGCATCCGCTCAGGGTACGTGTTGGTATTCGGACCACGGGTGATATCAATAGTAAAGTCACCCAGGCCTATTGCGTTTCCCTCAAGCCTGACATCTCCTGCATATCCGAGCTCATTGGGCTCGTTTTGCAGTCCCAGCTTCCCAAGTCCTTCCAACCCAGCATAAAATATCAATGTTGTAGGCTGATTAGGAGGTGCATCGGGACGAGGTACTCCCCTAATGCGAGCACCCCAGCTACCGCCGTAAGTCCCCCCCGGGATCTTTACGAAGTCTATCGTAAGGTCAATTGTGTTGCGGGAATCGTGTATGGTCTGTCTGCCGCCGTTTCGGATGTCATATTCCTCCCAGCCATAGCCCTCCATTCCCTCATTCTGCTCACAGGTATGCCTGAAGTCTATAATATCAAGTTAGCTTTTATCTAAAATCACACATCTCATGGTAGATTTCATCCTGGCCGAGCAGCAGCCATGTTTACATACTCTCCTGAGCTGTCTGGTAATTGTCGACTTTTGCCCACAGCAACCCCATAAGCAAGCTCTTTGGAATCCGCGGACGCATTCCGAAATACAAATTAGGACGATAGGGACCCCATAGTAACGTCTGGTTCAACGCCGTATCCACGGCCAGGGCAGCGGCAGCTGTATCCTCGGCTGCAACGGGGCCTAGCACGAAGAGAATACAAACCCACAGAAAAGATATAGCAGCCATATTGACCGCTCGCCCTGACCTCATTATTAGCCACCAGGTCATAAGCCGCTCAAGCTTAGGTATCAATGGGTCCGGCCCTGCCTTTCCATCTGCTTAAGGGTTATTGACGACTTGACGTGTCCCCATTTGCAGCCAAACACAACCGCCGGAGATACGATGGTCCGCTTTATGCCTTTAAACACCTCCAGCTGGGAACGGCTAGGTAAAATAGGCCTTAGTTGTTTGTTCAGAATATCCAATTGACTTATCTCATGATACAAGGGCCTAAGTATAGATTTGCTTGTCGCGCATATAGCACTTGATATAGATCGTGAACATATAAGCAAGTCGTCTATAGTCCCTGAGATCAAGGACATATGGGAACTATAGGAAATCATGTAGTGACGTCATTCATCTATACGGATATCAAACTGATAACTAGTCAAGAGATTGATCTCTAGAGAAAACTCCAGGAAGCGTGGTAGTCGAATAGTGGAAATAATTCCTCTATATCACCTTGCGAGGATCCAGAGAAGAAATATTCAAACTCTTAGCATCGCCGTCGAAAACAAACTCGCTCATAAGTTTACCTGTTGCCGGTGCGTTCTGGATGCCCCAGCAGGTATGGCCGGTTGCTAGATACAAGCCTTCCGTCCTAGTCTTGCCGATAAGGGGGCTTCCTCGATCACCGGTGCCAGCTACGTTAGGAAGATAGCAGGCCTGCCGGACCAGCACCTCTCCATCCCGTAACTGGTCAGACACGCTTCCAATTGCGTTGATGATGTCCTCGCATCTGGACTTATCAACCTCGACATCAGCTGTAGATGACGGTAAAGGTACCAAAGTATCTCCTTCTCCACAGGCATATACGGTGTTGTCTGGCCGAGCGTAGATTTCAGGGCTGGTTGCAGAGAGTCTGCCTGACTTTGACTGTCCCGCTGGAAGAGTGATCTCGGTAAATAGAGTGTATGCTGAGATAGGGCGTGTTGGACGTAGGACAACACTATGTGCTCGAAGGGCTTCGATTGGGGCTGGCGGGAATATCCTTGATGTCCAGGGGCCCGCTGAAATGATAACGTCTGTAGCAGTGATAGTCTCTGTACCACCAGTGGCCTTTCTTTGGTATTTTAAAGACTTAACGGGGCCTTCTGAGTAGTCAATATCAGTAACCGTTCCCAGGACAACTTTTGCGCCCTTCTCTTCCGCCAGCTGTGCCATTGAAGTCGTAAAAAGGTACGGATGCACCTGTGCGGTTGTTCCCTTGCCTCCCATCTCCTCGTACGCCCTTAGCACTGCAGGATCGAACCAGTCAAGGTCTTCTGGGAACCCGGCAGCCTTCAGCGTCGCCATGGCATCATCGCTTCTCTTTCCCAGAGAGACCGCCGCTTTGCCGGATTTCGACTTGTCAGCCTGGTTTCTGGCCCGACCATCTGCGATAAGCTGTCCGCATCCAACTTCCCTATATCCCCATCTGTCTACTCCGCCATGTTCTTTTGCTAGTTGGGCATGTAGTTGGAAGCTCAAAGGGACGATTACTTTGGGGTATGCCCACAGAGCTAGCAACCCACCAGCCTTGCCAGACGCTCCGCCAGCAATCTCCGAGGCCTCGAGAATTGTTATTCTGTGTTTCGAGGGATCGTACGAAGGATGTCTTGTTAGGAAATAGGCGCAGCAGCATCCAATTATCCCGCCGCCTGGTAAATTAGATGTTAGACTTGTGTTCGATTATTAGGAGGGGTGAAGCCTACCGATAATGACAATGTCCCGCTCCCTACCAATATCAGTCATTCTGGCTGGTGACTCTAAGGTATTCTCGAGATGGCGCTGCCTATAACGAGAATTACACTATATCAACGTCCTCAATAGTGTTTGCTCCTAACAAGGCTAGTAGATGTCTCCTCCGCCCGTAGTCAAGAAAGTTGTGCCTTTTCCCTATGACGTCGTAAAAATATTTCTTCGATCCCCGCGAAAAGGGAGAATCCACAACCGCAGCCCTGTATACCGAACTTCTTCGAAAACAGCAAGACAACGAATGAAATAAAATCGGGTATTTTTCTCAATGCTGCAGCGTCTCTAATTATACAAATGGTGGTCATATCCCAGAAGTGAAAGCAAGAAAAGGCAATGAATTAGCAATAACCAAGGTCACCCAGGAGTAGATAGTGTATGAAAACAGTGAAAAGAAAGAAAAGAAATAACGCTCAGAATGCTGTTTAAAAAGGTGGGTAGATATAATAAAGAAGAAAACAGTGCTGTTATCGAGTTGGACTCAGCGGCTTGTTGAATCCTCCCACACGGTTCATGTACTGTCTGTACTGTGTCTTCTTCTCTTTGCGAACACCGGAGACGTTGTTTCCAGGGACTTTAGTGTTCTGCGTACTCTTGAAGGATGAGAACCCCATGGCCCTCATCATCACTTGGTCTAGGTCGTCAGGATCGTCTGGTATGTCTACCTCCATTTCGTTTTGCCGGCCGGACTTGGTGGACGGTCGTGCAGATCCAGACAGGCCATTGGGTTCTCTGCTGTCTCCTCGACGTCGGCTGTATTTTGCATCTCCCCGGTCAGGCCCACCTCTACGGGTAGGTGATCGTGAGCGGGCCCTACGGCCATTTCGTGCAGGAGATCGTGACCTCGACGGCGACCTGCTAATAGATCTCTCGCGGTGTCTCTTGGATCTAGAAGCGTAATCTATATATACAACATTATATCAGCACTCTATCATTATGACGCTCATGAAAGAGAGAGCGTATGTAGTGTGTAAATATACACATACCACGTCGAGAGCTGTATCTGTCCCTGCTCAAGCTCCGCTCTCTACCTTTGCCGCCTCTACCATCTCTGTCAAGATCTCTCCAGGTATCTCGTGGGTAATCTCGAGCTCGTCTGTCCCTTGACCGGCTTCTGTCTCGTCGTCTCTCCCCTCTGTCCCGAGATCGCGATCGAGATCGCACTTGTCGCTCCCCCTTGGGACCATTCCTGGAGACCTCCTCATTGCCCGCTGCCATGTTTTTCGGAGTAGAACTAAGTTCTTTAGATTCACCATCGGACCGCGTGGTATTATCATTCATATCCCACATTGCTGAGCTGTCTGTCCTTCTGGCGCGTTTGGCTGGCGGTTCGACCATAGTGTCAAGCATGAGGCGAAAATCCACAATCACAACAATATCTCAGTGAAAATAAGGGGCAAAGGTATACCGAATAGCTGCTAATATCGCCCGAATCTCGTCTCTGCTGCTGCTTAACACGGGCTCAAATGTTTGTTTGCTTCCTCGTTGCTTGCTTGCAGATTGAAAATGAACGAAAAACTTCTACGGCGGACGGAAAAAGCCAAGAGTGCCTCAATGATTTTCTTTTTGTGGTTTTACGGGCAGAGAAAGATTTGATAGACAGAAGAGACAACAACAACTCTGCTAGGTAGAACTACAGCAATATACAGAGGAGTAAAGGCTTGCTGAAATGGCTCCTAATGATGTGTCTCACCGTCGAACCCATAACTTGCTGCTGATATCGAAGCTGCTCAACCTCCGGGAGGGTGCTGCGCCGTTAACTCTCGTGCAAGACTCGCTGGAGCAGCCAGCCGCTCCGCTCTTAAAGGAGTACATTCGACGAACCAAAGTATTTATACTTGAGCCCCCCTATAGCTATGATTTAAAGTAGTGTGTCTGACGGCTTTTCCACTAGCTATCTAAAGGACATGTAACCTTCGTCTCCTTCGATACATTGACTCGCCCGGCTGGTGCTGACACATTCATAAACGCCGCTGGAAAGCCATACGAGCTGATCGCAGAAGAGGTGACATCGTCTTATACTGCCTCCCAGCCTACAGGAAACCAGAATACCACTCCCAAAAGTAAGTATTTCGGAGAAGACTTTTGTTTGTTCAATCTGCTAAAGCACGGACCTTAGGATATCTTGTCATAGTTGATTCAGTACATCCATTGCTTTCTCCAAGAGCTGGCGCAAAGACTGTTTATCTGCCTGAATACCTCAGCTCTCTGTTGGGGCCTGCTTCACCCCATGTGCAAGTCTCTCTTGTTTTGGTTTATCACCGTCATATACCATCTTCACCCAGCTCGAATCCGTACGCCCCATCACCGCTCTCCCTCTTGACATACCTCGCCACGACAATAATCACAACCCATTCAATGTCTCAGATGCTGGCTCGAAAGGCAGCTATAGATAGAAGTCTGGCGCCTCCAGTATTTGGACTGGAGGAAGAAGTCGACGGTGTTTTAATTGGAAGGGTTAATCAACACTTGAAGGGCGGGAAACAAGACGGAATTGTCCTGGAAATGGAACATAGGCGGAAGAGCGGACGTGGCATAGTCGAGTGGTATTTTCTGCCACATGCATCTAAATACTCTACCAAACAAGTTACGGAGGTGGTCATTTTGCTTGATGACCATCCGCTGTATAAACGGAAGGACACTGAAGTGAACGAGGAAGCATGGGAACCCGAATCAACCTTCGAACTTGGCCTAACGGAAAGACAGCGGAGAGAGAGGGATAATGTGGTGCTGCCTTATTTCGATGCCCAGAAGGGTAACGGTCCCGGGGAGGGTGGACGTATCCTCTATGACATGGGCGAGGAAGACGACTTCGATGAAGAGGAGGACGAAATCTGAGCAGAATCAGCGATTGCCGGCAAGAGAAAAGCGAAAGTCCTCAGAAATTCCATGGTCCATTAATAATAGGACATGCGAGGGCTTACACCAAAGGATACAACATTGTGAGCAATTGCATCGTCGTCTGGAAGGCATTTTGGTGTGTATGATTATGGACATTAATAACTGCGCTAGAAGAACCGCCACCAGATGAGAAGGATAAAGATGAAGCCAACTCCCGCAAAAGGACCGTACTTTCAAGCTGCGTTAGTATCCAGCTTCCACAGTGCGGGCGAATGAACTGATAGGCACATACCTGTTTAATCAACAATTCCCAGTTTATTCGAACAGCAGCCTTTCGGTATTTCTTGCTGTCCTCCCGCAGCCTCCCGGACATTTCTCCCATGCGCTCCAGGCTATCACCTCGGTACAAGAGATCTTCTATATTTTTGGTCATCACCTTAGTGACATCTTTTAGTTCATCATTCAATTTATCGATGTTCTGGGATGCTCGGCTATCTTGGTATGACTTCTTGGTTCGTTGGATAAAGGAGTCAAACTCGACAAAGGCGTATGGTCGTAAAGAGGAAGAGAGATATCTTGTTGGAGAATAGGTGTTAAAGAACTCTGTCGCGATATCGGATAGATATGAGAAGGCGAGTTTGCGGGGATACGATTGCTCTGCGATACATAGGAAGCAGATGTCGTCCTGAATGATGTAACTAGAACAGCCAAGTTAGCATCCACATTCGATATCTCTTCATTACCCGGTATCTCCTTAGGGAATCCATCTCCGTACTGTAGACTATAGCGCCCCGAAGATATGCTAGCTTGTTGCTCCGAGTTGCGATTCAACCGCGCAACTATCTCTTTGGTCTGCGACTTAACATCTGACAGCTCTGACTCGGCCTATAGATAACTCGTTAGCGCATTCAATTTCATTTAAGAGTCCACATCCTGCAGCAACACACGCACCTGTTCATTGTCTACAGAAGCCGCAAGCATCAAGCCTAGAAGAGGACAAACATCTTAGCCTCAACACGTTCACAGGTCCAGACACAGAACACTACCCACCGTCCAGCCGGGAAATCTGTGTTGATATAACCATATTGACGACCCTTATTGTTCACTTCGGCGAAAATAAATTGTCCTTTACCGCAGTTAACTGTTGACTGCTGACTGTTTTCTTTCTTGAAGCCAGATTCTGTTGATTTTTTATTTACTTGACAAGAATGAGAAGATGAAGCGCAAGGCGGTGTCGGGCGGCAGAACTAGCTCCCCCCAAAAGCTGTAAGTACATCAACCTCAAACGCCAACGTCAACTCCAACGCTCACTACGGTACAAGAAGGGCTGTTTTTTGATCTTTACTCTTTTTTTTCTAACTCTTTTTATTGGCCCTTTACTGTTTGCTTTTATTAGGCAGTTGGGATATGCTAAGATCTGGAAACTGGTAGGCGTGGGCAGCAGGGTGCGCTGGACGATGCGACTCCTACGAAAAAGACAGCTCGATCTTCAAATGAGACGAAGCTGAAGATGCCACCCAAAACGGCCTCTAATAAGCGCAAGTCCGCTAGAGGAACTAAGAAGAATCCATGGGTTGATGAAGAATTTGTGATGACAAGTGAGAAATCTCCTCTTGTCGACATTGATTTAGCGGTATGTGGTGGTTGATCTTGCAACATCTGAGTGTTGCATTTGGCTGATTGATTGATGTTAGAAACTCTTCACCAAACCCGAGGCATGGACGTGTCTAGATGAAGGAGAGAAAAAAGAGATTCTTTCTCTACTTCCCGAGAGCGTACACCCAGATGTAGAACCTTCTGCTGAGAATCCAGATGGGATCATTCCGCCCCTTGCCGAAGAGTTTCTGCGCTCAACCGTTTGGCGTGATGCAACCCGTCAATTCCAACTAGACCTTGCGAACGGAAAATATGACCCTCAATGGCAGAAGCAGGCACATAAAGCAGTAAAAGAAAGGGCCGAGGGAAAGTTTGATGCCAAAAAGGAGCGAGATTTTGAGGCATTCTGGGGACAGAAACAGCGCTATCACACCAATGTGCCAGCCGGTGATAGTGCCACTGTTGACTTCAAAACTTTAGTCACCAACGGTGTATTCGAAGTGGGTGACGTTTGGAAATACTCGCGTTCTCAGGGAAAAGGGGCGGAAAAGTTTCTGGTTGAGAAAGAGGTAGCTGTATGCCTTGCATTTACTCTTCCCCCCACGCACCCCACGATTAGGCCTTAGCTCACGGTATACTATCAGGTCATGAGTTTGGATGGAGAGACCCTTACTTTTGCTATTCCTCCTGGCAGGCGCGTGTTCATACCTTCACTGACCAAGTGTCAGCCAGTGGCTACGCCAGCGCCAGAACCTATACCCGATCATCCAGTTGAACGTGAGGCTAGGCCGGAGCCTAAAGTTGAACCCAGGGTCAAAACTGAACAAGAAGCTAGCTCAGAGGAGATTTCGAATACAGATACGTCACAAGTTGTTTCGACAGGGCCTCAAGTTTGTGATCCAGACCGGAGTATTGCCCAGGAATATATAATGAGTAACAACCAGAGTGTTATCACCGCGAACCTCGCAACAGAACCTAATAATTCCTCAGCAAGAAATGAAAATTGTTTTGGTAACAAAGCAATTGTTGAGACATCTATACCCCAGAACCGTTCAGGCATTAACACAACTATGGACATTGATCCATCCAACGATGTTACTCCCAGTGTTGAATCAGAAGCAGCCAAGGAAATCAATGGTCGTACGCAAATGCGTTTTCTAGGAAAGCCCTTTATTGATGAACTTCTAGATGATAGTGATGACTGCAGTATCGTGTCTGATCCACCAGATATGATTGATGAGATAGATGATGCGGATTTCCACAGATCCTTACAAGAGCTTGGACCTTTACCACCTTTAAATACTCCATATGTGCCGTTCAATTTCAAGGCAGATCCTTCCGGTTCTAGAAAAGTTTCATCATCTACTGAGCCTGAAGTTGCGGTCGTAGGGGTGCTGCCAACTGGCCATACTGATGCTACAAATGGTGCTTGGCCCGAACGGTCTCACCCATTGGTACCAAAAGACGATACATGTGAATCTTCTACCCTTATGGAAACAGCAATCGCAACGGAAACTGAGCCGCAAGTCTCCGAAATATCCCACCAACCACATACCAGCCAGTCCAACGGTCAAGCATCCGTACATCCAAAAGTTGATACAGGCGATAATACTCAAACAAAAACCAGAACACCAGATATTTGGCCAGAAACATCGAATCAGCCAAGTCTTGGTTCTCCTGGTACTCTCAGCACGAAGCCCGGAGTTATGTTGGAAGTGCCAGATAAAACGAGCTTTCCTTCCGAGGGTAGAAATGCCCCTGTTCCTGAAAGTCCCAATGGCGTCGAGCCAGTAATATTCCCAGGCGTCACAGGACCTATGTCTTTGATTAGAAAGATTCACGAAATTGATGGCCGAGAATCGTCTGCCCGAGTCGCAAATGCATGGATGCTTTTCCGTTGCATCAGAAACAACCAGGACATGGGTACACTTTGGGAGGTCCGGCACAGCTGGTATACCCGATCAAAACGGTGAATATGACGTTGGTACTTGGTATTGGTAAGGCAAGATGACCTAATAATACGTGCCGATTGCCAGGGTGCTACGCAGGATATCGCTCTTGAAAGAAATTGGAGCCCGCTTGAATATGCCCTAGATCCCTGGATTTCCCTTTGTACGATAATGGCTCATCCTGGATAGATTTTTCAATTGAATAACTTCATGGGCATGTTCCGCGGGACTATTTCCGGAGGAAATAGTCTTGGCATATTTTTAGGAATTGATTAATGAATACGAACTGCCGAAGTTGTACCATTTCACGTTTTTCTTGGTCTACACCATCGTAAGTATATACATGAACATAAGGTCATGATGTCACATAGCCAAGATATATCTACAAAGCCGCTTTAAGTCTCAGATTGGACCACTACCTCGTCGCTCGTGACCCTAGAAGGATTCTCTGTGCTATTAATATCCACAGCACAGCTGCACTCGATGAAGTCTTCGAGCTCTTCGCTGACCGTCTTCAATTTCTCCTTCACACGTGCAACCGACTCTGCTCCAACTATATGTCTGGCAGGCGGGTCTTCATGACCTCCAATGGCAGTGACCGCATACATGGTTTCCCCCATAAGCATTTCCAGATGCTCAGAGCCGAGTGGTGGATAAAGTGAGACGCCAGAAGATGCGGAGAGAGGCTCGTCATTATCTTTTGTATACTCTTGCTTCACACTTCCTGGAGAAGACAACGGCGCCTGTGTACTTGGCGGGAAATGGGCTGACCGGGCATATCCGCTGAAACCCGGAAGCTGGGAAAGTACGCTGTTCATAATTCTTCGAAAAAGGGGAGCATGGTTTTGGGCTGGATTGTAGGCGTCAAGTGGTGGGACGCTAGTGATCAGATTGGACAGTACCCCTATCTCAACGCTGCTTTGGAGGATTGTGATTCGAATATTGAATGGCGCCACCTCGTATGCAAGGCTCTGTTGCATATATTAATAAATATATCGTCTTGAGGAGGGGTTTGACAGGTATGGCTCACGTCACAATAACCGTCTAATGCCCATTCTGCAGCACAGTATACTCCAAGACCAGGTGTTCCGATATGCCCGGCTATTATTACATTAGCATATTGCGCGACGAGAGGTTCGTGTAGTTAAGGATATTAATCTTACTAATTCCCCCCAGGACCATAAGATGCCCGGATCTCTGGAGCCGCATTTGTGGAAGAGCAGACTTGATCAAGTTCACGGGTCCAAAGTAGTTAGTTTCAAACTGGTCTTTCAGCAGCATTCTTGCTCGCTCTGAAGTCGCAAGCTCTTCAACAGATCCAATGACGGCTACCAACGCTCATATCAGCAACTGTCGTTCGAGTAGAAGCTAATCAGGGAGGGTTCGACGGGCACACCTTGGCTTGTGCAGCAGAGAACGATGTCAATTCTTCCGTATTTGTTTATCGTGCTAGCAATTGCAGCCTGGCAGTCGCTCATTATCCTATAGACATCTAAGTTAGCCTTTGTCATGAGAGGCGCGTCTCCCCATGTCCCTAGTTTTCCGTCATTGAAGCTGTATGCCACTCCATTCATACCTGATATCAAGATTCACAACATCAAATCTTTCTTTCCAGCCGCTAGTCTCCTGGCCCGGTTCCGCATTGTCTAGCTCTTCGAGGAAGTCTTCGAAAGCAGTGACCCTGGGATTTTCTCGTTCAGAGTCTGCGGGACAGCGGCCGCAAACCACGTAGTCGCCATGCGCAAGGATCTGGCGAGCTAACGAAATTCCTATGGGAGAGTCACCAGAGGAAAACAGCCAGACTCGCGGATTCTCATGTGCCGGAAACTGGGATTGGCCTGCTGATGAAGCTGTTGCAGCGGCAGATGGCGCTGGTGGTGCTCCTGTGCCTGCGAGGTTGTTTTCCATTATTGATTCGCTTTGCGGGTAAATTGAAAGCCCATCTCGAGGCCCAGCGGAAGAGCAACTCCGGCCGGCCACGGCGTGTGTATCTCTCTCAGCGTCGAACGGGCCTAAAGAGCCAGTCGCATGTCGGTTGTTTCGTCGGAGTTTGAAGCGGCGGCGGCGGCTCTTTTGGTTGCGATCTTGGTTTATTGCTAGATTGCGGCGGGACGCTGCGCTCTCATTGGCTGTTCTCGCACCTCGGGCGATAACGTAAAAGATATCTGGCGCTTCTTCTACGACTTCGACAACACCTTCGTCTCGACAACGCACGCCGCGAGACTCAGTCGGTTTTGGATAGTCACTCTCGAGGCTTGCTTCGACAGCAAAGATGCCAGAAGCACCCAGAGGTAATGCGCGGCAGGAGGAGGAGACCGTGAGTCGGCCATCTGGAACCTACTTCCGACGTAGACAAGGCTAACACAAGCTCTCACAAGCTACAGTCGGCCCTCCAGCCCATGTTAAAGGGGTTTATCATGCTAGTGGTCTCCCAGTTCGTGCTGACGAAGGCTATGAACTATTGGAACGCACCCAATGGCGCTGGCGGCGCAGCTGCTGTCAAGAACTCTTTCCCAAAATTCTCCGAACGGCCCGACCAGGACACAATTACAAACGCGACTTATTTTCCAGTTAAGGCTGTGCCGATGTGGGAACCGGACAGCAAGCTAGACATTGCGATACACATTACGCCATCTACTACATTTCCCCTCCCAAAGGATAGCAAGGTACTAGATGAGAAGGAATTTGATACTGCAGACACAAAGGAGCTTCGAGAAATCAGTACTACTGTGTTCATCCCAAAGGCAGTGCAGAATAATGAGACTCTCTGGGCTCACTTTTTTGTTGCACTTTCGGGACATCCGCAGTACTCGAATCAGGAAGGTTATAGCTCTAACACAGCGTATAACTTTTCTCACCCAGTTAACCAGTATCTGCCAAAAAAAAAAGCCAAAAAGCTCCGGAACCTATTGGATGCAGCTAATGAGACTGAAGTGGTGGAAGAAGAGCCAAAAGTAGTGAAGATTGGCTCCTTTTACCACCCAAACCTCACTGTATCTCTCGTTCCTGACCAGGGGGCTATAAGTCTCCAGTCCACTCATCCCTCTATTCGCCGGTTCCTTCAGCTGGAACGGACCGGTGCCAGAGATGGCTCTGGGGAACTAGGCTGGTATTATCCGACTTTCTTCTTCAATCGTTTCTGGCAGCTTAGGAACCATATGATAGAGCTCAACTCCACTGTCAACGAAGTTCCACTGCGCATTACCTTGAACACCATCAAGCAATGGCAGTTCGCCATAATGTCTAGCATTGAGGATGATTCCAAGCAGAAGCAGCATCAGGCGGCCTTTGGGGGCCCAATCCCACCTACGTCGGGTGATGGGAGCGAGGTTGAGATGATTAAGGAAGTGCTTTTGGATACCAATATCTATCTTCTTATCACCACCGGTGTTGTTGGTGTTTTGCATACGATATTCGAGTTCCTCGCTTTCAAGAATGACATCGTAAGTGACGTATCCCCGTTTAGCCCTTGTGCATGTACAAATCTGAATGGCAAATACTTACCGAGTTACTAGTCCCACTGGAGGAAGAAGAAGGACGTCGTTGGAACTTCTGTCCGTACAATAATTGCAAATGTCTTCATGCAGCTGATCATTTTCTTGTACCTGCTTGACAATAATGAGAATACATCATGGATGATTCTCGGTGGTCAAGGCTTTGGTATAGTCGTTGAAGCTTGGAAAATCACAAAGTCGGCTAACGTCCGCATTCGCCCCCCACCAGCTAACTCATACCTCTCATTCCTCCCATACATAATTGTTCTTGAGGACAAACACAAGCTTAGTGAGACCGAAAAGAAAACTCAGGAGTACGATGAAATTGCATTCAAATGGTTGTACATTGCTGCCGTTCCGTTATTGATTGGGTACGCCATATACAGCCTGCTGTATGAGACCCACAAGTCATGGTACTCCTATGTTATTGAGACGCTTGTTGGTAGTGTCTATGCCTATGGTTTCCTCATGATGGTTCCAAGCCTGTATATCAACTATCGTCTCAAGGTCAGTGAATTTTTCGCGCCTGTTTATACATCCAGAGAAATCGCTTTAGCTAACGCAACATGGCAATAGTCTGTTGCACATATGCCCGGAAAAGCGCTCACTTACAAGTTCCTGAACACATTCATCGATGACTTATTTGCATTTACCATCAAGATGCCAACGCTGCATCGACTTGCAACCCTCCGAGATGACATTATCTTCTTCATCTGGCTCTATCAAAGCTGGAAGTACAAGGTTGACTACACGCGAGTCAACGAATTTGGCCAAGGGGGAGATGACGACGAAGAAGAGGAAAAGGTGCAAGCCACTCAGAAGAGCGAGGAGAATACCTCCGGTGGCGATTCGAAGACAGAAGAACCGTCCGCTCCCGCAGTCAAAGCGGGTGAGAGTGAAGTTTTCTCTTCCGCAAAGGCGTCATCAAAGGGCTCCATGCGGAAAAGGAAGTAAACTGCAATCAGTGCTCCATTCTACCGGGCCATTCCGTCCCAGGCAGCCATCCAGTATTCCTTTTTCTTTTATGTGAGCATTGGGGGAATCAGGAAGGGTATCACTCACTCTAAAAATGAAAACCATATATACGAAATAATCGGTTAATGTCCCCAATAGTGCAGCACCTGTTGATAACCAGAAGCGGTGCATTATTCTGCCATAGCATACCCTGTCTTAATGAAGGCACAGCCCATGGCTTCTCCCTGTTGATATCGAGTATAGTTTTGACAATCTTCGGGCTAGATAGAGATATTGAATTTAACTCACGGATAGTCATATTCTTGTAGAATAAGTAGACCCCCCTCCCTCCCCTTGTGAATACTATACTAATAATACACCGTATACATGTGCCCTACAGTATTCGAACCGGAAAGCTTTGTAATGGATTGGGATACCTTATTTACACGAGTGAGCCCCTGGCCCACACACATCATTACCAACGAAGTAAAGGGTGGATGAGACAGAACAGGCGGACTTATACGAAGCACGAAATACACCCCATTATGAAAGGTAATGTGAGCGAGCAGTATACCTTCTCAAAGGCCGTATTCCGAGACTAATATATCCTTCCTGCTGCCCCTGTACTTGCAAGAATCAAAATAGCAAGATCGTCGCTAACACCCCTGCGTATAGGATAAGACGATGTAGACATACCCAGCCGTCTCCCCACAGTCCCAGAGACAAATCCCATTTATCCAAACTCTACTTCAGAGACTGAAGATGATGCCACGAGTGGTACTCCGTAGCTTAGCTTTACCGGTTTTAGGAAGAGCGAGAGGGGTGGTTTTATGTCCTTCATACGATCTGAGTGTTTCAGAAGTGGTCTAACTAGTCTAGTACACTTGCAGCTCTATAGCGTGCATGAGGGCGATCATCATTACCATGATTCTGGAATTTCGGGCTTTTACATCTGGCCAGCAAATTGCCAGGGGTAGTGCCTTGGCCATAGAGGAAGTATCAGGCATATCTTCCTTGGTATACTTCCATAACAAAAGCATATACAGCCACCGGGAGTTGTATCTTTTGACTTTCCTAGATAGCCTTTGATATCCTTGAGTATGGCTTTGCGGAGAGTATCTTTAGGCCCCATTAGATTTGCCATTGTCAGGGAAATGCTGCATGGGAATCCACGGCTCAAGGGGAGGGCTATCCTAGCATGAAATGCACGACAGACTTCATTCAGCATCGAGCCTGAGCGGGGTAGCCAGCCATACAGAACTTCTCTGTGATTCCCAGAGGGTATTGTGCTCCATCTTACATACCCTAAAATCGGACAAGTAATGGCATCCCCTTGGGCGCTGATCGAATGCTACTCGAACATCAGAAGAACGCACGCAGATCAAAGTCCCATGTACCTGACTAAAAAAGGGCAAACGTCACGGACTTGGTGTGCGCGGTTAATTTGGCAGCCTGACGCTGGGATCCCCTAGACTAGCATGTTGGCCACGACATAACTCTTCCTTGTCCTCGGAAATGCATCTGAAAACGGTCAAGGGTAAGAAAGCAATCCCGTCCTGGTGCAGAGGCGAGAAAAGTATAATAGACTGCTGAGGACTTCAACCCCAGATATTAGTGCTAGGTGATGTTTATCAGCAGAAGTTAACTGAAGCGAGATAAACAGGGTCGAGGGTGATACCATGCATGCTCTTCGATGCAGCCGCCGTCTTGGATGTCTTGATGTCTTCTCAGATGTCCCGGCGTTGCTGGCGTGCTCGACGATGTTGCTGGTTGCCTCTTCTTAAGGTTCCATTATAAACAAGTCACATGAGCAGTAGGCTCTTAGGTGGCAGTGGACATGTTTATCTCCCGGATTAATAATCACCCGCGCCAAGACCCACGATTAAGCTCGTGGAGTTTGATCGTCGGATCTGCAAAACATCGACATAAACATCGACATTGCAGCGAAAAGGGAGACTCTAGATGCCAGAACTCTCTAGACAGTCGTCTCTTTTCACTCAGATATGATGTTTTGATGGTTACTGTGCCGGCCTTCAAAAGGCCGACCTTGGATCATGGGCAGGGAGGGCTGTTTCTACCTGAAACCGCCCTTCGGTTCTAGGGTTACCCCAGGTTTCTCTATTTCGACAAGGCTGGGCATAAAAAAACAGTTGACTGATCCGTTTCTTCTTCATGATGGCCTCTTCTGGGGATGCAAGGCTCCCCTCGTATCATCTCGTACTCCCTGCCTGGGTTGCCGGCCTGCTGGTGCTGGGTCCTGTGAACCGTGCTGGCACCGTTAACTTTGGTGTAGCAAACGCACGCATGGTACCGGGGGTCCAGTCCACTTCCCCTTTCTCTTGTTATTCCTAGTATTTTGTTATCCGCTGGACCTGACATATCAGCTGTGCCGCTAGAGAGTGCAGTCTATTTTACTAGCAGCTGGAGCGGAAATTAGATTTCTGATAACAATGATGCATTGGGGCTTTTTTTTTAACTTCCGTTGGCGAAAAGAGGACAGCCATCATTTCGCATGCATCATGACGTCTCCACGTTTCCCCGTCTTCCATATGCAAAGTCTGGCTCCAGTGACTTGGCATTGGCCATATTCTGTGATAGCTGCGGTCAGGTGGGATGCTGGACGGCTGGTTTGGGTCACGAAGATGCAACACTCTCAGATATTGGTTCACTTTGGACAACTCTCATGGAGGTTTGATCTCGCGTATGGTCGGAAGATGAACACGAACTTGTGGTCTATAGAGGGTATCCGCTATCGTTCGATACCACCCTGATCTGATCTGTCAATCCTGGCCATATCCCAGAGAAAAGTTATATAAACCCAATGCGTGTCCCCAATGTTCCGTTTATTTCTTTCCCTTACATCTCAGCTCGATACCAATATCTCTCTCATTCACCACCTGAGAATTAGTCAACACATTGTTCCATCTCAAGATGAAGTCTGCAGCTATTCTTGCTCTCTTGGCCCAGGCCCTTGCTGTTACCGCCCAGCCACTTGAAGGTGACAGAACTCCAGGCACTCGTACCTTGGACCTCCCCAACTTCCCCGGTGGTAGCGTTCCAACTCGCGGCGTCGAAAAGCGCGCTGATCTCCCTCCAGATAACGGTGGCGGCAACGCTCCTGACCCAGACAAGGTTCACATTGTTGGTGTCACCTATGGCGGCACTGGATGCCCTGATGGCACTGTGAGCCATGTTCTGTCCGACGACCGCCAGGTCATGACCCTCATCTTTGATCAATATGTGGCTCAGATTGGGCCGGGTGTCAATACCAAGGAGAACCGCAAGAACTGCCAACTCAACATCAATCTCCGCTACCCAGGTGGATTCCAGTTCTCTGTCTTCTCTGCGGATTACCGTGGATACGCAAACCTTGAGAAGGGTGTCTCTGGTACCCAGAAGTCCATCTACTACTTCTCTGGTCAGACCGAGCAGGTTAGTTCTCTCTTGTCTCACCTTTCCTGGTTTTGAGCTCTACACTAATGTACTACTCAGACCTCCACGAGCACCACATGGAAGGGCCCAATTGACAAGGATTACATCCTTCACGACGAAGCCAACCAGACCTCTACTGTCTGGTCTCCATGTGGAGCTAACGGTGCTTTGAACATTAACTCCCAAGTCAGACTCACCTCTACTGACCGCAACGCTCGCGGTATTCTCACCAACGACTCCGTCGACACGAGCTTTAAGCAAATCGTCCACGTCAGATGGCAACAGTGCACCAACTAGATCTCGCGCCAGAGGTCACGACAATAATCCCAGAGGCTCATCCGGATTGAACGAATGGACAACCCATCCACAAGCCTGCGAATGGCTCCTCTTGAGCTGAGCATGGATATACTCGGCTCGCCATGTGCCCTGTACTTATTTGTCATTTTCACGCCAGCCGGGTTATGCTTTGATTTATGAACTTACCGTATATTTTTATTCTCCTTCCTCTCTCTTCTTATGTTTCCTGTTTCCATTCAACCCTCATATATCTCTGTGCCGCCCAACTCCCGTCTCTGGGTTCCTCTTTGTGGAAACAATTCATTCTTATCTAAGAGTTCAGCCTAGGGTACTTAGATATATTATACCTTTCATTCGCGTAATCTTCTCAATGCATCTTTGTTCTTTCCTCGTAGTATGTATATAATTTGCATATTACGTAAACAAATTTGACTCTCACTAGGCGAACTTTGTTCCTGAGTGTTCCTTCGGGGCGCGTAAGAAACGCGATAGTTAATCACCAACACAGAAGTCAAGCAAGTAACGAATATTAATATAACCGTCGAAGGAAATATATACTACAATGGCTTGGACATTGGAAGAGGCTGTAGAGCAGCTTGAGAGTGGTAAATTTGATCTTTGTTTTTGTTAACTATCCCTGGAATTGCGCTAATTGGATTAAGTTGCAAATGTGCCTGCAAAGCAGCGACATACAACTGTTGCTGAGCTGGTGAAAGTGATAGTTTCTTCGGCCTTTGACTCTGGGCTGAAAACAAACATACTAGATCGTATACTGAACGTTGTCGTGTCATTTAGACACCTTGATCAGTCAATTGTGACTTCAATAATCAAAAATTTATACCCCGCTGAGAGAGTTCCAGCAAAAGTTGTGTCTCGAGTGATTTGCTCTCTCGGAGCTACAAAATCAAAACCGTCTCTAGCGACGCAAAATTTGCTTTTGAGATGGCTTCTACTGGTCTATGATTGCCTAGTGAACCGGACTCACCTAGAAAAATTCTATAGCGTCCTCTTTGATAACTTAGATATGATTAGTTTGCGCCGCCTGATCTGTCATTTACTCTCGCTCATCACTCGGAGGAAACATGTCAAACCATTCCGTGTATGGGCCCTTTTGGAGCTAATCCGCAACACGGGTGGTGATGAAAGAGAGCTTTGGGGTCTGCTGCGAGTCTATAAAAGCTATTATCCTGACATTATAGTTGATGATACGGCGATTCCTCGCCGGCGAGCAACCTACTTTTTCAAACATCCTGACCAGGAATGGACCGCGCACATGAAATCACTTCAGGAGAGGGCTGCAAATTCTGCTCCCCGGATTTCCCCAGAAGGCTTTCAGGCTATCCGCCGAGATGGTGTCAAAAGGAGCCGGATTGAGGTTGTTATACCCGTTCCTAAAACTTCTCGTGTCCGACGCGGTTTTACATCTCTAGAAGAACTCACCAATGTGCGAGATTTCGTCAAGAAACTAGACAAAATTGAGCTTCCGAACCAGATAGCTTCCGCGTTAATGGAACCCCTAAGCCAGAAATTCTTACTTCTAGTGCAGAATAAAGAAGCACTACAACGGATGGAAAGCTGGCTTACAAACTTCTTTGAAGACGAACTGGATCAACTGCGAGAAGAAAATACTTTGTCTGAAGAGCTAGGTTTTGTCCTTGATAGCCTGGTCCGATATGTGAGATATACAAAGGTAAATTTTTTCCCTTTACCCTTGATAACGATTTATAATTTAGGCTGACAAAGGAACTCCATACAGGCCTTTCCTGGCTCTGTTGATAAGTTCCTCCAACATTACTTGCCTGTGTGGGATGGAACAAGCCATCGAGCAGCGGTGCTGAAGCTCCTAGAATATGTGCCTCTTAGTGACGACACTTTTCGCCAATATTTTCTGCACTTGGAGAATGCGATTTTGGACAACACTATGGAGTCCAAAAGTTTGGTTCTTCAGTATTATACCACACTAATACGGCGTTATGGCAGTATTCTCCGGTCGAAGACCTCTGTTGATCAGGCCCTTGACTTGGTGAGCGTAGTCCAGAGGGCCGAGTTGATGTCGTTGACTTTAATGGAATGCCCAGCAACCTGTGGTACCCACCCAGTCAAGGACTCACGGCCCTCTAGTTTACCTGTCATGCAATTCTACACACAACTAGCCGAGTTGTACGTTCATGCTCCAACTAATCCACTCATACGGCTAAACACCCCTCCTCCCGAGAGTGTATACCTCCTCATCTTCACACCGGTTCTCAGCCATATGTCATTGATGAGCAACGTGATAGCGATTTATAAATCTTCCTTTGAACAGTCCCTAGCAACTACAGCTTCTGCAGGTGATGCCCCTAGGCAGCCGTATGCAGATGCTGTTGTGTCCAGCCTCAACGGATATGTTCTAGATATCTGCAACCTACTATGGCGAAATAGGGGGTTGAATGACGATGAGCCTAATGCTCTTGGCTGCCTCGTGAGAAGCGACGTGGTTGAATTGCTCACCGAGTATATCCAGGAGGTAGGCGAGGACCTAGCGAAAAAAGGTAAAAATGGTGGTATTTACAGACTGCGGCTTGCATCTATATTTTCCTTGAGCCATCACGCCGCATTGTGTGGCATGTCGGCAATGTGTTTCAGAAATCTAGAGTCTATTGCTGGAAAAGACGGACAAGAGATACTGGCGCGATTAACATGGCCAGTGACCCAAAAGGCACTGAATGCTCTACATAAAGCCGGAGGTATCAAGGTTGACTGGCAAGAATACCGACTGAAGATGCTCGAATGGCTGGACAAGCATGGGTCTGAAGGAATCAGTCGATTGATGAGGAATTCGATGATGACTTTGAGGCAAGGGTAGGAATAGCCCAGTCCCAGTTATCATTGAGTCGGTATGTCCGGACAATTGATATAGATATCCTGGACGCTGGGATCATCCCTGAGCTCATTTACTATATTTTCTACTGTACCGCGGGCCTCTTCAGACTCAAGCTTAACAAGAGTGTCTTGGTTTGGATCCCATATGATATCAATGCTCTCCGTAACCAGATCCGTGGCAGCAGACATCTTGTCGGCCACTGCTTTTGTAGCTGAGTGCTCTGTGTAAACGATAAGACGGTTATTTTCGTCTGCCTCGACATCTGTCGCACCAGCGTCAATTGCCAGTTCAAGATAGCTGTCAACATCAAGGTCGGGCTTCTGCTCAAACACTATCTTGCCCCTTTTCTCGAATAAGAAAGTCGTGGGTGTGTTTGATCCTCCGGAATGCCGGATAATAGCTCGAATATCTTGCAGAGCTCTGGCTTTTTGGTCCGTCAAGCACTCCACCACAACAGCAACGGAATGTGGTAGCATTCCCTCAATGGTGAGTGATTCCAATGTTGCTCCAGCTGCTGTGATGCCCTGTCCTCTTGCAATTGCTGCTTCTATGGTCGGTTTCGGCATTCCGCTCCGTTTGGCATTCGCTATAACAAGGGCAAGTCGAGGATTCGTCTTCGGGTCTGGACCGTATACTAAGCATTGTCAGCCACCGGTAGCACAGCAGACATGGAATTACGTACGTTTTGATGCCTGGATAATGTCTTTACTAAATATTTGACGCTCTTTGCTCTTTGCAGCATCGTTTTTGCCTTTATCATGCCTTATTGTCGACCAGCGATTGTGTCCAGACTGGAGTATCCGGCTGCTCGAGATGTAACGACAGCTGCGGCAAGTCCAGGACGGTTGAATCCGAGGACTCGAAAAAAACCTACGCCCAAATATTGCTGCCATTTCGCAAAGCTCTGGAGCGCAATTGATGGATCCAGGAGCTCGTAGAAGACGATGCGATGTAGTTACGTACCTGAAGAAATAGCTCCCGATTCGGACCCGTCCGCCCTTTAAAGACCGGCTTGAAGTTAATCCGCGCCGTCTAGATCTGACCGAGCCCGGGGCGACCTCAGTGGACCTGGCTTGGGCAGGTCGCATTGGACCCTCAAGCTGGATGCGAAGAACAACAACACCAGCAATAAAAACGAGAGGACGACAAGGAGATAGAATGCTGTGAATAGTGATATAATGTCTTCCTCCGAAGTTGCTTCCCGGCCCTCCAGCGGTGACCGCGCTGGCCAACCGCGCGCCGAACTCGACGTCTCGAAGCTCCACGCCCTCCCCTCCGAGCAGCAGGACCTCTACCTCCTTACCTACACTTCGGACCTCGTTCAGTATACGGTGACGCTGGACAAGGAGACACTGTGCGCGCAGCAGAATTTTATAAAACAGGAACTGTTAAAGATCCTCCGCCTGGTATCGCCGGTACCAACTCGGGTCATACGAAATGGCATTGGCCGCTGCTTCAGTGCTGTGTTTTCCAAGGGAAATAGAGCAAGTCTTTTTGATACCGTCACGGAGCTGGTAGGGATCCTTAATTTTGGCAAGAGTGAAGTTGATTTGAAGACGAAGTTTGCTGCTGTGGTGGCTCTGGGTGACATATTCGTGGCTGCGGGTGATGGTGCGGTGGGACAGTCCAGTGCCGTCTGTTCAGCCACCCTCAAACTCCTAAAGCTGGCACAGAACAACGCAGGGTTACGATATTGTGTGTTCGTTTCGTTGAGGAAAGTGATAGCAGGAATTGGGCCGCAGATTGATGAGGCTACAGCTCGTGATATATGGAAACATGCTCGAACCGCAGCTGTCAATGACAAAGCGTACAATGTCCAGGTTGGATCATGCTCGTGCCTTCAGGAGCTAGTCAAGTCAACACCATATTTTAAGAATACCAATGATTATGAACACTTGAAGACCACTCTATGGAAAGTTATGGACAGCTCTGTTGCGTCAGTGAGGCACGGAGCAGCGGGCTGTCTTGCAACTTTCTTGGTGAAAGCCCACTCCAGCACGCCTATATTGAACACGAAGCCTACGGCCCTTCGGACCAAGAAGCCATTGAAAAGACAGCCTACGGATCCCGTGGATGGTGATATTATAGACCGGACCCAATCCCCGTCAGGCCGCAAGGCTGACAGCTCGCTATCCTTGAAAATGGAGGACCTTTTAGTCCAGCTTTCAAGCCACTACTGTAAATCATCAACAGGAAATCGTGCTAGAGCCGCGATTGCGGTGTGCTATGAACTTTTACTCAAGGAATTTGGTGGGAAAGTAGTCGAGGATTATTATACGGAGATTGCAGACCATTTACTCGTCACTCTTTTAAACAACCAAACTGTTGCATACAGCCGGTATCGCCTCCTTCTTACCCGGAAATATGTCAAACATATCCTCGAGGATGTACTAGGCAGAGAAATGCTCCGTGAAAGTAGTCAGTTGACAGCGGTTAATTGGATTTCCAATAGTATCCTCAAGGACTATCCCCAGGTGGTTCCTGAGCGTCGAGAACCTAGCAAATATACCCTCATAAGTGCTCTCAGTGCGCTCTCTTCCCTCATCGAATCCCTCGGGTCTGCTGCGGCAACTGTTGCAGAGACCTGCCGTGAAGCCTTGCTTCAACTTCTTCAACATCCAAATTTCAGCGTCCAGGTCCATATTGCTCACTGTATGCGTAATTTTGTCGTTGCATGCCCTCAACAGCTTCTCTCATGCGTCACAGTATGTATGAACAGTTTAGCAAGGGAGCTTGGCCAGTTGTCGTCAATCCGCATGTCTGCTCCTCGCTGTCTTGGCTACGCACATGCCCTCTCCGCGATGCTAAGTACATCCCGGCTGCAGCCCCTATACGGATCCGTCGATGTTTATGCCAAGGTATTGTCACAAGCCACAGACCTTCTCAAGACAAGTGGAGGCTCGGAACTTCGAGTTGCTAGCACTCAAATACAGGTAGCCTGGATCCTGATCGGAGGTTTGATGCCATTGGGGCCAAACTTTACAAAGATACATCTCTCGCAACTTCTCTTGTTATGGAAGAATGCCTTATCTCCAATAGCGAAGGAGAATCTTACCAAGCGTGGCCCACTGGAAATGAGCTTTCTAGCCCACGTCAAAGAATGCGCTTTGAGCTCGATACTAGTCTTTCTGGAATATAATAGCAAGCTTATCACTTTAGATGGATTGAAAAGAATTGCCATGATGCTTCAGGGGAGCGTCTCTTTCTTGGAACATCTCCCTAAGTTGAAAGCCGTCGAAGATATCTCCCAACGATTATCCCCATCACTTCAACTTGCGGATTATGCAACTTTGGTTCGACGACGAGTTCTACAATGTTTTGCCAAGCTAGTCAATTTGAGCCACCTTAATCCTATGGACAATCTGCCTCTCTCTGGTATCCTAGGCCTCGCGATATCTTGTTTTGCCGACCCAGATGTCACCTCCGCGAACCCATTAGAGACATCTATCGCTGCTTCCACTGCAAACTTTGATACCTTATGGGATCTTGATGATAATTTCGGGTTTGGTGTTACGGGATTTGTACGCAATTTTGTGCCCGGACAGTCAAGATCCGGACCTTTTATTAACACGAGCGTAACTGAAGCCACAGGCCATCCAATTGACTCTTCTGTGAGTTCAACTTGATTCCCAGGTATAGTGGGCTATCTACTGACTTTGACAGTTGATAACTCCAATGTGTCATGCAAGAGAGCATGATTCCGTATTGCTTTACTATGCCAAAAACATCAATTCAGACTATCTTCCCGATCCACCGCAAACCGAAGTTGTCAATTCTGCAATTGAGTTATTCTCTGTTACTCTCCCGCTACAAAACCCAAAGATTCAAGAAAGTAGCGTTGAGCAAATTGCAACCATGCTGTCATCACATAGCCTCAATCGAAACCCTGGACGCAAAGCAGCTATGACCGCTAATATTGCGATTGCTCTTCTATATACACTCCGAGTTTCCGTAAACGAAACCCCATATCTCCCTGGAAATCTAAAACATGTTGCAGTTGAAAAACTTTTCCAGGAGCTCATACAGGTACGTAACTTTAGATTTCACCCTTGTTCAAGGCATAAGTCTTATACCGCATCAGACTTTTATAACAAACCCTGATTATATCATCCGAATAATCGGATTTGAAGGGCTTGGCCGTTTATGCAACAGCTCTGGCAATGCGTATACAAACTCGGAAATAAATAGACTTGTTGATGTCATTGTCGAAAACCGTGATCCCCATGCCCGAGCTGGGTGCGCAGCTGCGCTAGGCTCCATCCATGCTCAAGTCGGAGGGATGGCAGCAGGATTTCATTTGAAGACTATTGTTGGTGTCCTAATGTCATTGTGCAATGATCCCCATCCTGTTGTTCATTTCTGGGCCTTGGAGGGTTTGGCGCGTGTTATAGACTCCGCGGGCTTGACCTTTTCGGCCTATGTATCTGGAGCTTTCGGGATGCTGGCTCGTCTATATGTTGCAGATACCCACAACCACGAGGCACCTACCACGGGGACTTCAAATTTTGAAGCCGAATTCTCCACACCGTTAGCAATTGGCCGATGTGTCGATGCTCTCGTTAATGTGGTTGGGCCTGACCTCAGAGATGTTACAAAAACGAGGGATCTAGTTTTCACTATAGTCAAGGAGTTTCAACTGGAACGCGATGCTCCTCTGATAAACGTCAGCTCCCAGTGTCTAGACCATTTGTCCTTGTATGCACCACAGTATATGGATTTCTCAGGTTATGTGCAATGGCTACAGAAAGAATTAGCCTCGACAGACAAGCAAGTTAAGCAAGCTGCAGTTTATGGCCTTAGCAATCTCATGAAAAGAGATGCCAGTAGGGTCATTCAAACTGCATCATCAACATTCGAAGATGAATTATGGATTGCAATCGATAATGATCCAGGGAACAAACTTCTCAAAGATATTATTGTAAATTGGCTTCAGCAGACCGGATTATCGAACACAAAAACCTGGATCGAGAGATGCCAAAAGGTTCTGACGAAAACAAGGTCCAAACGCGATGAAACTGCCTCGCCTCCTCCTGTTACTGCTACTGGCGCCGCAACCTCTGATCTTCCGGATGAAGAAGTTGCTGGATTTGCCACGGCAGTTACTGGTGAGAGTAGAGAAGCCACTGATACGTCCGCCGGCGGACAAGAATTACTCAAATGGCAAACCCGAAATTTCGTTATTGGATGTCTTAGTGAACTTTTAACGATGGTTCAAGGTGAAATCTTAGCCGATCAGACCATACCAGCTGAAGCTGCATTGCAGGAACGAGTTGGGGATATTGTTCGGATGGCATTCTCTGCATCAACGGCAAACGTCATTGACCTACGAATCTGGGGGCTGAAGATTCTGGACCAAGTGCTTAAGGTGAATTATCAATACGCCATAAGAGTCAATGCAGTACTAAATTAATTTGTGTTAGTTGTTCGGTCGAACCCCTGATCCTGATTTTTCGGAAGCGTCTCTACTTGAGCAGTATCAAGCCCAGATTGCATCTGCATTAACTCCAGCGTTCGCTGCGGATTCATCTCCAGAGCTTGTTTCTGAGGCTATAAATGTCTGTGCCACATTCGTTGGAACTGGGATAGTTACCAGTGTTGAACGAATGGGCCGTATCTTCAAGCTTCTTGTTGTTGGACTTGAGAACTTTGCTAGTATGTGCTGTCCGAACCCTTATTATGAAATGGATTCTAACCCACTCAATAGAGAAACCAGACATGACTGAGATTGGAGATCTTAAAGGCCTCAATTCCAACGCGCGTGTGATGGTCAAACTAGCCTTGTATTCTGCATGGGCGCGGTTGCAAATATCTAGCAGTGAACAAGCCTATCTTGTGGATATAGTATCGCCATACACAGCTATGTTAACTCCACTTTGGCTCTCCTCCCTCCAGGAGTTTGCACGCTTAAGATTTGAACCTGAGATATCTGGTACGATGGGCCCAATGAGTTTATCTGATAATCCTGATGATATCTATTCAGCACTTAACCGCGAAATCCTTCTCAAGGTATATATTCCTATGACCCAATCAACTATACAGCCTTCTAACATTGTACTTGTCTTAGTTCTATCAAGATTCTTGGTTAAATTTCGTTGATGCTATCGCCAGCCTCGTTGAGAAGGATAGTGATTTCGTGTTTGATGCACTAAACGGTAAACAGGAGCTTCAAAAGACTGAAAGCAACGAAGATGACCCCGTTCATACTGGCGAAACAAAAGAAAAAGGAAATCATATCAACTACCGTGACGAGCCAGTAGCTTTCTTTTTCGTCCTTTTTGGACTGGCGTTTGACGCTTTGGTCAGCCAGAGCTGTACTCCTGCCCAAACACTCGAAATCCTTCAGGCTTTACAGAAAATTCTACATCCTTCTGTTGCTGGCAATGCAGTTTACCAGGATTCTATTTTTTCTGAAACTATTGATACTTTGAACAGGATGGTAATGACCGAAAATTTAGCCATCCAGTCCGTTATAGTCCAGATTGTCAGAAGTCTCTCCCTTCACCATCCATCCGCAACTAGAGAGAACACTTCTACGGAGCACCTATCAGATGATATCGAACAGCTATTTGAGTTAACACGCAATATCATACTCGTTATTGCAGGTGTTCTACCCAACCTTGGAGAATCGTCGCCAAAAGCCCGATCTGAGACTTCTGAGGAATCGATTTCTCTAATCCAGCATTCTCTCTCCTCGCTGGTGGACATCACATCTGTATTTCCATCCATCATTCGGGATGACTTACATACATGCGTAGTGCATATATTCACCACGGTCTTCGCTACTGGTAGTTGTCAAGCGGAAATTGTTCCTACGATTCTCCCTATCTTCAAACGCTTCCTTCAAAAACTCTGTCAACCCGGCGAATCTCAGAGTAAAGAATCCTGCCCCCAGGGGCAAGAGGCCTTGAGTGTTAGCCGCCAAATCCGAGGATGTTTGGCAAGGTTCTTGGGCATTCTAACTGTTGCCCAACGTCGGGAATCAGACACTTCTCTCCCCTGCGCCAAAAATACGCTCCTCGGTATTACTATTATCCTCACAACTGCCAGTTCTGCTATTCCACCCCAAGACCCATTGATATCACGAGCAATGCAAGAATTGCTTGATTGTTTGCAGGATCTAGGCCTCGGGGGTGTTGCAGCTAGCTGTGTCCGCTCTCTCCTTTTAAACCCTGGCGCCCGCTCTTCTACCGACGAAGTAATAGCTCGCACACTCTTCCCTAGACTTCTAGCATTTGTGACAAAGACACCGATTGGAATGAATAATGAGCCGCCAATCGATGCAGAGAACATGAAATCTCATGTTACCCAAACCTTAGTGTCCGTCGTGGGGTCACCAGCATTTACGAAAGCTGCTATTCCTGCTGCAATGGCATTATTGATCCCAGCTTTTCTAACAAGGGCTAAACATGACGGAGCTAGCGTCTACCAGGAAACTGCAACTCGTCTATTAGAGCTTGCAAAGATAGATCAAATTGCTTTCAGGGGCTTTGCTACCAATATGGAGCAAGGCTCGAAAGGTCTTTTGGAAGAGATCCTCAAGACGGTTGGGCAAAAGGAAGATAACAGCAAACGACATGAACAGGGACAGGAGAGAAACGCACCGACTATCGCCTTACGTATGGATTTCTAGGGTTCACTTTATCAAAACAAGCCTTTTTACGCTTTCGATATTACAACTTTGTGCGATGGTACCTATATATGTGCTGCAGAGTTCTCTTATACATAGATTATTGCAAAAGAACCAGTCAGGTCATTCTTATACTGGGATCATAATTCGTTAGACAATACATATTTACTTCTAATGTTGCATAACTTTCCCTCGTGTTACACTCCGTAATAATAGAGGGGAAAGCATGGAAATACCCTACAATGAATGGTTAATGCCCTAGCGGCTTCCCCAAGCCAACGAAAGCCTTTTCCTGAAATAACCTAGAATGTCTCAATAATTGTTAAATAGATAAGATGTAGATAGTATCTGGGCACGTGAAGATAGTGAAAGATTATTGCTTGGTGACTTGAACAATATCACCAATCGCCACTTCTTCGGATCCTGCAGCAGCCTTCTTCGCGGCTTCGTGCTGTTGGACCTTATAAGACTGGTATCTTAAAGCAAGAATAATCATACCTATAAAATGTTAGCAACAACATATAATATAGACAGGAGTTAGGGAATCCCTCACTTGCACTTGTAGCAACTGCAATAACAGCTCTCCGTGTAAGTACCCATCTAAGACCCTCTACTTCGCTTTTCCCGTCACTGTTAAGAGACACAGTGATTTGATAATTTAGCTCTTGTATTGCTGTGTCAATTGACCGCTGAAGTTCTCTAGTTGAAATCTTCTGATTGTTGAACATCTCTTTTAGGTCATCCTTTAGACCGGCAAGGTCTTGTGTCATGCGTTGCGTTAAGATATCTAGCTCATGCTGTATTAGGGCCCGTCGAGTACGTTGAGATTGTATCTCAGTATTCCGAGATGCCTGAATAGAGGTTTGTAGCTCCGAGCATGCTGCTCGGAAAAGGTAAACCTCGTTCTCAAAATCAGACTTTGACATCAGTCTGCTACGGGTTGTCTCAAGGTTTACTGCCAGTAAACCTCGAATTGATTTGGCTATAGCTATCGATTGCTGCTCCGTAAAGCCACTTTTATTCAAGTCTTTCACCATGGTGTATGTGTCAAAGTGATGGACGAATGGACTCGAATGGGGGTGTTTGTGGCTAGGAAAATGGATATAAGGTTCCATGGCGTTTGATTGAGACTGATCCGTGTCCTTTTGCGGCTCTGATTTTGACATCTTGTAAACAGATCCTAAATCACCCTGAGAAGAGGCACCGCTAGCGGACCCAATCTCGATTAAACCAGGAGGTTCAGTTTGTTCAACATTCCCATCAATGGTATTTTCTGAAGCTGATCCGGCTGCATCATCTTTGGTTTGAGCTTTATCAGACGACTGGGTACCACTTTCCGATGCACTTCTTTTTGAGGGTGGTTTAGTGTCATCTACGGCTTTATCATCCTTGGCTGTTCTCTGGTCTGGCTCTCCTTTTGATACCTTATTTTGGCTGGATTCTGGCCTTGTGCTAGAGCCTTCCGGCGGAGGTACTCGTGGCTCTACAGCTGGCCCGTATCGTTTCTGGAAGCGTGTGTTTTGTTCACATGCTCGACTCGAATGGAGCCCCGCGGAATGCGTTCGCTGGACCGGGCAACGTATAGATCGATAGGTAGTAGGCTCACAAGCTCGTACAGAGCGTAGGAGGTTAGGGTAAAGAAAAGGGAGCCGTTGGTGTGCCATATTAGGATTTCGACGAAGTAGGCATTGCTTGACTGAATGAAGCAAGTGAAGATGTATCAGAATAAAAGAACGCCGACACAGCACGCCCCAGACGGGACAGGACCTTATGTAAACTAAAAACGCCAATCACGTGATATACCTAGGAATCGATTTAGCCCCTTTTTGCATGAAATATATCAAAAATTGTTCATTGTAGTTTATATATATTGCCTAGTTATCAACAGCCCAACAGCCCAAAGAGAAGCCGAGTCCGCTCCCAATATGCGATTGACCTTTTTCTGAGAGTTTCCATCGTTTCATTTTCCACCTGCAAAGCTTCAGTATGGATAGTCAGGGAGTTTTCCCGAGTAGCAGTGTTAGATTTCATTGCGTTTTCCAAGTACATCAGGTCAAACAGGAGTTGTATTTTACAGTCCTGCTGAGTACTAGAATCATATCCACTAACAGTTTGTTGTTCTTGCTGTGCCACTCCATTTTCAAAAGACGTAGTCTTCGGGTCGGCTTGTTCTTTCGCGTGGTTATCTTCAAGAAGCTTGTTGATCGCTCTCTTAATTTCGACTTTCAAGACAGAAAGAGCAGTAGGGTTCCATAGATCTGGGCCTAGGTCTTCCATTGAAACTTCAAGCTTCCGTAGCAGTTTGAATGCAGCCGGGGATGGCTGAACTGGAAGCTCTGGCTTGCCCTCCCATAGGGTTCTGCCGGAACACTTATGAAAGTTTTTGAAAGGCTTCAACTTCGTTATATGTGTCGAGAGTTGGGTCACAATATCTGTCGCAATGATGGTATGTAATTCCAGCGTCATATTCCGAGCAAAGTCTAGTTGCTCTCCGTCCAGCAATTTGCTTGGGATCTTGTTTCGAATCTCGCGAATCATGCGTAGAATAAAAACGGCTTTCAAAGCCTTATGCGATTCGGGAAACAAGTTTATACCGTCAGCTAAAGCAGCTTGGAGTCCCTTAAATCCTATCTTCAGAGACTTTTGATGTTCTTCTTGCAAAAGAGCTGGATCGTCCTCTGTTAAGCATCCATGTATATGATCAATGACGTCTTCATCATTATCATCTTCCACAATATCCTCCCAGTTATCAGCTTTCATGCCATGAATTAAAGAAGATCTAGCTTCGACAGCTCGAAGCCAGGTCTGGTACGAATCCAATAATATTAAAGATTCAGTTCCTCGGCCTAGAGATCTATTGACAACCTCACTCTTGAAGCTTTTAGCACCTTCCGAGAAGTCAACTGACGCAAGTTTCGGGTCCCATAACGAATGCCTGTTATTACCACTTTCCCCTGTTGAAAGACAGCTTATGATCAACATAATTTCCCTCCCGAGGCTAGCTATGCCTTCAGATTGGCCTTGAAGAATGAAAATTAGCTGGTGGTTTATGATGTCTCGTAAACCTTCTAACACTTCCAGATTTGAATGGGTTGGAGTTGAAGACTGAACAAGCAGCCATGATTCGAGCAGCTTTTTTCGCAAATCCAAGATATCACCAAAGTTTTGAAACGCCTCCAGTTTTAGCTTGGCTTGCGAGGAGAATAGCTTGAATGTGTTCTTAGACCACGTTTTTAGCTGAGTGCTCCTTTCAGACTTGGGTATATCATTGTACTTGATCCATGGAGTGAAATGCCGAATGTCCTCCAGAATCCAGGGCTTTAAAAGATCCATGTTGAGTTCCCCCAAGCATAAAATCTCGGGGTCAGCGAGGAGGGGCTGAGTTGTCAATTTCTGTAACGCTGCCGAAAGCGGACCGCTGAGGAAATGATCAGTTTGTCGTAAAGTCTGCAAATATAGCTTTAATGCAAGCAATACACCGTCGCTATGCATGCTTTTTGTAATTTGCTCTCCAATTGCATTTTTTCGCACATCGCAGAAATGCCGTACAGCGTCATTGGAGGAGGAGCTAGTGGCCAGGCAAAATGCACACAATGCCTGCACAAGTCTATCAGTGGTAATACTGGCAGCAGACAAACGTAGCTTAATTCGGCTGAGCAACGTCGCCCTGAGAGAAGCCAAATTCTTCTTTAAACTATTCACGAACGCGGGAGCATGTTCGTTCTGTGAAAGTGCCTTCAACAGAAGTCTCGAAACGACTAGTAGTTTCGCAGCGAGGACTACGGAGCCACGCTCCCGTATTATTTTCACAATTGAGTTTGTGCAGCTTCGCAAAAGGCATAAGTGGGCCTTGAGTTGTCGCCCGTCATCGTCTATTGTGACGTTAGCCCGATTGTATGTATCTCAAAGATCAGCCCCATGCGCACCTCTCTTGCTAGACTTGAAATCATCATGATTCAATTCAGGGATATGGTCATTCTTCCTCGCTATTGATTGTGGATTGCATCGCCTCCCAATACTAGATAAAGTAGACTCGACTTGCTGTATATCTGTATTCATATCCACGATGGTTTGCGCAGTTTCGAGCAGATCCCGGTATTTGACCCTTTATATGTATTAATATATTAGCGGAGTGTTTGCTTCATGTGTATAGGAGTAATAAATGTTCATTACACCACTCGGACATACCCAACAAGGGATCTAAGCTTGTCCCGATTGCTTTCAGCATCTCTGCGGAGTTCCTGTTCCAGGCGCCTTACTGTAGGAATAGGATACTTAAACGCATCTTCCCATGAATTGAGAGTAATCGCATCCGGAGTATCCGCCGCCATAGCCCCGGCTTCGTCAGCTTCTATCCAGCTGTGTCCTTTTCGTTCTGGCTGCGTTGTCAATTTCCTGGTAAACTCGCGGGTGACTAGATGGTTACCGTTAAAGTATATCACGTGCCCAGAACAGACAAACCTTGGAACGCGCGCTTGTTTAACCAGTTAACTAGTTAGGCGCTAAGCGGCGAATTAAACGCGCCTTCCTTATATGCGTCATAGGAGGGAAGGAGGGATGTCATCGTTCTTTTTTCCTTGCTCTTATGACTTCGTCGGTTCAACGGAGTTTCATATCTTCTACGATCTCACATCCAGCAATTAAAAAGCACGAAGAAAGTAGGAAAGGATAGATACCCTTTGCTGGGCGATTCGATCATGGCTGGTCCTACAGAGGAACATTCCCCGCCCAAAGAAAATTCAGTGGTTTTCCCTCCAATCACCCGATCGCATATCCTGAATTGCTCGTACCATGCCTGGTATTCATTGTAAGGCACCCTTGTATAGTCAAAGCCTATAGCTGAGCAGAGCTAATCATAGGTGGTAGATATCGAGCTGTATCTCCAAAAGCACGGCTTATTCCTCTAACTGAATCGTTCATCAATTATATCCGCGCAGATGGGATAATTCTCCCTCCAGATGAGACAAGCCTAGAGGTATCAGATGATGACAGCTGGACCCTTTCCACGTCTAATGGAGACAGTAACTCAGAAAAAGATGGCTCTGATGATGAGGACGAGCCATATGATCCGTCGAGAGAGTGGCCGGAGGTCCATGCTGAAGTGATAGCGAAAATCAGAGAGCTTGGCGGCCAAGTATCGCCTAAGCTGAACTGGAGCGCACCCCGGGATGCAAAATGGATACTTCCAACAAATGATATGCAATGCAGGACAGCCAACGATGTCTACTTGCTCCTAAAGAGCAGCAACTTCATGAACCATGATCTGGACCATGCATTCGATGACTGTGTGGTTGAGGCAAACCAGGAACAGGATAACGGCCCTACCACGTCAAGCCAACCGCCTATTCCGTATCACCTTGTCCTACGCAAATATTTTAATGTCAACACTTCACTGGAGTTTCGGTGCTTTGTTCGTCATAGGCAACTAATATGTCTTTGCCAGCGGGATCTGACATACTACGACTTTCTTTCTGGAATGCGAAATGAGTTATTAAGGGTGATCCAGTCTTTCTTCGACGAAAAGCTTCGAAATACATTCCCTGATCCAGATTTTGTATTCGACGTTTACGTTCCTCCGCCGCACAATAGGGTCTGGCTAATTGACATAAACCCCTTTGCTCCAAAGACGGATCCTCTTCTATTTTCGTGGCAGCAGATACTTAAGATTGGCCAAGAGGTAGAACGAAACATCAATGATCAGATCAATGGAGTTGATGAACAGGTCGTCAGGCTTAAAATTAGTGCACAGAACGAGTCCTCTGCAGCCGAGATATCTTCAATATCAGGCGAGGATGATGATGAAGAGTCAGATTTCGAGGAAGTGGTTTCTGAGTTGCCATTGTTCCTTCTTCTGTCGGGAGGAAATCCAGCGGGAACTAACATGAATGCCGCCCCATACTCCGCACATAAACTCCCAAAAGATGTAGTAGATGCATCGAGGAGTGGACCTGGAGGTATGAGTGAGTTTCTCACTCAGTGGCGGGACATTCTCGAGGGACGAATACAGCTGGATACTGGGGACAGTGATGATGAACACTAAAATAAAAAGGGGAGACAGAATAATCTGTATCGTTGTATTTCTGAAGATTGCAAATGTAGTAATTTATGTACATCATTCATAACTAAAACTCTAAATCATGTATATAAAAAAGGAAACAGTGCGCTAATAAATCAGGGTGCCGCCCAAACAAGTGCTCTAGAGTGAAATAAGTCTATAGTTTATGCTTCTTCTGACCAGAGGCAAGCTTCATAAATTCAGCTTGTGGGATACCAGAAACAAAACGGTCTAGTCCCCCGAAAACCTCACGGACATTCTGCCTGTCCAGTATGTCTTGATCTGGTGCGTTAATCAACGCCTTAATCTTCAACATGCTCTCCTGGTTCAAATGAGTGCCTAATGTCATATCAATTTCATGCAAAACCATCTTGAGGAATGCATCCGAATCCTCCTCTTTTCCGCTTGCCGGGGTGAAAATCTTATTGACGAAGCCTGTTTGTAGCAGTTCCTCAGACGAGATACGTTTGCTCATAACAAGAGCTTCCTTTGCTTTAGCCAGGCCCATCCGCTTGACAAATGCATGGCTGGAGCCTCCCTCTGTGACTAATCCGATAGATGAGAAGGGAGTGAGAATGTAGGCATGGGGAGTAGCATATATAAAGTCACCGAAAGCGGTCAGAGCTGCGGAAAATCCAACAGCGGGTCCGTTAAGGGCGACAACGAGGATCTTTGGGTGTGTGTAGAAGGTATGTGTCAGGTCGATGTTATTGGCAACAAAGCCCTGGACATAACCCCGGCGTCCATCTATGTTATCGTCCGTTTGTGGCGCACTTCCCAAAAAGTCTGCACCGCTATTTGAGTGTTAGCTATTAAACCGCCCGAGTAATAATTATCGGTTTTCACCAATAGGGACTTACGCTGAGAAGAACCTTCCAGTCCCCGTGAGGACGGTGATATATATGTCATCCCTTTCTGCAACTTCTCGCATCTTCTTACCGAGGAGGTAGTAATGTACACCGGTCATGGCATTGAGCTTTGAGGGTCGGTTCAAGGCGATAATGGCCACGCGGTCCTGGTAGGTGACCGTCACCTCGTCCAGAGGGTACGACATCTTGAATCGTAAAACCGATGAAACCAACGGATGTGAGAGGGCAAGGGGTCTATGGGTTTCAACTTCTGGAGGATATATATCGTGGCGTATTGTCGGTCCGCCTAGCTATCCAGCGCGTAGGGGAGATTTTATAATAAGGGCCGTCGCAGGAACAAAAGTCAGCGAGTCGTTAGGGAGGGTGAGAGAGAAGCAGAGATCGCATAGCCGGGGCAGTGGAAGTTCCTCCGCCTCCGTCTCGCTGAAAACTAACTAACTGGGGCCACGAAGACGAGGCCGGCTCCATCGTTTTTGGTGGTTGGAAAGCTGCTGAAGTTGTGGATGAGCCGAAGGTTGCGTGGGCGACCTCGGCATCTCCAAACAGCCGCGGCATATGATATGTACTCCAGGTCTCAAATCTTCTTAACTAAACATAAAGGAGGCACCTGGTTATGAACTGTAAATAGATACGGTGCGAGGCGCTTAACTGACTTGGGGTGCTGTCTTTACTTGGGATGCCGAATTTTGAATATTCTGTGTCAAAAGGCAACATGTATTATCTATAGGTCTATAGAGCCGGAAGGAAAAGTCACAATAGCCCTCCACAATACCTTCCCGGTATTCGTACAGGGGGGAGAAAGAAATGAAAAATGTGGCCTGCTAAGTGCAAATGCCCGTTCATCAGTCTCTCCAAGCAAATCAAGTAGAGATTACAGTTTCTAAGATTTCCCGCAGTGCTGATTTCTTAAGAAGCGAAAAAGATATGGAGAAAGTGAAAATCGAAAATCTCATGTTGGTCCTGTAATGACGATTGTTGGGATGCTGATATTTGGATAAGGAGTGGTGTCATTGCCTTTGCCCTGAATTCCTTCATTATTATCATCATTATCATCCGGGTCTGGTATGTAATCTGGAATGCAGGTTGCAATATACGTGACCATTGAGCCAAGGTATCCTGACCCTCTCCAATAGCCTTCATTGCAGGAGCTAGTCTCTGAGTGCTGCAGGAGATCACACATTCGTCGAAAAGGTTTTTGGCATCCATAGCAGAAGAAGATGTAGTCCTTTTCAGGCTTATATGACCGAACAAAATTCGCCGCAAGTTCTAGTATATCATCATGCTCAATTCCCGATGGACAGTTTCCGGATTCAAGGTGATTGAACATCGCAGAGAGCGTACAGAAATCTTGGGGGCAACAATAACAGGAAACTCCGCGTGGCCTATGTCTGAATGCGTGCTGTAATATAGATAAAAACGCGTTAGTCTCCATTCCCTATATATTTAGTTTTTTATAGGCATACCCCATTTAGCTCATGCGCGTTTGGAAAGTAGTCACCACAAGCAACGCATAGGTAATGTTTACAGGTGTTATGCTGGCGCAGTCCAATAGCTGAAGGTGCAAACCAGTTGCAAGGCTCACAGTAGAAATGGGATTCCTCCAGATGTTGCTGTAGGCTAGTAAACGTCTCAAAGTCCTGATGATCCCCACACAGATGGCAGACATTGTGATTAATAGAGTATCCAACATGAGCGCGGTAATATCTAGGTAAAGAAAACCCAATATTACAGCGCTCACAGCTGATCTTTGTGCTCTGATTCATAATCCCTGGGTAACGAATGAGAGGGTATTTAGCTTTCTAGGCCTTTTAGAAAGTGATGCAGTATTAAAGGGCTATAGAGATGAGGTCTCATTCATACTCTGTAGTTATTAATATGATATAATATGGCAGGTTCCGATTGTCTCTGGGGCAGGGAGGGAAGAGGCTGTTTAATATCAAAAGAACAGCACGTCTAGTAAAGCGCCAACAGTAGAGTTTTGCGTATTTCGAAAGAGGGAAAAGAAGAAATGAGAAAGAAATCTTTCATAGGGGAGAATGACGAGGCTAGAAGCAGCAAATAATACTAAGACTATTTACTGATTCCTACGGCCTTCAGAATGCCCTAATGCTTAGCTTGATGGAAAGTCCCAGCATCTGGAAACCAAAGATCCTGGAGTGTTGAAACGACAGCAACACTCGGATATACTATTACTTCAATCATACCTTGATATTTAAACAACATCAAGGCATTTCTGTAGCTCCGGGGTAAAACTTCCTCCTTTTTACCAGTAAATCTGCGATTTTGACATTTTAATTAATTTTTTGGTCATTTTCTACATCTTTGTTGTTTTTCATAGGACGTGTCACGTGAGATGAGGCAAACCTAAAAGTTAAATTTTCCTTTTTTTTTTTTCAAATTCAAAATCGCTAAGAAAGAAACGAAGGGCGAAGGAGATGCAAGTTCTTCCGGTCTGTATACAGATCTGAAGCTCATCAGAGAGCCTTTACATTATCAAGATGTCGTCGGACGAAATTGTCTGGCAGGTTATTAACCAGCAGTTTTGTTCTTACAAGCTCAAGTAGGTAGCTGGTTCTCCTCACTAAAGATTTTTCTAACCCATTGCGAATACAGAACCGACAAAGGCCAGAATTTCTGCCGTAACGAATACAATGTTACTGGCTTTTGCAACCGTCAATCATGTCCTTTAGCAAACTCTCGATACGCGACTGTTCGATCAGACCCTAGCACAGGTGCAATGTACCTCTACATGAAAACGGTAGAACGCTCTCACATGCCGAATAAATGGTGGGAGAAAGTCCGGTTATCTTCGAATTATGCAAAAGCTCTGGGCCAGCTAGATGAGCGATTGATATACTGGCCTAAATTTTTGATTCACAAATGCAAGCAACGTCTTACCCGGCTTACTCAAGTCAACATACGTATGAGAAAGCTTGCCAAAGAGGAAGAGCGTTTGGGTGAAAAGCTGGTACCAAAATTGGCACCCAAGGTAAGGAGACGAGAGGAGACGAGAGAACGAAAAGCAGAAGCTGCTGCCAAACTTGAGCGGGCGATTGAAAGGGAGCTCATTGAGAGATTGAGGAGTGGGGCATATGGTGAACAACCTCTGAATGTTCAAGAAAACATCTGGAAGAAGGTGCTTAAGGGTCTAGAGAGACAAGGAGATGGTGAACGGGACGAAGATCTCGATGAGGGCATTGAGGAGGAGCTGGAAGAGGAAGAGGAGGGTGTTGGTGAAGTTGAGTATGTCAGTGACATCGACGAGGATGAGGACATGGAAGACCTGGAAGACTGGCTCGGAGATGAGAGCGACGATACGGACGGCGATGGGGCAGACAATGACGACGATGAGGGTGAGAGCGACGATGGAGAGGCTAGCAGTGATGAGACCAACGAAGAGGAAGAACCAAAGAAGAAGCCCACCGCGGCGCCGAAGAGGAAACGGCCTGCAGCACCTTCTGGGCCCCGGAAGAAGGGCGCGCATGTCGAGATCGAGTACGAGACTGAAGGACCGGCGAGAGAGTCTCTGTTTGCATGAACACGTCTTTGACAAGCCAGACAAAAAGTGTTTTCATTTGTTCAATATCTTGCGGGCGTTATTTTTTTGGCTGGAGTCTTGGGATCTACTTGGGCGAACGGCGCCGTCTCTACGAGGTTTCATGTAAGGGTTATAAATATTCCAGTCAAGATTGATCGATAGGAATGCATAGAAGCTTGAACTACTGTCCTAAATAATCATATTAAATAGTACCCGCTGTTCGGGCCATATATATTGAATAAACTCTCTATGAATGTAGACAAATATGGACATGTGACTTAGTTTGAGCCCAGGAGCTAGGGGGGATGGTGATCTTCCTGAAGACTTTCAACTTGCTTCCCACTCCACGTTTCGTATTAAAACATCTGACCAGCGAGATCTTTACAGGGGCTTCTATATTCATATCGTTCCTCTTCGACTTTGATATCTGGATTTTCGCGCCGTTCTTCTTTTGAACCGAACAGATAGCTACCACCCCTCTAGCCCCTCGCCCGCCTACATACGGCAACCTCCTCCACTGATGCTGGTTTGACCATGGCGTCTTATTTCTCTTCTATAACATCGATATCCAACCTCAGTACCCGCTTCACCTCTCTCCGGCGTGCTATATCCGCAGACGAGACAGACGACCCAGAAAATGAGGATCTCTCACATATCTCCAACGTTCTACGCGCGTATTACAACGAAAAGGGCCGCAGGTTACCCCCTTGGTTACCCCCAGATAAGAAGTCAGCGTACAGCGCCCCTGTTATTGCGACTTCTCAGACATCTTTCCAGGGCTATGGCGGCACTCCTAGCCAGTCAGGTGGCCTAGGGGACCTGTGGGATGACTCTGGGCGTTCGCATACGCAACATCAACAAGCTACAGGGAGTCTTCGTTCCGGTCGAAGCCAGAATAGCCTGACAGGCCATAAAAATGGTTTACCGTCGTCCTTAAAACCCGCTCCAAACCACCTGCCTCACCGTCCTGGAGCCAGCTTGAGAAGCCAGAGTAACGGATATGACCGCGATCCCTCACCTCAGGCTGGAGGCCGATCTCAGTCTACTGGCGGAGCGAGACCGCTACCCAGCCAGCGTGCTGGTTCATACCAAACTTCCGGTGCCCAACTGTCACGTCCGGAAGGGATGGATCGAACATTATCTGGTGCTTCTGCGCAGGACAGACTTCGTGCGCGGTTGCACGGTGGCAGCAAACCATCTTTAGGCACTAGCAAGTCCTTTGATTCTAGTTCCGCTTTGGGTGATGGAGGAGGCTATTCTGGAGGCCATAGTGGTGGTTATCGATAATTTCGGACTCCATATCATACAACAGGAGGAAAAAGGGAAAGAGAGAAGAGGAGAGTGCATACTCGGCTATTTTTCCTTAGTGAGCCCAGGCGTTTTTTGTTGGCATTATGACTGATATTTCTAAATTTCGCATCTCTGACATGATTGTCATTACGAGAGTGATTATCTGCTAACCCAGTCTCTCTCCTTATTCCCTCTTTCTCCACCGTGCCTCTGTACATATTCTATCAAGACGTATTGATATTCTGGCTGGCGTGAATTGGCTCCTCGTTCGCAGTACCATCCATATATATTATTTAATCTTCAGTAATCTTCAAGTAAAACAAGTTCGCGGGAAAAGGAAAAAAAAGAGCGGCCAATTCAGTTGGTAATCTATCCAGTATTGATCATGACAATGCGAACGTGAGATGAATCTACATATTTATCATACGAACACCCATGCTTGGGGTATAATACACCAAAAGGAGGCGCCAGCCCGGATCATGAAATACAGTATATAGAATAAAAATGCCTTCCCAAACTCATAACCGCGAAATGGAGTATCAAAAGAGGATCAAAGGGAAAAAAGAACAACAAGTATTGGGAAAAAAGGGGAATGTAAATTTAGTTGACGGTATAAACGTTGGGTGAAATGTATGAACTTTCAGCCGCGGACTTTGCGATAGCTTGGTGGGCTCCAAGTACGGCTAATCAATTTCACAGCCCAGACTGGTATAAGCGAAACAGCACAGATAGCAGATACTTTCCAGGCCCATCCCCATGTAACAACATATGCAAGATCGTAGTAGTCACCAAGGAATGGGACAGAAGCACCGTAGACTATGGCGGTGCCTACAATGCACATTATCATAACTGGATGCCATGTGGTAATAGAAACAGCAACCATAATGAGTTCATTCAATACCAGAGCAGTGAATGAGACGCTGACCAGCCGAGGGCCAGTGATTTCACCGACGAGAATTTGGGCGAGACCTTCTATGACTGCGCCCTGGTAGACAGAGACAAGAACCCAGGTGAAGAACGATTTGTAGCTGAGACTTTTCCCGGATTTCAACTCTTTATACAACTCAGGGTATAGATTTGCTAGACCTTCGTCGACATCACGGTCAAGAACAAGTGAAAACACAGGAGCATTAGTATATATTGTCGCATAGCCCACAAGTAGCCAGTTAATAAACAAGCCCTTGGGGTCAAAGTGGCTTGCAATGCTGAACATAGTTTGACAGGCACTTATTATCAAACCACGATGCATGACGAATTGAGCTAGCTTAGCAGATCTCTTGTAAGAGTTACGCCCGTGCCAGAATAGAAGCTTGGTAAGATGGTGGAAGTGCGTGATGCTAAAATCAGCTGCAAGGGAAGCTTGTCTGCCCTCTTTCCCAACAATTCCGATTCCAATATCGGCGGCCTGGATCATAGATACATCATTGCCGCCGTCCCCTATGCAGCAAATGCGTTTCTTGGTATGTTGCCTGATCAAAGTCGCTATCTCGGCCTTTTGAATTGGAGAGCATCGGCAGGCAATGACTGCAGGAAGGCGTACAGCAAGAGTTATAAAGGGTATCCGGAATTGAGAAAGCATGAGGCCAAGGGACTCCCCGTCAATTAGAAGGCAGGACTCAGCTTTATTGCGGAGGAAATCCAAGGCCTCATTTGCCGCGTCCATATCCTTAAGTTTCGTGACTGTGTTGATAACTTGACCACGAGAGACGAGCTTAGAGGATACAGCAACACAACGGGCTGTTTCAACCTTGTCCCCAGTAAGCATCCAAATTTTAATGCCTGCATTCCTAAGCAATTCCAGTGAGGGTTTTACATCCTTCTGTAGCTTGTCTTCAACGCCAGTGACACCTAACAGCTCGAGATCTTGTTCAAGATAATCTCGAGCCACACTTGCCATTAGACTGTCTCTGTCATTGAGAGACATTGAAGCTTCTTTGTAACTCTTAGAAAATTCACCATAATGTTCAGAGGTGAGTTTCTTTCTTCCAATTACCAATGTTCGTAATCCTTCTCGTGCCATGTTGGCGGTTTCTTCGTCAAGCCAGTCATTTGCTGACACAATCGACGACATCACGGTATCAGCACCTTTCTGGAAAAACCAGAGTTCGTTCTGTAGTTGTGTTGGGCAGCCTTGATAATGATCCGTTGAAAACTGGACTATAATTCCCATTCTTTTGCTTTCTGATGTAAATGGGAAAATATCCAAAATCCTGGCTTTAATAGATATGCCAGAGTCACCAACAGTAAGAATGATGGACTGCCTGTCTCGATGAGACAACTTAAGTCCCACTTCCTCTGTATATTTAACAATGGCAATCTCATCAGGGGATGAAGCTTGGTAAGTTGTTACGATTTCACCGTTTTCTTCTTCTTTTGTCGGTGTGACATTGTGGCACAGTGCAAGCGCAAGGATCAAGTCCCTAACACGCAAACTGATTTCACGTCTTGTTCTGGTTGCCGGCCCAGAGCTTGGCTGTGTCGATGCATTGGTAAATGGTAACAATTCATTTCCACTAGCTGATGAAGAGGCCGAAAATCCCTGTCGAACAAACGATGCAACCTCCTCCATTGCTTCGTTAGCGTACGACACTGTACCAACGTGAATCTTTTTCAGTTCCATCTCTATTTCAAAATTAGTCATCAACCAAAGTTAATTATATTGAAAAAGGGATTTAGACTTACCGTTTTGAGTCAAAGTACCAGTTTTATCAGATAAGAGGTACTCAATTCTTCCGAGGTCCTCCGGGATTGTACTTGTTCGTACAATTGTTCCAGGTATTCCCTTGTCCCTCTCTATAAACCGTCCGTAAACTGTTTTGGCCATGTCAAGGTTCACTCGCAAGCTCATTGGAATAATGGTGGAGAAAAGAATAAGATAAATCATAATAGCAATATACCACTCCTTATCGTTGGTCGGTTCGAATCCTTCTAACGCCACCAGCGTGACCGACAATGTCAAGGTGAGGACACAAAGAATCTTCGTCAGGCTGTTTATTTCGTGCTCCAGTAGCCCAACCTTTGAACGGGATGCGGAGGTCGACAAGGCGGACCTGGTTTGCGAGCCGGTGTAGATAACAGCTGCGTAGGTGACAGTATTGGAGGCGAGTACGGTGTTGGCCCAAGCAGCATTATCGATACTAAGTGGAGCCGATTTGAGCGGAGGTGAATGTTCGTCCTGTTTCCCACTTTGTTCAACGGCCGGATCATACGGTTCTGATGGTAACTGTGCAAGTTCGATTTTTCCAACGAATTCGTTAACGATTTTTGCTGGGGAACTGGCGGTTATGCGTATCCTGTTAAGCTCGGCGAGGGCTAGGTTTTGGGTGAGTGGTGATGCAAGCCGCAATTTCCAGTCCGTTTCACCGTCCAGTTGATCGGTTCTGATGAATGTCTCTGCAGAACCAGCTGCATCTGACGATTCACCATCTTCATTAGTCTCTGGAGTTCCGTGTTCTTCTTCACTATTATCATGCACGGAGTACTCGGCGTCGCGCTGGGAGTTCGATAATGAATCAGTTGCTAGAGATTTCAGGATGATGACGTCTGCTGGGAGACGACGATCCTTTCCGATTTTCAAAATATCGCCAACTTTGAGATCCCTGGACTTTTTGGTAATTTCGATAGGCTCTGGCCACCTGGGCACTTGACCCTTCGAGGACGTCAAGCCAGGGGTTCGTAAAGATGACCGGTCAAAGGACAATACGCTGTATTCTTCCGAGTTCGCTTCTGCATCTCTTCGACGACGAGAGATGTCATCCAGCGCTTCTTTGCTAAGAGAAATGAAGACGACAAACGAAAGTGGCGCAATGTAAGAGGATATATAGCCAATACGCAGAATGGGAATAGTTTGAGACAAAGCCACGAGTAGAAAATAAATATTGAAGAAGAAAGAAAACTCATTATATAGAGTACGTGGGAGAAAACTCCAGGGGGTATATTTCGCATTCGACACGACATTGGGCGGGTATCGGGATTTTTGTACCTGTCCAACCAATATCTCGCGGGGAGGGACAGTGTTAGCAGCCTGGGTAGATCTGGGGCGCTTGAAACGGTCGAGCATCCTTCCTCTGGCCAAGCTACGGTTGCCAAAAACGGGAAGTCCAAGCCTGGACCGCAAGCCTGAACGAGCTTGGCTAGATGACTGTCGGGACAGCGGCCGCCGTTGTCCGGTTGTAAGGAGAGGTGAGTCGTCATCGGCGGAACTTATTTTTGCGCGGGAGAGATGGGCCTCTTCATGCTCTTGGTCATAGAGTAGGCCATCCAGGTCATCATCTTCTCCGCTCTGCCTTATATCCCGTTCCCAAGGCCGTTTCGGTGTCTTCTGCCGTAACTTCTTCAATGACACCGCAGGGCTATACCAGCGTGACCCATCTGAAGACCTCCGATGTCCAATGTTATCACCGAATCTCGGACTCGAGTGAACTCCCAGCTCCTCCAGCTCTAAATCGTCATCGTCGTCTATGGAATTTATCGACTGTCGATCAGGGTGTGTTGTGTATGAGTTTGTAGGCATCGTGACGGAGGTCTGCACCAAAATTATAACGTAGTAGAAGAGTAGTAGAGCGAGAGTAAAAAGATGGGCCGTAAAACAGCGTCCGGGGCTGCTATCTCGATAGCATCGTTGTCCTATGATTGATTGTTCGAGTAGTTATGGCGTTTCTGGCCATCAACAGCCCTAAGAGCTGCCCAACTGGCGGCGCTAAAAAGAACAGTCGATACTCCGTTGTATCAATCAACGTGGTAAAAACAAAAATCCCCCTTCTTCACTGTTGTCTTCCGCTGTTGTTGACTTCTCCGGAGGCATCAACATTAAATATTTCATGCCCTTTACCCTTTTTGGGCCTGTCGTCATTCCTTTAAGGTGGCTTCGATTCACGTGATAGTTTCAAGGCGCAGGGTCCCGTGACATTCTGTTGTCGCCCGGCGGGTGCAAAATATTGCTCACTTACGGAGCAATTCTCCAATGAACTACTAATATATCAGAGACTAAGCAGAGCTTAAATATATCTCTATGGTGAAAGAGGCAATGTCTCCACGATATGAACGAATTATCAAATGTTGTACGCTACTCCGAACACCCACTAGCTTATAAGGCCATAAAGGAGCGACCTCTTTGCCGAGGCACCGTGGCAGAGTGGTTAATGCGTAAGATTTGAAATCTTATCCCTTAGGGGTCGCGCGTTCGAATCGCGTCGGTGTCGCTTTTTTATTTATTTATTTATCACGATGTTTCACGTGACCCATATAGATTGGATCCATGGATGAACTTAAGATTTGATAAGAGTACCTCCCACGAAGCGGTGGGTGTTTTCGCTTCCCCGGACGAGACAATGTACTCCGTAATAACTATTAAATCTGGTTAAGAGCATGCCGTCCAAGATTCTACGTCCGCTCAAATGTCGAAGTTCCCTGAAATTACCTCCTCGTGGGTTAATTGTCTCATCAATACAAGGCTGCGTTACTAGCATTTGTGACAAATGGTATGCAGGAGTAACTCTCAACTCAACTAGTGATCACTAACTTCTAGTTAGTGCTAGGCCGGGGATTCGCCTGTTCAGGAGGCGCTGAAGGCGGCAGTTTGGTCTATTTTATACGAGTAAGTGAAATTATACCGTTATCTAGATAGCCTGGGTTAGTGTTTGGCTCCCTCAATTCACGAATTAATATTGCCGTTGCCTTGGAGCCGTCTGCAGCTTTGGTATTCTTAAAAAATAGCGGATAAACAAAAATGACTGCTAACTTACTCTTTCAAAAGAAAAAAAAAAAAGGGAGGGGGGCTTACCGAGTAAAACTTGTAGCCAATTAATTGATTGCCCTATTTACTTGCCCTATTTACACACTGAACACCTAGGTGAGTGCCATGCAACCCCAGCTTGAGTCATTCATTTGATGAGGCGATGAGGGAAACTGTTTAAATGAGACAATAGAGAGGCGCACAGCCAGGGATACTGGTGGAAATGCCCAAAACACGATGGATACATCAAGACATGCCTAGAAAAAGGTAACATAACTGGCGCCGGCTCAGCCCCCGGTTTATCTACAGCAAGCGCCCCTTCGTTCAACTAGAAAGGCACTGTGGCGGAGTGGTTAACGCGTTTGCCTCGAACGTTACGTTTTTCGCGTAACCATCTTTGTATGAGAGTAGCAAATTCCTTCGGGAGCGTGTGTTCGAATCACACCGGTGTCGTCTAATTTTTTCATCCTTCTTCCTTTTTTTTTTTGGGCTGACAGCTCACAATTTGCTGACGTAATAGAGAAGGTCTGGTGACTAAGCACTTATCGGCCCGATATTTTGCCGTCGCGCGCCCTGTCTGCAAAGCCCCGAAAAAGGAAAGCTGGCAAGTTTTTGGGATGCTTTTTTCAACGTCGACGATTTCTTCTTCACGGCATCATCGCCTTTTCTTCTGTTGCTAGAAGCGTACATTCTTAGGACTGAGTCCTGGCCGCCATGGTTGGCATTTGCATTTGAATTCAGCGTTGTTTGTTTCAAGTTTTGGTTTCGGTTTTTGTTTCTACTTCACTGAACAGTACAGTATGCGGGATGGCGTTGCCCTTTGAACAAACAAAAGAACGCGATGCTGACCGGCTGCTATGCAGGTTGATTCATTAAAATGTCGGACGATTCATCTAGCAAACCGTCTGCTGAGCCAGAGGTTGCCGCCGCTCTCCCGGATTCACAGGAATGTTCCGCTCCAACGGAAACCATACCATCTAGACCCCCTACCGATTCAGATCCGTCTGATGACCACCAACCATCTGAGTCCCAGGAGGTGTCACAGGATACCGAGACATCCACATCCCTTGACCAGCCTACAGGCGTTCCTGGGCTCGGTGATACTGCTGCAGACGCAGAAAACTCGGAACTCCTTACCCTCTTAGAGTCAAGTACTGAGACACCTCAACAGGACAAACTGGAGGCTCCCTCAGTGCGTGTCGATGATACTGAAGATGTTTCCCAACCTACAAACATACAAGCTTCTCAACCAAATGTCCCAGAGGTCACCCTGACGGAGGATATAATTTCAGCTGGCCATAGCGACTCGATACAGCCCATAACGCAGTCTTCTGATGAGCAGCCTAGTTTGCTCTCGAGATCTAATACCACTAAGCTATTAGCACGAGATGATATTGTCTCGAGAACCAATTCGTTCCCTACCGTTAATTCGACAAACGAGCCAGACCACCCCACCACATCTGCGCCTCAAGTTTTTGATTCTGCTGAATCGCAGCACGATTCGAATAACGATACCCCCAATGTTCCTTCCACAGAGTCCGATGTTAATTCGGGAAGCACGCACGCCGCACCATTATGGAATGACGATGTGGACAACGAGGCTGAAGGGGAAGACTTTTTCAATCAAGTTAGCACTCAGACTAAGCCCATCTACATCCCACCCGAGTTTGCGGAATCGAGGTTTGAGGAAGGGCTCCCACTGGTTGATAACGGCGATCAGAGCAATGACCAGCAAGCTGCACAGCCCAAACAGCAAAGTGCCCTGGATTCGGTTTTCAGCGAGGATATAACTACAGATGAGGCGGGCTTTTTTAGCTCCGACATGTCACATGCAGCAGAGCCATCGGAGGCACCACCCACACTACACCGAAAGCAAACTTCACAAGTGCTAGACTCACTACGAATGGATGATGCTTTTCGGGGAGATGAGTCTCCTATCGAGCCTCCTGGCGCCCCTTGTGAACAGCTGTCTACATCAGAAGCGGTCGGTGGGCACCAGACTTCTAAGGATGATGCAACAACCATGGAGAATTTAGATGAGAATGAACTCGCAGAACGGTGGAAAGCAGCCCTTGACGATGATCTACTTGATGATGAGCTTCTTGACGATGACCTGCTCGATAATGATAACGCAGCTCAGCAGGAAGATGAAAAACCGCCAGCTCCACCCCCGTCACAGCGCTATGCACCCAACACTTCAACGTGTCTACCTCAATCTCGTCCCGCACCTCCTCCAATTAATCCGTATGCCCCTCATCAGCCATCATCTTCTTCGATAATGGAGGGTATAGCACCTGCCCTTTATGGAGAACATGCGCAGCCCATCAGCCCAGTCTCTGCGTCTGCGGAAAGCTTTTCAAACCAACCAAAAGCTGGATACAAATCCCCATATGATCTACCTGATGATTTGCAACCAAAGCGCCGAATCGCTCCAAGGTCTGCTTCTAATATCAGCCAGCCATATCAACCAATTCCCGATTCCAGGCCTTCTAGCTCCTATAGCGCTGCGCCGCTGCAAACTGCCCCTCCAGTAGCACCAACTAACCCTTATGCTCCTCAGCCTCAACCTCAGTCTCAAAAACCAGCGGCTCCTAACAATTTTTTTGAAGAACTTCCAATAGCCCCACGGTCAAGGCCATCGACAAGAGGAAGATATGCACCTCCGCCTGCAGAAGCAGGCCGACAGGCCCCCGCAGGTCCGCAAATGATGACTCCCACATCTCAGCAGCATAATGAACCTCAGCCTCAAGGACAGTACGGATTACAGGCACCTCCCAGAATGGACCCTTACGCAAATATCATAGCTCCTGCTGGGCCTGTTGCAACCAAGCCAGCAACGCAATACTCTTCCAGGCCCATTGGGAAGCCCGCAGCATCTGGACGTTACTCTCCCGCGCCCCCGCTTTCTAGCAGCGCACCTAGTCACTCATACATGCCAAATCATGCGGGAATTACACTTCCATTTCAGCCAAGAACCTCAAGCCCCCTTGCACAGCACGATTCTAGTCATGTTAGGCCTCGGGTTCATCCTGAATCTCCTCGTGAGGGCTCTTTGGGCAGCCAGGAGTCAGCTCAGCATCTCTCTCCTCCAACTGCCCATAATGACTTCGGGCAAAGGAATTATGCTCCAATGTCAAACGTTATCTCATCTCCGCCTTCTAGCATGCCACCGCCCTCTGCTCCTATACGAATGTCTCCGCCCCGCAGATCACAAACCCAGTCTCCTGGGAAGCGGATTTATAGTCAGGGACATCCATCTATAATACAGGATAATGCGCAAAGGCCCGCATCTGCCCACGCTCCCAGTGGACCTGCTCCAGCTTCCCATTTTCCGCTGGCTCGTGCTATGACGGTTGATTCACATCCAGCACCCGCTGTTGATTTCATTGCTCCAGCAGATAGCCATAGCCTTGATCCTTTGGAGCGTTGGAAGGGTGCTCCCATTATTAAGTTTGGTTTCGGCGGATCTTTAATAACCTCGTTTCCAAAGCGTGTTCCGCTGTACTCAACTGGACAACTGACTCCTCGTATGAAGCCGGTCCCAGGTGAAATCAAACTACGTTCTTTCAATGAGGCTATTCCAGAGTCTGTTATGCCAGCCAAATTCCCCGGGCCTCTGAAGTCTAAATCCAAAAAGAAAGAGGTCATTACTTGGCTATCAAACATGATTTCGAGTTTCGAACATGAGGATCCTCAAGGTCTCGTTAGTCTCACTCAGGGAGAATTTCAAGCCAAGGTGGAGAAAATCATGCTCTGGAAGGTTCTCAGAACGCTTGTTGAGCACGATGGCGTCCTTAGAGGTGCTCCCGATGCAGAAAAGAGTCTTCTTAGCATTCTGTCGCCCATTACCCCACAAAATGAACAAGGAGCGTCAACCATAGGTTCAACGAACGCACTTTATGGCAAAGAGGAGCCTGCCAATGTTAGCCTAGACGCAATTCAACATAACTTGCTTCTCGGTGAACGTGAAAGGGCCATATGGGATGCCGTTGACCACCGGCTGTGGGGCCATGCCATGCTACTTTCCTCAACGCTGAATCCATCCGTTTGGAAGCAGGTTGTTCAGGAGTTCATCCGTCGTGAAGTACGATCTGTAGGCGAAAATACCCAATCTCTTGCTGCTCTTTACGAGGTACTGGCTGGCAACTTTGAGGAGAGTGCAGATGAGCTAGTTCCTCTATCCGCACGAGCTGGTTTGCAATTGGTTAATACCCGTACCGGTCAAGGTCCAACCGGAAACGCACTTGATGGACTCAACAAATGGCAAGAGACCTTGAGTTTGATTTTGAGTAATTCTAGCGCCCAAGATGACCAGGCTATATTAGCACTGGGTAGGTTGCTTTCGTCGTACGGAAGAGTGGAAGCGGCCCATATTTGCTTCCTGATTGCCAGATCTAACACCAACCCTATATTCGGAAGCCTTCAGGACTCGAATGCTTATATCGTCCTTATTGGGGCCGACCACAAACGATATCCATTCACCTTCATGGCTGATTCTACTGCTTGTTTGCTCACTGAGGTATACGAATTTGCTACTTCTGTCCTTACAGCTACGCCATTACACGTTCTACCTCACTTACAGGCTTTCAAGCTTCAACATGCAATGACTCTTGCTGAGACAGGTCATCGTTCTGAGGCCCAGCAATATTGCGAAGCAATTGGCGCTCTGCTGAAGACAGCAACCAAACTCTCGCCGCACTATAACCAGCAATTCTTCATTGAGCTGGAGGAGCTCTCAAACCGCCTACGCCAATCACCCGGTGATTCAGCTTCGTCTTGGATGTCGAAACCCAGCATGGAGAAGGTATCCGGCTCAATGTGGGCTAAATTCAATAGCTTTGTCGCTGGTGACGACTCTAGCCCCGACTCTTCTGATCCATCTAAGCCTCATGAAGACCAAGGTCCATTCGCAAATGTTGTTGGCACTCCGCCTGTCGGCCACTCACCTGGAGGACCTGAATCGTTCGGTTCATATTTCCCTACACACCAACAACAGCCAGTCGCTATCCCTGCTTCGAACTCTCGATATGCGCCTAATAATCAATATGCCCCCTTTTCATCCCCGGATCAGCTTCGCGGCCGCCGCTCTCTAGACTCGCAGCGTTCCCCCTCACGGGGTGCTGCTGCTCGGTCATACTCACAGAGGCGACATTCCCAAGATCCTTCCACTGGCTATGAGAATAGCTACGCTCCACTCGCAGCCGGCAATCCATATTCTCCATCGCCAGTGGCCCCCCAACCTACTACGCACTCTACACCATTACCTGCTCACTCACCACTGGCTCCTGTTGAGGAAGCGAGCTCGTCGTTGGCTCCGAGCACTACCTCAGAGCAAGCTCCTGGCATGGGGGTGTCGGCTCCCGGGCCAAGCTCGTTTCAGCCCGCCTACCAACAAGTCAATGCCACCTATTCTCCTCCGACGCAAGAATCTCAAGGGGGATACGAACCTCCATCAGAGGGCGGATACCAACCTCCATCTTATGAGCCGCCTTCTTATGAGCCACCTATGAATGAACCTGAGTCGCCTGGGAGTGAAGAAGCTGAAGAGAAGAAGCCCAAACCAAGGAAGAGCTTTATGGATGATGATGATGACAGTTATACTGGCAAAGGAGCAGTCGCAGCCGCACCCACAAACGGAGTAGAAACAGACAGGGGACGTAGGGATCGAGAAGCAGCTGAACTTGTCAGGAAGGCTGCCGAAGAAGATGGTAAGTTTTACTGGTGATTTTCAATATACACAACGACTAATTTGTGTTCTAGCCAAACGTCCACCTCCAGATGCAAAGAAGGGCTGGTTTACTGGCTGGTTCGGGAAGCGAGACCCAAGCGCTTCTGGTGGTCCTATCCGAGCCAAGTTGGGAGAACAAAGCTCGTTCTACTTCGATGAAGACTTGAAGCGTTGGGTGAACAAGAAGGATCCCAACAGTGCCACGTCCTCCACTTCTGCCTTACCGCCTCCGCCAAAGGGCTCAGCTTCTGGCAGCCGGTCTGCCAGCGCTGAACAACGCCCGCCCACTTCGGCGTCTGTCGCAAGTGCACCTGATGCGGTCCCCATCCCACTAGCCAAACAATTGTCGGCTCAGGGTGGCCCAAATTCACCATATGGCTCTGCTGCTCCTCCGTCTTCGCTGGGAGTTCCCGGCGGTACTCCACCTTTGACTCCATCTTCAAGGCCTGGAACCGCCCTGAGCCATGCAAGTTCCATTGATGATTTACTTTCAGCCCCGACTTCCAAGAAGGGAGGTACCCTGAAAGGACGTAAGAAAGGCCGATATGTTGATGTAATGGCAAAATCCTAAGGTAGTTTTTCAACTCTACCTGAACAGTGACGTTTCACCACACAAGCCTTCATCAGGCTGCTATACATATTATCCACCACCACCACCACCACCACCACCACCACCACCACCACCACCACCACCACATGTTCGTTTTCTCTTTCTACTGACGCTTGTCAGCCTCCGTTTATATCCCTCGACCTGGAGTCAGTTTTGCTTGTCATTGCTTTTGTTTGCTTATTAGTTCCTTTTCTCGATGCTGTCTGTTGATACCTTCGCAGGCGGCTTTCTCACTTCCTCCAAATACCCATTTTAATTCATTCTACATCTCCCGTGAGCAACTATAAAATCTTGACTGTGCCTACTTTGTGTTGACTTCGTTTGCATGTATAATTTTCTGGCTTTCCCTTAGTTAACTGTACTTTATATCATTATTATTCTTAATATATCATTAATTTCCTCAGCTCATAACAATCGACCTTCTGGCAGAATGTCGGTTCCTAACTAGCTGGCGTACGAATTGATATAATATGTTAGGCAGGAGTCCTCTCCACCTATTCCTCCCGGGAGGTAAACATAGAGGACCAGGGCCGTCTCATGAATGAAACCTACAAGGTCAGCAAAGGAAGAGGGAACAACAAGGATAAAGGAAGAATGAAAATACTTACAGGCAACAACTTTGGGGCTCAATCTACCAACACTCAATACTCGGCCCCAGTCTTTACCGTCAATCCTTACTTTTGCCCATCCTTCCTCGCCATCTGCTGCTCGGGCTCTCATCCGCTCACTTGGCAGCTGAGCGATCTCGCTCTGGGTCATATCTGCCTGGTCAAGGGGAGGATTTACCAGTCCTGCCCATACACTGGAGATGCGAAGAATATCAGTAGCAATGGCCAATTTCAACGAACCATGCATGTTGGCACTAAGTTCCAACTTAGGCCCGCTGCTATGACTCCCGCCCGCTAGAGCAGGACCATTGCCGTTGCCACCAGCACTGACATTCCCTGCTTTACTGGAGGCAGCATCAGTGGCAAGCTTTGTGAAACGTTCGGATATGCTTTTGAGCTGGATGAGACTGGGAAGAATGATATGTACATCCGGGTCACGGCAACGTGGTTCGTGCACTCCCTCGACCGCAGAGGGATGAAGAACACGGATGGGTATTTCCTGTGTCACAATCGTTTCACGTTCTCGGGGTCCGTCTTGCAGAAGCTCTGCGGCTGGTATCCCGCTCAAAGCGCCGCCGTTTTCAAGAGACTGAGAGTTTGCCGGACGGGAGCCGCTTGCCCTTGCGGGCTCGTCTGAGTTAGACGCACCTTTTCCCGATGTCCATGACGAGGTAACCACTGTCAAGGCGAGTTGAGGCTGGTTCCCCTTTTTGGTCAATCGTAGTTGTGCAGAGGTAGCGCCGGTGGCTGACTTTAGCGCACGATGCAGGGCACCTATTGGCACCTCCAGGTTTATGACCTTTGCAACTGAAGAAAAAGAATATGAGTCGAAAACAGTGTGCTACTCGTCACTTAGCCCATGGTCATCTCTGATTAAAATCAACTTGACATGGCCCTCTTCCATGGTCCAAGTCCAAATATACATACAATTGGGAGCTGGGCCCAGACCTGCGTCCCCTGATCTGGGATTATGGAGAATCGAACGACCTCATCCTCGAGCCTCACCCAGCAGACCTTGCCAAGTGACGAGAGGGAGGCCGTGAATTCTAGCAGCAAGGATTAGTCAAATAGTCCCCAGAGCTGACGCGTTGAAAAACAGATAACTTATGGGTCAAATTTTTGCTGCTACTCACTGGAGAACGTCGCTACGTTCGTGAGCTGGCTTTTGAAACGCATCCTGTACGCTTCATCGTCCGCTGCGTGCAGCAGCCAGAGACATCAAGAAGCCCTTGAGCCCTGTCTCCTCTCTTTCTTTTTTGTCCTTTCTTCCCTGTAAACCGTGTGTGGTCTCTGATCTGAACCACCCTGTGCAGTTGCAGCTTGCCGCCGGCGTGAAACAAGGAGTGTCCAATTGGCACGGCTGGTTCCAGGACAAAGCCGGTTACAAAAAAAAGCAGTCCAGACGCTTGTCTCAGGTAGCTATTTTCAGGGAAGCCGACGACGAAGCCGTAGATCAGGTCGTAAGGCGTATGAAAGTCGTCTAGCCAGCTCGTAGTGCGTTAGTTGAAGCTGTGGCTTGAGGTTGTCTTTTTCCTTTTTCGGGTTGCAGCCACAAGAAGCAAATAACAATAAAAAAAGATCCATCGCAACCTCAGCTTTTCCCTCTCCACGACCCCCAACAACCAAAGAGACAGCAGCAGAAGAAGCAAAAACGAAGCAGCCTGCGAATGACCGTCTTTATGGCTTACAGTGCTGGGTTTTCTACTTGACAGCGCATTCGTTTCTGCAGGCTTCTTCCAGAGAACCAGCGAGAAAGGTGGACGCGGAAGAGAGGCAATGCTTGACGGACCTCCGGCATCTCCAACTGCGATGGCAGATATCCAGCACCTGTTTCCTCTCGCCGTCTGAATCTCGCTCTGGAACGGAAGATTTCGCTTGGTATGCTTGTATACTGCCTCTCTTTGCTCGTTGCCGGCGCGGATTTCTCGTTCTCCTAAGCCATGCCGGCCTCCCCAGACGCCGTTTAAAGCAGACAGAGAGAGAGCCGAGCAGCTGAGAGCCCACGACCTCACCAAACGCCATAGAATCCGGGGCCTGGCGATGCTCCTGGACGAACACCAGTCATGGCGAAATCCCCGTTCAACTCTCTAGACCCGGCTGCCCGCCTCCCTCCCCGTCATTCGCGATCTCCACGCTCGCCCTCACGCTCCCCGGAACGGAGAGCGCAGTTCCTCTCTCACCAGCTCGATCCTCTACTCTCAGACCTATCTCCAGAGACGACACTGCAAGTCCTCTCTGCTACCGACGCTATCCCGATACATAAAAACACTCCGCATAGCCTTTTGGCCAAGAGCATATCCGATGTCTCAACCGTGGATCGTGCATTCGGCATAAGAGCCGCAGTAGCTGCCCAGAAACTCAATGAATGGCATACTGAGGTCCTCTCCTGGTTTTGGCCGGATCCTGCTCGTGATCCGAATGCAAGAAACGGGTTTCTTCCGCCGAAAGAGCTTGAGAAGAGCTCCAATAGGGGTTGTAATGAGGCTCAGACCGGAAGTTCTCCCATACCAGAGACTGAGCGGGAAATATACTTTGGAAGCTTGCCTGCGAGCATTTTGAAACTATATCAAACCCGGATCAAGGAAATAAAGGATGGCATGGAAGTTCTGGACGTAGAAGAGTTGAAGGAGCATGTTTTAACAGCTCATATTCCTTCACGATCTCGTCCACCTTCTGCTGCTAGCACCATGTCCACAAGCTTCGGTCTAGCTAGCTATTTGAAGATGAGTGATTTCACCGCAGTCATAACAGCTACTATTCTACGGGCCCTACCCGTGCTATCAAGATTGAACAATCTGCTTAGCAACTGGCACGCTCGACTCCTTGTTCTTAATCATGTTCCAGGGCTGGTCTTGGACCTTCAGGAAACCAAACGGGCTATTACCAATGCACTTAACCGACTGCAAAATGGCCTGCTCCCTAATCTTGATGATCCCCTATTTTCCAGAGAATCATTCAGGTCTAGCTGGAGAGAGCTGCAGGCTATGGTCTCATCTCTCGGTCGCCGGATTGATAGCATGCTCGATATCCTCGAAGGGAGAAAAGATTCCCTACCCGAGACTTGGATCGATGACATGGAAGCCATTGAGTCAAGAATTGCTAGCTGGGCATTTGAGGCTGAAAGAAGAGCAATACAAAATGAGTTGAAATGTCTATATCAGCGCGAACTTGACGAGTATTTGGCACAAAAGTCTTCGGAGGAATCAGTGCCAGATGTCTCACACACACCACAAAAGAGCTCTGATGATGTAGCTGAACCATTAGTCCGACACAGTGAGGCAGCGGTCAAACATCACACTGCCAGCCCTAGCATAAGGTCTGATTCTTACTTTACTCCTTTAACACCACAGCCCTTGCTACCTGCTACCAGGGAAAACCACACTAGTGAATCAAAGTCAATTACATCTTCCATTGTTGACTCGTCCGATAGATATACCCCCGAAAATTTTCCTTCTGAATTTCAAGATCCCGTGAAAAGAATAGGAGTTACTTCCTGTTCTACTCCGAATAATGGTCGGGCTACTGCTGTTACCAAAAATATTCAAGATTATGACACCCCGAACTTTGAGTCCCCACGTGTTCCTAATCCAGCAATATATGATAGTACTCAGAGTGAAGATTTTATGACTAGGCCGGTCTCCCGCCTTGATTTCAACACCGTTGACTGCCCAGGTTCGGACAACTACAGTGACATGTCGCCCGATAACTCACCAGCTCCCCTGACGCCCTTGGTCAACATGCGAAAAAGGTCCAGTAAGCGCGAGAGTAACGTCCCGTCTAGGTTGCAACTGATTCCGTCTGGTTCGGATGCAACCATCAAGCAGAACGAAGTGGCTGGCCCCATCGAATCTCCTGATACTTCAAACTTCATCCCTGACAGAGAAGACTTGGAATTTAGCGTTGCCCAACCCCTGAGCTCTCCAACAACTCCAGCACAGATGTCATCATCGCCTGGCCTAAGCTCCAGCGGTTCGGTAATACATCATACTCCAGAAGTCGCGAAAAACTCCACATCCCGTCCCACCACTAGCGCATCGCCTTCTCCCGACCTCCAGACACCACCATCCCTTCGATCATTTGGCAGAACAATGAGTTTGCCCCTAGCCCGTTATATCAATGATGAGCCTGTCTCCTTGTATGGACAGCATGGAGCCTACCACCCGAATGACAAATCACAAATAAGCACAGCATCGATTGGATCGGCTGATATATCACCAAGAGGACAGGTACGTCAAACAACTTGCGTTTAATGTGACTGCATTTACTAATCGTTTTCCAGGTTGGGGATTCTGCTTTTGATCGAAGAAATAGCTTAACCCCGGGCACTTCCACAAAATCCGAATTACGGAGATCTATTTCATCCGCGAGCATATCCTCCTCCCCTCGTTTACAGGAAAAACTAAATCTTGGCCGTCTATCAAATTTTACGCGGTTATCACATTTGCGCCGCAGTGCAAGTTCTGAACCAATATATCTTGAGAAGTCGTCACTCTCTACAGGCTCTCCTGATACAAATTTTTCATCCACCCCCCTCAACACCCTCGACCTTCCCTCCAGGTTGAGTCCATTCCTTCATTCCACATCTCCAGAAGCAGATAACACATTCCCAGATGCCGACTCTTTAGAACTGATACCCCCTCCTCTCAAAACAAGATCTCACTCAGGGACCAGGACCCCTGTTAAAGTGCCACATGATGAGTTCGATGACAGGATACATTCCATACTGGATACTATTCCCAAAATCCGTATGAAATCTACCGTTAGCGAGGATTCTAATGAAACGCCCGCGCCAGACAACTTGCGGGTACCGCCAAACTCAGGCCGCGTCCATCCTCCTTCTCCAACGCTGTCTCGCTCTAGTACCCCTACTCCTTCACTTACCCTTACGCCAGCACCTCGCCCTAGGCGTCGCAATAACCCTGGACCAGATGAAGTGCGGTTATATCACCTTCATAGAGGTGGTAAAGCAGCCCCAGTCAAACTATTTGTACGATTAGTGGGCGAAACTGGCGAGAGAGTAATGGTGCGCGTTGGCGGTGGCTGGGCGGACCTCGGTGAATATCTTCGCGAGTATGCCATGCATCACGGAAGACGAGGCATAATCGACGGCAGATTTGAAGTACAAGGGATTCCTGTTGTTAGCAAATATCCCCGGGCGCCAACCCCTACTCCTACAAATGGTCGAACCACGCCCATACCCCCTTCGCGACCTGGCTCTGCTATGGATATTCGCCCAGGGTCCTCTCTCGCGGTCCGGAGAGCAAGACGTGCAACCGGCTCAGGTGCAGATCTGTTACCAAACCTCACGGCTGCCAATATTCAAAGATTATCTGAGGAAGGTGTTAGTCCTGGCAACTCTTCCGTTCTATCCTCACAACGACGCCCATCACTATCTTCCGCAACTTCTGTGAGCACCTCGGTTGTAGGGGATCACTCGTTTAACGCTACTCCATCCCACCGCTCCTTTTCCACAATCACTGGCGCCGCTCATTCGACACCACTTGGTTTAGCTGGTCCCAAACCTCGATCAAAACAACATACCATTAGTCCGGAGAGCGAAGCATGGGTTGAAGATGTCATGGGCCAGGCACGAAGGAGCTCATCTACTCTTAGAGCCCAGCGATCCATGACTGCCATGCGTAGCAGCTCTGGCGTCCTTCGACGCATGCCTAGTGCAACTCTTAATGAGCAAAGCCCAACAAATAACATTGCAATGAACAAAGCTCGGGGCGAGAATAAACTCCGGAGCGCAAGTGATATGGGAGGCGTGTCACTCAACAAACGAGTCTTTTTACGTCGACTAGGGAAAGAAAAGGAGTAAGGCTACGTGATAGGTGATCTCCTTGTTTTTTTACTTCACCGTTCATTCTTTTACCACTATCTATTTTCTTTCTATTTGGAATCTTATTTCTTTCCATCTTCTTGGGCCGCATGTTGTGGGCAAGTGAGTGAGTGATTTGATTATTGGACCGGCGTTATTCAAAGATATCCATCTCGATCTCCTATTCTCATCTTTTTTCCTCTCCATCTAACGCCATGACTACTCTCTTTTAATCTCTAGCACCACGTTCTTTTACCTCAACCTTTTCTTTTCCCTTTTATCTTTCCTTTGCTATGTTTCCTATTCCATTTTCTTTTCTTTGTATTATTCTCATTTTTTCTTGGTTACCGTCGGTCATACGCTATTTCAGCTTTTAGCGAATCATTCCTGTAAGATTGATTCAATGTCTCTCGCATTGCAATATTCTTCTGAACATATACCCCTATTATTTCAAGTCGACTAGTCCTTTCTAATAGGAATCATGATCGATCCTTATATTTCATTAGACTCGTACAGTGCCTATTATTAACGTAGTATGAATATGTGCATATTCTGTGTCCGCGATACCGAGATATTAATTACTCAGTAACCCAAGAACCCGAACGCCTATGAGGAAGTAATAGACAACAAAACGTATGCGATGCAATAAATGTTAGATATCCCAAATACTTACCATCGCACCTGAAACTCCCAGATACCCGCAATATACTAGTCTTAAGTGCAATATATTGATAAGAGGGTACAGGAAGGAAACTCGTAAGAAAAGGTCCAGGTGTGCAAATGGTAGAAGTAGCTTCATACACGCACTGGAAATAATTATTTCGCCCCAAGAAGAGCATGTTGCCGGACCTCTTTAGCATCCATGACTTCCACCTCCCGGCTAAGCAGCTTGCGAAGGTCAGGGGTAATGATTTGGACAGAAGTAGCCTCGGAGTCGGGCTTCGTATTGGGCTTGTTGGAGGGCTTTGATCCTGTGCCGCCTGATGGGCTAGCTCCAGTTGCTGTGGCAGAACTATCTCTAGCGGGTGATGTAGTGGTATTGGCCTGAGATGTGGGACGTGTTGTCCGCTGACGAACAGGTGCCTGCGGAAAGTTGTACTTCTTGTCAATAGCTTCAACTTTCTTCTCAAACCGATGAAATAAGGCCTCCGCTCTACTCAATGTGGGTATCAAGTCGATTGTATTTGATAGTTCATTGACTATTAATAGTTTAGCCCAAGTCTGATAATATGAACAGGGAAACGACATACCGTATTTTAAGACCTCGTCGAAATGGTGAAGGTGCGCCATAATAACGTCACGGTGTTTCTCTAGTATAGCCAAAGCGACGAAGATATGGAAATTACTAGACAGATGGTCTGTCCATAGTGCTTCCCAGAGCCTGAGACAATCAACCCATTCGAATTCTCTTTTAAACCACACTAGGAGCATGCGGAAGAAAAAGAAGAAGTTGGTGCTCTCAGCTTTCTGAAGATGCAGGTAAAGCTTTGGGTCCATGAGTTGAAGGAGTTGGTCAAGGGTCAATAGCTGTTGGCGCATCCCAGATTGATCTCGAAGGAAGTTTCGTTCCTGATGTATATATTAATAGACTATACGATAAATGTATGAAATATTCAGGCCGACGCTTACCATTCGATTCATGAACCCAACGAAGCCCCAAAATGCAATCGCATCGTCTTGCATCACGGCATAGATTGGGCTAAGAAGATCACTCATACCTTGTACATACCCAAGTTCTGTGTTGTACTCATTGTAGGTGAGCAACATATCTTTCATCTGTTCAAGGTGGACATTTGTCCCAGTTTCGGCAAACGGTGAGTCTGGATCTGGATGAGGTGTGTCCTCCCCGGCAAAAAGGGGGATATGACGATCTGTCCGGTGAACATCTTTTTCTGAATTGAGGACACCAAGGGATGATTTGTAGTTAGCCATCTAAAAACTTGACGTATGGCTTGGCCTTGAAGAACCCTAAAGTCAACGGAGGTATCTTACCTATTCTATTCTTTTGCTCCCTAAACCATTCCTGCTCTTTAGGTGTGGAAGCCCCATCAATCATACGTTCCCACCAAGCTCCCTTCAAGCGGATGTATTCATCTCGTCGTGAATTCATGACGGCTTTTCGCTCATCTTCGCTACTATCCCAGTCATAAAACCCTAGAAGGAATAGCCATGCCTCTTTTCGAACGCCATCGTTTGGCTCAAGGCCGCCGTGGAAAATACGCTCCTTGGCTTCCTCAACAGTGATTTGGAGTTTTCCAGTGGTTCTATGGAACCATCCGTTCCACTCTTCCAAAGTAACTATTTTTCGCTTATCACTGATACTCATTTGGGCCGCTTCCATATCCAGAATTTCAAACTCTCCAACGGAGCTATTCTCCATGGCCAGGACATCGTTTGCTGTCCATATTCGTTGGTTACGTTCACGTTCGCTCTGTTCTGCAATACCCATTGCCCAGCGAGCAAGATATAGTCTGGCACTGTCAAATTCGTCTTGTAATGTTTGAACTTCTGGGTTTCTCATGAGTCGCCTTACTTGGGGAGGTAGTCGGGGGTTATCCGCAATATCTTGAGCAGTTCTGCGAGTGAAAGTTGTGATTTTGCTAAATTGCTCAAGGACCATCCACCTTGTTTCCTTAAGAGCTTTTGTGAATGGGTCCATTGTTGCATCTTTAGGAGGTTTGCTGGAACCGGGTTGGCCCCTAGAACTTTCCAACTTGCCCCTAGCTTGTCCAAAAGCTGTTTTGTCTTCCTCAGTTGGGTTAATAAGGTAGGCACTTGGATCCTCTCCTGAGCGGTGAACGTCCACGTATCTCCGTAGCCATCGGAGTACTTCGTCGCCACCCCAGAACATGCTTCCATCATCGGCGAAGGGGTCGAAATTTTCCTTTGTCCGTTTTTTCTTTTGCAGTATGGTAGACTCGCATTCACTATCATGGAAGAATAGTGCAGGAAAACTATCTCCTGCCTTTGTATTGATAACCACGCTACCAAACCACCACCCTAGACTGGGTGGTCGGACCAAAAGTGAGTATATACGCGACAATGGGATAGCAAATGCATAAGATCCGATAGGACCAGCACTATTAAGAGTTGTAGGTAGTGGAGGAACCAAATAGGATGTACGTGGAGGAGAGTTATCGTCTGATAGGTCTACTTTAACGTAGACGCCGCGCTCATCCCCGAGAGATGCCTCAGGCACCCAAGAGAGTAAAAGCGATGACGGATCAACGGTTTTATCCGAGGAGGGAGAAGAGGACGAAGTACTCTCACGCGGAGCGGAGGGAGCAGGCTTTTGCTGAACCAGGGCAATAAAACCGGGTATATTATCCTTTGAAGATGCCGTGGGATGAACGTAGACCTGTGATAATTGATCAGCTTAAATAACCCCCTCTAGGTGAAGTTCACTCCACTCTCGTGCTTAAGAGAAACACTACATACCTTACTCTTGGAATAGAGCAGCCTCACGCCTTTACCAGTGCTAGCATGAGTAACAGTATTATAGTCTCCTTCTTCGTCGTCGCTCACATCATAGAATGAAGCCGATGGAGACGGCGGCGACGCCGGTGGGGTGGTATTCGCAGCCATCGTTGCTGCAAGGGCTAACCGGATGAGCTGGAACCGCCTAACGAGCAATCATTCTTGAACTTTAGAGGCGAAGAACTGATATTTATCCTGTCGCCCGCAGCAAACAGGCAGAAACAATAACCAAACCTGTCGTCTTTGCAGCGGCTGAAGAGCGTTTTCGATGACGAACTACGTAAGTGACGACCCAAAAAAAGAAAGCATGTGACGTCGCTCTTGATTACTTAAGCTATGGTCAAAGCTCGACTTCATGTCTGTCACGTGTAAAGCTTACTGAGAACTACTTGTTTGCACTGTTTGCATATAAAACTTGGATAAATAAGAGCAAGATATAGCTTTTTGTGTTCATATATGTTTATTCCTCCTTGTCCTATACTACTTCCTTCTGTATGTTTTCTTGGTTAGTTGCTGGAGCATCAATGAAGAGACCTACCTCGACCGCCATATTTCGCGACACTGACAACAATTGGACAACTGCCTCTTTAAGTGATACCCCAGAGCTCGATATTCTTGATGAAGTATCCTGTGGAATGTTCCTTCGTTATACTGCGTTTGGGGGCGAAATATGAGGTTGAAGCAACGAAGAATACCTGTTTGAACAGCTCTGCAAAAATTTGCGTGGCTGAGTGTCATGATCCTTCGAGGAGGAGTCTCTGCCGTACATCGCCGGGGAACTCACCAGATACGGTCGATCTAATTGAAATACGTTGCCTTCCAGGATTCCGGTGTGAGGACGATAAAAATGGCTTGATGAAGCGATATCTTTATTGTTGGTATTTCATTGATTCTGGCCAACAAGAATCTGAATTTGGTACTACTGTTGCCTGTTGGTCCTTGCTGCCAAACGTGACTAACTAGTATGGCCCGTTTGATGAATGATGAGGAAAGGAATAATCGGAATGGTTTCTATGTCCCTCCCTCTTTTGTTGACAAGGTAGTCGACCTAGCTTTAGCTACTTATAGAGGACGCCAGCCAGTCTGCGACTGTTGAAAGGTATCCCTACATCGCAGTATTCATCATCATCTATGCTAGATTCGGCGAATACGCACTTGTATTACGCCGCTAGCGCCTCCGCGACAGTTGCTATGGTCAAGGTGTTATCATGCGCCTAGAAATATCCATCCATAGCGGCAAGGGCATCTTGGGGGCTTGGTTCCCTTACTGGAGTACCAGCCTTAAGAGGTAGATGTCTCTGGATCATCTTATCCAACTGGTAACAGTATCAACTATTAGGTAGAAGTTGGGTTGGTTTTGAGGCGCAGCGCAATACATGACCAATGATGGCTGATGGAACTATTGAAACAATTCGGTGCATTAACTAATTATTATTGGTTCTTGATTTTTCTTTCGCGGAGAGGCCGAAGAGATTCCGGGAACCGTTGTTGATCTATTCTCAGTGGCCAGAGATGCAGACTCTTTTGGCATCGCCAGCGGCTACTCCGTACGCAGTACTCCGTAGGTGTTAGGCAATATGCTAGCTACCAAAGGGCCTAGGGCAACCCCTCCCACTGTGGTGGGCGGGATCGACATAAGAGATTCTCCAGCCGCTTGGTCCCTCTGGTCAAGGCGTTTGCCGTCATCACATCTGGTAAATTGAGAGCTTTAAAACCGGACCAGTCGCCTCTTGTTGGCATTAAGACGGTCACCCCAGCGTACACAGCGTACTCCGCGTGGGAACACTACAGTGGACAGTTACATCGTTACGCCGCACGCATCTCCGTGAATATATAGTCAGTCGCCGTGATGTATTCCACCCACTGACGTAACCACTGCAGCAGATAGGAAAAGACATGTCACCTCATGTTAAGTCTTCGCGGCAACTCTGCGTTGACACACTGTGTGACGCTGAAAAGTACGTTCTGCCTTGATATACGCTTTTTCCGTGCATGCACATCTTCTCGTATCTGACGGCAAAGAGTGGTTATATAAATAGAAGTCCATGTGGAAAGCCGGATACTGAGTTCACAGAGGCGTGATCCTCGTATAATCTGGCCAAATCTTCCGCTCCCAAGATCGCCTTGAGAGCGCAAATCACTGCTAAGTAGGTCGGAAGGCGTGACATAAGGCGGAGTGATGAAGTCTAGAAGGGATGAGAGTTAGCATATGTCGTACTCAGAGGGCATATTGGGGGAGTTGATGCGACTTGAATTGCCCGTCTCCCGGAGTCGCATAGAGCTTCTCCCACAACACGAGCAACGACAGGAATAGACACTCTGCAAGACGGGAAACTGGCGGGAGCTATCATGTCGAAGTACTCTGGCTTAGGGAAGTGCTATGTTACTTAATCTATGGCAGATGCAAAGCGCATCGTAGTTGGTTAGTTAGTGGGTTAGTTATGGTGTTGTTCGGCCGCCAGCGAATTCCACCGTAGTTATAAAAGACGAGACGACAACGACGACGACGACTCAACAGCCTCCGACCTCTCAACTCTCGGGTGATCACAGATATAAGAGATAATAACAACAACTGTGGAAGATGGACATCGGTAATAAAGAGAAACATCGCTGCGGCTGCTTTTGATTCATGTGACTGACTAGCTGACTGTAAAAATAGAACTGTGTGGCTGGGTCCGCAGATGTCCTCGCTAGCGGACGGAGCAGCCCTGACGCTGGCTAGGCTGAGCCCCGTCAACCACCACTCCATCCAACGAGTTAATGGTCCCGGATGGAGCTTAACAGGGCCCGGAAAGGGACGACGGCATGCTGCTGCTTTTTTGGGGGGGAACTGGAACCCGGCCAGCCTCCCTTGTCCGTTTTTGCTGCAGTGTCAAGGGCGTCTGCAGCACCAAGGATGTTAAGGGGTAAAACGCCGCGTCAATATCCACACAAGACCACAGAATAAGTGCTGGAGTGATGAGTCTCGCTTGCTGCTTGACAATGGAGGGTCTGTCGGACGTTGAAGAATTGCGGGACCTTTTTATACGGGAACAGCTGTGAGAAAGATCCATAACAACCATGGTGGAGTCCGTTTTGGCTTATCACAACAAACAGAGCGAAAAGGGAGTTTGATGCTGTTAATAATCCTTGGCTAACCATGGAAGAACATTCCAAATCAAAATTCATCAATAGCTGTCTCCTAGGATCCGCCGGGCCAGCAGGGGGTGCTTGGGGGTTAGATCGAAAACTTCCCTGGCTAACTAGTTGATGGGTGCTTATCAGGGCAGTGATATAGCCTCCCCTTGCACAGGCCAGCGGAGGTTTTGACAGTACCAGCCTCGAGCAAAACTAAGCATAAGACCCTTTGAGCCTGGTTGCTCCCGTGCAATACGGGCTTTCCACACTTTGGCTGATCGCCGCCTGCTCCCCAGTGGAGGCGTCGACGTTGCTTTTTCCTGAGTCTCTTCGGTCCAACCTGTCTCTCAAGCAGCAGCAGCCCTGCACACCATCTCTCCAACCCGTAAGATTCGCTGAGAAATACGGGCGATGATGATCGAAAACGGGCACTTGTGTGATTGCCTACCCATATATCAGGCTGTTTCCCCAGTTGTGAACATAATATGCATGGTGCTGACATGCTGCACTTGTGTGTTTTGGGGGGATGAGGGCTTATCCTTCAACGGCTCCGGTTCTATCACTCCTCGCCCTTGTAGCTGCATGCAGGCACATACATACATAACACCCCAATCTATATATCAATCAGGCAGTCCCTGTCTTGCTTGCCCTTGTCCCACATCCTTGCTGGGGTCCGCAGGTTTTAGTGGCGGCTACTCCTTCTTTCTGCTCTATCAAGAGACGAAAACCACACGGTAAACACTACTCATATAACTAGTTGAAATAACTAGTATGAATACACTCTCGGCTCCTAGGTATGATCTGTCATGACCTCCGAAGCAACTACTTGTTAGCTAGTTATGCTTAGCAGCATAATATATATCTCCTTTTAGGGCCCAATTTCCAACAATTCTCATTCTTCAATGCCTGTTGGACACCCGATTATCTTTTCCTCGAGGACGGATCTACCCCCTCTACCCAGCTCGACGGATTCGCGCGCCTATTTCTTTGACTGATCCACCATCAATCTAAAAGGGTCGCACTCATTGCTGTACTACTCTGCCGTTCATTCTCGTCGCAACATTTCGCGCAGTTTCTCTATGCGTTTGGGGGAATTGGTGGTTGTTGAAGGCCGGAAATAACGAAGGTTATGAAAGATATCTAATACCTTGGCTGCAAAGAGGTTAGTATTTTTTTTTTTTTTTTTTTTTTTTTTTTTTTTTTTTTTTTTTTTTTTGATACCCTATCATGCGTTTGCTCTGTCGTCTGCCTCTTGTTTATTTCCCTCTTTTGGAGTTTCGAAGCGGGCCTATATGCCACGGGACAATGGAGACTATGGCTTTCTCCTCTTCATATTATCCCGCTTTCGAAGCCTCAAAATGATTGCGCAAGCGCCTTCTGCAGCTATCCATTGTTTGAGCAGAAGATTGGCCGTTGCCTATGAAATTGATTTATCTCATTTTTTGCTGGATGTCCCGTCGAGAAACCAATCATCTGTCGTGGCTTTTTGGAAACCTTCCACCTATTATGTCCTCTATCCATGCGTCCGGTACAAGCTAGCGATTTCTTGGAGCGTCGAAACAATGAAACCCTGGGAGCTTAGGGTGGAAGCAATTGCATTTAGATCTACCGGATGCCCCGGGGATAGGGGATGACGGCGATGACCTGCAGATGTTTTTTTGTCACTGTTCGATGTGCGGAAAGAGCTGACCTGATGCATGAACTTTAGAGGTGGAAAGACAGCAGCCATGACGATCATCGTGAGATCAGAAAGGCTCAATAACCTGGTGCCTTCTGCAAAGAAGATGAAGAAACTCCAGGCCAGGCAGTCAGCGAGCAGTATGCACTGGGCTAAGGATATATCTACGAAGCTCGAGACCAAAGTCCAGAGCAAAATTCACGTAAGCAAGGACAAATCCAGTGACATGGCTACTAGAGGCCGTATGACGACGACAAGCGCGAGACCTAGGGTCCCACCCCTGCCTCCTTATTCCCCTCTCGGAGGTTTGCAGGAGCTCTTCAAGGAAGTTGGCGGAGCCTTTGGGACTGGAAGGGAGCTCGAACGCGAAGAAGAAGGTGACGAAGAGCCCGAACTTGTTTCGCCAGTGACCCTTGCATGTAGATCCTGTGCTGCGACTATGGGCGGCAGTGTCGACGATAGGCTATGCGATGACAGCAGTATATGCTGCCTGTCCCCTGCAACTGTGACTACCATTGAGACTGGATTTGGCAGCTGTATGCATATTTCACCCTGCGCTGCTCACGAATCTCCCTTAAACGCAGCAGCTAACGAATCGGCAATCCTCCCTCTATCCTTCGATAACGATCTCACAAGGAAGCAAACTGTTTATTTCACGCTGGATAACAAAAACCGGGCCTCGTCTGACCCCAGATCACCAACATCTCCAACCTGTTGCTCCGCAACTACTTGTTCTTCAATATACCCCTGGTCCTCCTCAGTCAGCTGTACTGGCGAACAAACACCGCGGAATTTACCCCCAAAGGTAACTGTGAATGGGCCCTTATCACTTAACTCTGTGGACACTGTGATCTCCAACGATGAATACCGATCGGGGCATCCCACCCCTGCTCCCAACTTGAAAAGGAGATTGACCATTCGAGAATCAAAAATGAAGGCCCTGCCCCCATATCCGCCCCTGCCGGAGGCAGTACTCACTCAGCCCCAGGCACCGGGACAGTCACTCAAACACTCTATACAGGCTTCTCATTCTACCCATTCACCAAAAGCACTCTGCCTGCCCCAAATACCCCAAGAAAGCGATTTTGATATGCTTGATGAAACATTCCAGCAATTCAATCGAAGTTCATTGTTACCTTCTTTAGAAAAAGCAGCTGAAGACCTCGAAGCACAGCTTTTAGCGATACCGTCGACTAAAGGATCTCAACCAAACTCACGATCCCGTTCTCCCTCTCCCGCTTATTTGCAGCGAGCTATTACCGACACTGAGAGCGACCAGGAAGCCGTTGCTACCCCTGAAATCCAAAACGACAGCTCTCTAAAGATGGACCTGGCGCGCGGTAGTATCGAACGCCTTCGCGAGAGTATAGCGTCGAAACAAATGGCCCAGCTGACCCGCACGAAAAACCAGAAGGGCGGGCAGTCTGGTTTTAAGGGAAGATGGAGCCGTTTCTCTGCATTCTCAAAGAGAGGAGAGAGAGGAAAATCGAAGTCACAGCTGAATTTACCTTCTCCCAAACTACTTCCAATGCACACAATCAATCCGATAGAAAAGTTAGATTTTGGCTTGAACGTGGTCCTAGACATTCCTTCGGGCTTTGCAGAGCTCGATGCAGACCCATCACCACGAGAAGAGCCAAAGCCGACACAGGCTGCGCCCCGTCCACTGCGGCCGTTGGTCGACAGCGTTATTCTTCGAATATTCGAAAATGTCGGCTACTTTGACGATTTATTCAATTTAGCACTCTCGGCTCGTGCCTTTTACCAGGTTTTCAAAAAGAACGAGCTAGGTCTTGTTCGAAATACGTTATCTTTGATGTCCTTGCCAGCATGGGAATTGCGGGAGATGACTCCGCCATGGGATGATGACGGCGTCACTCGCCTTGCCGTCAGTGCGAGGGATGAGCCGATACCTGAGTATACCCCCCAACTATATCTCCAACATTATTCTAGAGACCTATATGCCATGGCAGCTCTGAAGTCCATGATTCTTGTGCACTGTGAGAGTTTCCTTCGATTAGAAACCTCACGGGCATTGGCAGGCTTGGATGAGCAGCGATCAGCGGAAATGGACGATGCATTTTGGCGTGTATGGACATTCTGCTCTCTCTTCGGCTGTGGGAAACGGAGAGAAAGCGATATCGAGGCTCAGGTTGACTGGCTCAGAGGCGGTATACTCGCCGAGTCTGACACCAGGCCGTCTGCATCTATCTTTAGCCCCATGCCGTTCATCAGCAACCTCCTGCTCGATCCACCTCAGGGATTTGCGAAAGGAAATAATGGCGGCTTAAGCACAGAACAACTATGCGACATGTCAGAGATTTGGACTTGCTTTGCCAACCTGCTCAGTGTTTTCCATGGCAAATGTAAAATGGCCCGCAAATACGGTGTCTTTGACAACAAGGATGTAACACCAGGGGACGTTACACATGAGGAGGCCTTGCTCGGTAAATCTTTCAACCCTTTCCTACCATTTACATGGATACAAAACTAATAAGCATAATAGAAGAGTGGACTCAATACCTTCTCACGTTAGGCCCTTATGCCGTCCTTACTCTCATTAGTTTTGCCCCTTCTACCCCGGTTGAACAGAAGTTTGCCCGTGCCAAATCGCTAGGCTGGACCCGTTGGCAAGCCCTTGTGAAATCAGAAAATGAGCCAGTCCGACTGTTCTTCAAAGAAGCTGTCTCGCGAGTTTGCCGAGATCTCCCTTCACGACCAAGCTCCCTTTCCTCTTCTAACCCATCATCGTATTCCTCCAGAACATCTCCCCAAAGCTCAAGATCAAAACGAAGTAGTCAATCGAGCATTACGAGCCAGAACAGTGCTCGTCGCCAAAGACAGGCCGGCTTCGCGGCTGAGCTTCGCAACAGAAAAGTATCGATCGACACAGGGCTGGGTATTGCCAACGCCATTCCCAATTGTGATGAGCGACCAACTCCAGTCTCTGAGGTGGCCGTTAACAAATTCATTTCCTCCGAATCAGGGACGCCATATCTCCATTCTACTCCTCGAATACCGGCGTTCAGTCCAAGAAACCAATCTCGATCACCCTCGAGCGTATCATCACCGCGACCAACACCGCCGCTAATAGAGGAGAAAATCTCCCAAGGCCGCCAACCAATGCCATCTACCAGCCGCCTTGCACTATATTACTCAAACTGTCGGGAGCCAGTGGTCCCAGACCCAGCTGACCTGGCTCTGCAAAAGATGGTGCATGAACTAGGATTTGACGAAGAAGAAGCCAAATGGGCTCTGAAACGAACTGATACCGGTGAATCAGTCGATATCAATGCTGCTGTACACCTCTTACTTGTCAAATCCAGCAAGGCGAATTCTTCGTCTGTGGAAATGGGCCTTAGACAACGCGAATCTAATATTCCACAGACAAAGGCAGATGAGGTCTACAGGCCTACTTGGAGATGGGCATAATAACTATTTTCATATACCCACATTGCATATATACATGCAGTTAGTTATATTTCCTATTTAAAAACTAACATACTACATTGGAGTGAGTTTACTGTCTCTCCTTGAACCAGTGAGGAGTTAATGTGTTTTCTTTGTTCTTTCTGCGTCTTTGCTTTGAATACTGGTTTGAATGCGGCTATATACCCTTTCCTATGTCTCGTCTTTCATTCATTTTTCCTCCTGGGAATAAGGGTGATGCGTGTATAGCTATATTAGCTCAACCCCTTACAACGTACAAATGATGGTGTGCTTGTCTCTGGATTTCTCTAGGTACAATATAATATGAATAAAAGGAGAGAAAAAAGTCTCTCTTGCTAGATTAGTACTCTACTTTCAATTTGAGCTATACTTCAAGCTCTAACATGGGGTTAAGTTAAGTCTTAGTACGGCGCTGTTGGCTGATTCTCTCAAAGAAGCCTCCCCCCCCCCCCCCCTCCTCCTCTCGACAGCGACGTGCCTACGCACGTCTTTAACGTGTATGACGTTTCAAAGGTAAAGGTTGCGTTGATTGTTCTTCTTCTATCTAACGGGATAATGTGGGCCGCACCGCCGTCCCAGCATAGCCTATGTACATAGTTGCAGTGGATAGGACAGCCGAGCCCAATACCAGGTGGACTACTCGTCCTCTTTAAGGCTAAGCTTGCCTACAATACTTTGAACCATCCACAGCCTTCAATAGGGAAAGGATCTGAAATATCGCTGAGCCTTTCACAATCCTGGCACCGTTCTTCGTAATGTTCTTCTTTATGTTGTACGAATCCTCGATTACGGACACAACATCCGCAGAATAGCGTGCAATGGGCGTAGTATAGTCTTTTATTAGGGTATTGGCCACGCGGTTTCATACAGCACTGACATGCCCTTGCACAGCAACCACCTCGCGCCTCGCATGCCTCCACTAGAGATTTCTGAGAAAGGTGTTTGGTCGGGTTATTAAGTAGAGTATTATAGACCTGGGAGATATAATTATCACGTAGCCTTACTCTAGGGCCCTGAGGCTTGCGTTGATAAAGGTCATGGTATTCGTTTATAAGAGCCCAGGCCTCATTAGCCTCATTCAATAACTTGTGTTGCCAGTCTCTAGGCCCCCAGTTATCCAGATTAGAAATCTTATCTAGCTTCCCTTGCGTAACGTATTCGATTATTATTTCTCTAAGGAATATTTGACGTTGCCTCCATTCATGGAGTCTCTTAACCAAATAGAGTCGTTCAACAAGCCAGTCACAATCTTTCTCATGTTCATCCGTGGACTGGATAGCCATCTTTGTCCGCCGAATCTTGTTAGAAAGCTCAAACATATGCATACGGTCAAATAACTGTTCGAGATTCGTGCTGGTACTAAATAGTATCATAACTATAAGTATGATGCAGCCGCCAGCAAAGAGTAGAACGTCGTTGCGAGCAAATTGTAACAGGCCTTCAATCTCCATTTTGGGAAGTTTATGAAGAAGCCCAGGATGCAAATATTGAAGACTATGTGAAATATAGTTGAAATGTGAGGTATTGAAGCATATTATAGGGCCTTTCTTAGGGTATGTCAATATTTTCTTCCGAGATATCACGCGGATTAAAAAAGAGAGGAGCGAAGGAGAAGAGGAGGTGTAACTTGCCCTTTTCTAAATCTTGCGTCAGGGTGACTATCGTCATATTTTTTGCATTTGGATGACGCAAGACACTTCAAACAACCACGGGTAGACCAGCTGGCCTAAGTATGTCTGGAAAAACTAAAGCTTCTTCATGGTTCTGACTAACCCAAGAGGCGGTACAAGTAAAACTTCCCTCTAGAGGGTATCTTGATTGACATGGACAAAGCAGATCCAGAAAACGGGTATATGTTCAAGCGTCAGATAGGGCAGTACCTTAGACGTCGACGGGAGTTCGCGAGAATACGTGGGAAGGAGAGAGACTTCGGGTGAGCCAGCGGGAAGGAAAAGGGGCGAGATTCACGGCCCAATCCAGAAGCGGATGATACAGAACTCGCGATAACCACCTAAGTTAAAAGAATACATGAAGGGCATTAAATTAAATAAACAGTCCGCTCGCTAGATGCAGGCTCGAAGATGTCGGTTTAAGCAAAGGCAATTTTCTCCCTGCTATGTTGTTTTATGTTAGGCTGGAAAACAGATACGATACCACATAAAAATTGATCTCACCTGAAAATTATATTATTTGGAACCAGGAGATAATCGAGTTTCTCAAGACACTAAATGTCCCGCAAAATACGGACAATTTGCAAAAGGCTCAAAATACAGGGTACGGGTGTTCTCAATGTCGATCCTAGGCCGTATGCTCAATGGTGTGGGATATTCATATTTAATGACGCCCTACCAAGAATGGCCAACATTTCTGATTTAGGTTGATTCAGGAGATAGTGGATAAACTGCTAGCAGGACTTTTTTTTTTTTTTTTTTCTTTTCCCCGTGAATTATTCAAACCTGCCAGAGGAAACAAATATGTATCCGTCACTGGCAGGATATGGGAGTAAAGGTCAAAAATCATCGTCCATTTCGTCACTGTCCCATTGGTCTTCCTGGTCATGCTGAACAAGATATAAAAATCGCTGCAACCCTCGCAGCTGCTCCGGAGGTACCTGTTCGTTATTTTCAGCTCCATGTTGGTTATTGTTGTTATTGGCACCTCGCCGTGGTTGTGCACGGCGTCGATTTGCATCGCCCCCACGCAACCCCAGCCTTGCTGGACCAGCTTCTTCTGCAAGTGGTGGTAGTCTGCGATTTCGGGGTCCAACTCTTGGAGGTACTGGTGCTGGTGGTGGGACAGCTAGTGGGTGCGCAGTATCATCTTCATCGTCACTCATCTCAATCTCTCCATTCACAATGTCCGGGTCTTCGATATGGAGAGGAGCTCCTACTCCGTCTCCACCCTCCAGCTCCCAGAGTCTCATATAGCAAGACGTCTTTTCAGTGTTGAAATGCGCGTACGGATTGTTTGCAAAGAGCCAGCTGGAGCACAGATAGCAGAAGTGGGTGTTGCACTGGAAGCATATCATATGGTTGCACCCCATAGACTTTTGACATCTTGCAGCACAGGTGGGGCATCTGGAGGTATATATGTCTAGGTAATCCTCGGATGCCTTTTCCTCCGCAGATAATTCTTTCTCCCTTCGAGGGAAACAAATGCTCGTCGGCCCATGCCAGCCTTTCCTGCAAACACTGCAAAATGCATAAGCGCAATCTTCACAGACAGCCAACCGTTCCGACATTGGTGGTAATTGCTCCTGTGCACCTAGCGGATCAAATGGAGCTGCATTATCTTCTTCCTCGTCTGAAGATTCTTCGTCGTTAATCAAGTCTACCGGTTTTGGATGCTTTTTTGAACGCGCGGCACCCTGGCACCACTGACGGGGGCAATAAATAGTCGTCTTATCTGACTCCAGTTTCTTCTTCCTCTTGAGCCGCGCATAGCGTTGTACGGTCTCGAGTGGAAGGGGTATTTGTATCAGCTCTCCAGGACGCAGAGTCAGGTCATGTTTTTTCCGTGGACCAGGCTGGCCATCATCAACTTTCTCCTTCCCACATCCAGGAGAAAGACATTTCACATTGTCAACATCACCATCCCTGATACATGAGTTATAAAAGTCCTGTAAACACTGGACACAAAATACATGAAGGCAACGCTGCATCCTATGGCATACCTTGCCCTTCTTTGGTTCAAGACACACTCCACATTCAAAGGTCTCTTGTTCAAACTCTTCTTTCCGAGCTTTATTTTCGAAGTCGAGCAAGCTTATCTTCAAGTTTTGTGGAAAGATGACCACATCCTTTGAGTCATTGTCTATACCCAGACCTTCTTCTGCCGCAACTTGGAGGTGGTCGATGTACGAGAACACGACCAGATTATTCCCTAATTCTTCCCAAAGCCTCCTTCCATCTTCGATTAATTTGTTGATATTCGAAATGGGAAGCCAGTTCAGGTCTGTCGATATCGAGAATGCGGGAGGTTTCTCGGCTGGATATCCTTCGGGGAGCTCGATTCCCAGGTTAAGAGAAGGCAGATGTGCGAGGTTATAAACTTCGTTATCTACATCCTCTTCAGCTTCTTGTGTTTCTTTTAAGCCACTTTCTCCCATTTCGACATCGCTGGGCTCAGCTGACGGAGGAGGCGAAGGAAGGCATGCGATGCTGGCCTCGGTGCTGGACTTCCGGAATATCACCTTTATGGGGTTCACTGGTATTATTGGGATAGTAAGGGATGCTTTAAATGGCGTAGAAGGGTCCACGACGATCTCGGGATAAATAGCCGCTATCGACTGAAGCTCCTGGCTTCTCTCGTCCTCGATGTCCTCGTCCATCGGCCCGGGTTGATAAACTTGACGTTCGTGTAGTTATATTATAACTACGAGTCAGAATATGAGTACAAGAGATGCAGTACCGAGACAGGTAACCCGGTCTGGCTTTCTGGCTGCAGCTGGAATGTACTGAATAACGCCCGATAAGAGCCTCAAAAGGGACTTTGGGCCTTAATTTTTTTGCCCCTCCGAAACTGGTGGGCTGTAGAGAGAAATCTCTGCTCGAATCTTGCAAAAAATAGTACGAAGAGACGGCTGCTGTATCTGCTGCGAGACGGGAAGGGAGTGATTGAACCAAATGGCACTTCTTCACTGCTGTTTCTGAGTATCTTGCTCGACTGTCTGATACTCTTGGGTTGCTGGATGACTGCTAAACTATTTGGCTCACCGAGGACCGCCTTGTCCTGTGCTTATCGATAAGCAGAAGCCAAAAAAGAAAACCCTGAACTTTGTTAGTCAAGCCGCGGCATCCTCTTAACTAGTGACTTTCACTCCGCCTGCTTTACTTGCCTGTCCTGCATACAATACAACTTGTACCAGGAGTGAATTCCAGGTGAAGAAGCCAGTGATCTATCTGTCTGCTGTCCAGGTAGCTGAGGACACACTTTATTCCTTCACTATGAAATATCTAGGTCATTAACTTGTTATTTAGCATATTGTTTCTGTCTGGTTGTTAAAGCCTGTTGTCTCCTCCGCCTATCTCTATGGTCACTCAAGGAATATCTTGGCCTAAGGATGGTTAAAGATTATGTCCCTGTGGCATCTCTGTCACTAACTCATGTAAACTATGTAAGTGGGATTACTATCTGTTCCTGAAAGCATCAAGACTTGCGCTGTACACTAATTCTTAAGAATAGAACCCCGAGGACCCTATCTCGTATATCTGCGCCTTTCTTGCTCTTGTCCCACAGGCCCTAATAATCTCCTATGTATCGCTATGCTGGGCTACACGCGAAGTGGAAATCATCTTCATGCTTGCTGGCCAGCTTTCTTGCGAAGTCCTAAATTTCGGATTGAAGAGATTGATTAAACAAGAAAGACCGAACCGTATTATCACCCTCCCCAACCGACATACGGTCAACGTTAATACACCGCTATACTAATTCAAGTTAGAGATGAATGGAAAGGGATATGGGATGCCTTCATCTCATGCCCAATTCATGGGATATTTCGCTGTTTTCTTCACCCTTTTCCTGCTTGTCCGACACACTCCCTCCGCATCCATTCGGTCCGGTTACCTTAGCATGCTCGAACGTGTCGGTCTAGCCTTACTAGCATGTGCGGGAGCTCTAGCCGTTGCTCTGAGCCGTATATATTTAAACTACCATACTCCGCAACAAGTGATGACTGGAGCTGCTATCGGAGTCGCTTATGGATTGGCTTGGTTTGGAATTGGAAGCTTCTTGCGGGAGAGCGGCTGGCTAGGGTGGGCCTTGGATCTGCAACCCGTCAGATACATTAGAATTCGGGACCTTCTTCCCCGGGAAGACCTGGCCGAGGGTGGCTGGCAACGTTGGGAAAGTATACGACAGCAATCCAAGCACCCCGCGAAACAACAGAGCAAAACATCCCATGTGGAATGATAGCGCTGCCAGAATGATACTTTAAAGATATAGATAGATAGATATATATTGGGCGTAGGAACCAAATGTCATACACCAACTACTCTTTAATAGCGATATGACCAGTACCTACAAGGTCTGCCTCTTTATTGAGAGCGTCGATCTCTGCTTGGACATACGGGATGCCGTCTTTCGCTCTTTCTTGCGAGGTTATGATTTCAATCTGACCAGGATAGTAGATCCTGTCCACCCCCTGCATTTTCTCGCAGGTAACAACCCGCTTATAGAGATAGTCCATTCTATCCTTGAACTCATCCAAGCTCAAAAACAAGTCAGGTTTCAGGGCCATTATAAAGTGTCCCACACCAGCCGGTTTTGATGGATCATACGGGCCAGTGACATGTCCAGCGAATGAAGAGCCAGAAAGCACGCCAGAGAAGACGTCCATCATGATAGAGAGAGCAGAGCCCTTGGGACCACCTATAGGCAACATGACTCCTCGAAGAGCCGCGGCGGGATCGGTAGTATGAGAGCCGTTTGCGTCCAAAGCCCAGCCTTCAGGTATAGCCTCCCCCCTACGATGAGCCTTGTATATCTTTCCCCTAGCAGCAACAGAAAATGCTAAGTCTAGGATGAAAGGAGGCGAGTTGGGGCCAGATGGTGCTCCACACGCGATTGGAGATGCGCCCATAAGCCTCTCCTTTCCTCCCCAAACCGGTAAAGCGGGCGAGGAATTGGTGAAAATGAGGCTCATCATGTTTGCATCAACGGCTTGTCTGACGAAAGAAGCTGACATGCCAAAATGGTTTGAATTATGCACTGAGACCATGCCGATGCCGAACTCCTTGGCCATCTCGATAGCGTGGTCCATGGCCATGGTGGCAGATATGAAGCCGAATGCATTGTGTCCGTCAACACGGGCGACTACGGGAGTAACCTGAGTCAGAGAAGGAGATGCTTTGGGATCTAGGACGCCCTGACGAATGCGTTCCATGTACGATGGGATGCGATTTATGCCATGGGTATCAACCCCGCGGAGGTCTGCGTCCACTAGGCATTTGGCAACAATAGAGGCGTTTGCTGACGGTACACCGTTCTTCTCGAGCACTCTTTGGACAAAGTCTTCAGCATCTGGCGCCGCAACCCTCTTCTTTTCTTGGTCTGCCATGGTGATTGACAACGGCGTGCCTGTTGATGGCGGAGAAATAACTAAGATTTATTACTTGAGTACGGAGGTACTGAGTAGCACCGGAGAAAGAGCATGCGACAACAACAGCAGCATAAATCATGCAATTAGGCTTGCAGCAGCTTCGACTCTTATAGACACCTACATTTACTCACTGGCTCTGATACCCTTGTGTCTCTCGGACTTTTGGCCGCTCCCAACGTTCCACTACTAGTGAGTTACCTTTCGCCTCATTTACCCTCCCGGAGTTCTTATTCCTTCGTTGGATGTCAACAAACCTTACGTTCGTTTGGGTTGCGGCTATTTCGGCCGGGTTAAGATTATATAAGCCCTTTTTTTCGGTGACTGTGATTACTAAGCAGTAATTAGGAATAATAATTTACCGGAAGTTTATGACTAAGCGTATATTTTAAAATGGAGGCAGTTGATTGGCTATATGGGAACGAGAAAAGACGAGTCGAGGAAAGCAGAGAAGAGGCAGAAAGCTGCTGCCATAGTCGCATATCGCAATCTTACCAGCATTTCAGACCAATTGTCAGGTTAACATTCCTGGCTTACACATTTCCACGCTTATTTTCAGCTAAGAACCCGGCAACATGTTCAGCAGCATTCTGCGCAGGCTACAGGGCGGGAACCTGGAGGTTTTCAAGGTAAGCGATAGAGCACATCCGTTGTGCTATGTTGGATCATATTCAGCTGTTCTGGTAGACTGTATTATCATATCTTAGACTAATGGGGTATTTGCTCTAGTTCGGTCTCTATATTGGCTTCCCCATAGGATGGATGTACTACTTTGGCACGAACCTGGAAGAACGCTTCAGTGTCCCCGACTTCTGGCCGACCACTGCACACTCCCATAAAATACCTGCAGACAAAGGCGAGATAGACAAGGAACTAGCCCGGATGAATGAGCAGAGAGCAAAGCGATTGCTTGAAAAGCAGAGAATCCAAAAGGAATTTGAAAATATTGCAGCAACCTCGAATTCGACAACGGAATAATGGTGCGTGTGCATCCATGTATGGAGAAGGAAGTGTTGTTTATACATTGTATCATACACCTATTGTACATTTGCGGGCGTTTGGAAGGTTTTATGGAGTTACACTGGGTGAAGGAGCTATTTCGAGCTCGGGTTCAAACGACTTATGTCGACGGCATAAAACTTGCGCGAAACACAAGTTGTGCATAATCTCATCTCAAACACCACCAAGTTATATCTGTGAATTTGGAATAGGACAAATTCAGGAGCCTAGGGGATGGAGCTGGAAAAAGGGTGCCATACAGCAATCAATAATATACTATATACAAGAATCACGGCATTATACCACATGTTCGCCCAAAAAGCGCCGGATATCCGCTAACAGTAACTCACAACAAACGGCTGCTGTCGAGAAGCTCAACGCCGTCAAAAAGAACATAACTTGGAAAGAGAGTCCAGAAAGGAGAATTAGGCACACGTAAGTGCAATTAAAAGGTATAACGTAAACAAGTAGAAGTAATCCATGGGCTCATATAAGTCGCTAAATCCAGTATCACTCATAATTCCTTCAATGCTTCAGCTGTTGTGGCGGCGGCAGTTGCGGTAGCGGTAGAGAGTTTCATGTTAGCAGCGTGTAGCGCAATCTGGTCAGCGACGGGCTGCCCAGCCCAATAATAGTTGATATGTCGGTATAGAGAAAGGACATGGTCAGGCAGGTATATGTAGGCGGCAGTGATGAGCATGGAAATGAAAAGGATAAGGATGGTATCTAGACAGTGGATTGTTAGCCGTCTGACAACCCAAGGAGGGAGGTACCGAAAGATGATTAAGGTATACCATGGTCAGACTGTACTTACTGAAAACTACTTTCTCTATAGGGGTCAACATGTATAGTGAGAATGTCACTTCATACTGGTAATTCTTCAGTCGGAGCCACCGGAAGAAAGACATGAAAACCCCTGGAGATGCCGTTCCTTGTGACATGGTGGACTTGGTTGGCTTGACAAGCGCCGCGTTCTTGGGACAGCTTTTTGGTTCGTGATATCTGTTTGGTCCAATGAAACGAATAACTCCGTCGCATAGAATAGAAATGAAGGACTTGATTGCTTAAATTGCGCATTTGCTGTGATTGTTGTTGTCGCGAGAACTTTTGGAGGTAAAAAAAGTTGCGGCAAGATCCTTGCTGAGTCAGCAAATCTAGCTTATCACTTCGATTAACCTCCAAGTCGAAGCCAACAACAACAACAAACAACATATCACCCGCGGCGTGGCGCTGCCTGCCATACTGTTTTGACTCCCTTGACACTATACAACATATCTTACAACGCCCCAAGAAATTGATAGTCGTCCTGAATACATTATATCAAACCAATACCACTATGTTAGAGCTTATGTTTTCTCTTCATCTAGATAACTTAGCACTATCTAGAAGATCAAACTGCGTAAGCCGACTATGTGCTCCATTTTACCTGCCAGGATGTAGCTATACCAAAAATTTGTGACTACTCTGTACTATATAAATGTTTCTCTGCTCTATGAACGAGTATAGAAAGGGGTTGATGACGTAAGCATCCGTCTCTGTTCAATTTATCAGTCACGTCTATGTAGGCATAAAATTAGCCAATAAAGAGTCGTTAATAGGAAAGCTAAATGCAGTCAAGTGATTTATTGGTTTGCTGGAGGAACGTGGAGCCTAATTAACCAATAATAATTATGCGTAGTCACAATTTCAAAGTTTAATATTTTGGTCTTGCTGGGAACGACTAACTACCGCCTCAGACTCGGTGGAATTAAACCATAACTATCAAACAACATCTATCCATCACCGCGGTTGATAGCCAGCATCATGTTCAAAATATACCCACAAACTCCATTTCGACATATATCCAAACGAACGGCTCAATGGCGATTAATCCAATATCCTGGCCATGTGCGTTTCTTTCAGGCCTCGCCCCTATCATTAGCGAAGCAGATGCCTCCACGCCCAACAATAGACGACTCTGAAATAACTGGAACCTATCTCAAAGGATCAGGCCCAGGAGGCCAAAAAATTGTCAGTAAATCACTCACTCCACGATCGTTAGTTGTCCTTCACAAACTAGATGTTTCACCGATTGGGATGATCAGGTGCATATATGATTAGCAAGACGGCTCTGTAATAAAAGATATACAATCAATAACTGAAATATATGGTAAAAATATTTACTTACTATGTCCCAGAACAAAACAAGTTCGGCCGTACAACTTATTCACATACCAACAAACACGGTTGTGAAATGTCAAGCAACACGTTCCCAATCACAGAACCGGAAAATTGCGAAAAGGATACTGGCTGAGAAGATAGAATTGCTTGAGAAAGGAGAACAGAGTCGAGCAGCTATTTTGAATAACGTGAAGAAGAAGAGGAAGGCGAGTAAGATGAAGAAAAGTAAGAGGAAATATCGGGCTTTGGAGGAGGAGAAGAGAAAGAAAAGGGCGGAAGCTGGATTGGAGGGGAAGGGAGAGATTTGTGAGGGCGAAGCAGATAGTATAGAGGAAGTTGAGGAAGCAGGTAAAGTCAATGGAAAGGGTAGCGAAGAGAAATAATTTGGGTTCATAGCGAGTGTTCAACTAGTTGTTATATATCTTGGGAATTAGATGTGTTATTGACTTGGGCTCGGTCTGGATATGATTTTGTCTTTTGAACTACCTGGATTCTTCTACATCGTCGTCACCGTCATCAGTATCATCATCTGTGAACATATAAGGGAATAAACATTCATCCTTATTTTGAAATCAAACTCTGGTATCTCAGGCAAGAAATTGGCCGTCTAAAATTCAAATCATGAAAGATCCCTAATCTATGCGAGAAGTTTGGCCAAACCTGGTAAGATCTGAGGATCTAACCTCTCTTGAGCGAAGTTCTGAATCTTTCCATTATTCTTGCTGTTCTGCTCCTTCAGGTAAGTAGCAACCCACTGGCCGACTTGCGGGCCAGTCTCTGGCCAAGGGTCTCTAGGTGGCATCTTAATGGTTGTTAGCTGGGTGAATCCAACTCCAAATGCCATGTCTTCAACATCATGCTCGGTTACAATGTCGTCGCCAGTGGTAGGCAGGATCGGTTGGTCGAGAAGATATAGTAGGGCCTCGCATGTGAAACCCCATCCCTTCTTGTACCGAGAGGCGAAAGCTTCAGAGTGTGCAAGAGTTTTGGCAAATGAAATAATTGCAATTTTGCGATCAAGAGGGCGAGCAAGCTTCCTCGATTCCGGAAGGATTATGCTAAGGTAAATGGGGGTGAAGACACTGGAGAAATGTTAGGAATTTACGTAGTCACTAATGATGAAAGGTAGGGAGAATCAAACCCGTTTTGAATATTTTCGGTGCATTGAATGAAGAAATCTGCTCCGTACCCATTCTCTAGGTGAGCTGAGAGGAAGTGGTAGAATCGAACAAAACGGAGTGAGAAATTTTCAGTCTTCGAGTTCTGAAGTCGGGTAAGGATGATCTGAAGGATTGTAGGGAAGTAGCTTTGTAGCATAGCCCTAAAATGATATGTAAGTCGGATGTTGAAACAGGGTTTCAAGGGTAGTTTATGGACGGAACTTACGAGGGGAATGTCGAAATCACAGTTTCCAAAAGATCAAAGCCATAGCTTTCGTTAATTTTGGATGAAACCAGCTTTTGGAAGATCCCTAATATGGGCTCAATTTGGTTGTTTTTGCTCAATATATCCGCCCCACGTCGAACGATAGCTTGCAGCAGGCGAACTAGTGCAGGAACATTTCCTTTCTGTTCCCACATAACGGGTGCAAGAATGGGGGCAATCATATCCTTGAAGTAGTCTGGAAATGAGCCAGTGGGGTCTACTTCAAGTAACGCAGCAAGCAGCTGGAATATATATGGCATAAATTCTGCAGGATGTTATTATCAGAAGCATATGGATAAAAAATCGGGGTAACTTTCCTGACACATCATTCCTCAAGAGAGTAAAGAACGGAGTATACAAGGCCTGACCAAGCTTATCTGGTTGGGAAGGCCCAGTAAATCTAACAAAGAGGTGAGCAATTTACCGCGCAATTAATTAATTATGATGCATTATATCATACCTTATGAGCGCGCCCAGAGCCTCAAAGTGGTAGTAGTAAAAACGTGGGTTGCTTGGGTTGGAACTAATAATCTCAGTAATCCGGATGAGATGATTGAGAATGGACTCTGTCTGGGGAACAGCAGCATCCTTGATTACCACAAGAACTCGCATGATGCACTTCATGATAAACTCATTCTCCTGAACTTTAGGCGCGGATGACTCTTTCTGAACTAGCTGGAAGAGATGCTCTAGAAGCTGTCCGGCCAAGGGAGTAATATCACTTGCTGGCACGATTTGAGCACCAGAAGCATCGGTAAGGACGAAGACTCTCTCAACAGCAATTGCGGCATAGGTGTATACCACGTAGTCTGAGGATGCGAGATGCTTCACTAATAGAGGCATAATCTCCCGCCACTGATCCTTGGTGATGATGCTTCTAAATGAGTAGAGGTACTTGATGGCATCCACCTTCAAGATTGGCTGCACACCAGTCTCGGCAACTAGATCGGAAGCGATATTCTTTTGGAAAAACTCGGTGATGTTGACATGGGAGTTGATAGTGGTGACGCCGTGACTTGCGGTTGCAACGCCTTTAGCGGCAATGGAGGAATACAGGTAAACTGCGGTATCTTTAGACTTCCAATTGTCAGATGGAGACTTGGCATAATCAGCCAAGTAGTGCTCGACGTATCTTAGTACCACTGTGGTGACTAAATCCTCGAAATTCTGGAGAAGCTGTCGGAGGAAATCGGTGGCAGCTCGTCGTCTTGTATCACTGTCAGAGCCCTCAAGATCTCTTCGGATAAATTCGATGGGTTCATCCTCAAACATTTCCACATCAGACTCTCGAAGCGTGATGTTAGGTAAGATGACCTTCTCGGTGACCTGACCTAGGGTTCCTTCGTTCTGGAATGCCGCTGCGTGCTCCGAAATCTTTGCAATAGATGTCAAAAACTGCAGCGCTTTGCTAACCAAGATATCATACTTTGTCTCCTGGCCAATTGTGGTAAGCAGATTCCATGAGCTGCCAATGAACTGTTCAACAAGCGAGCCGAAAACATCAAGGTACTTTTGAACATAGAGGGTGAGAGCTTCAAAGGTTCCTGCTTTGACAAATTCCAGTACACCAGACTCCGAATCATCATCTGTGTGTAATAGCTTGTTGTCGTACATCAAGTATTTTAGGAACAGTGTCGCAATTGCTCCTAGATTCTCTTCGAACATGGGAGGCAAGTCATGGGATGAAAGGTCATAGAACAGCTTGATCATGAGGTTGAGCTGGGTAAACCCGAGGGTGAGGTTCTCCTTGTTGTCCTTATTCTTCTCAATGTATGCATCAAGAGACTACGATGTATTAGTGCAACGGCAATGACAGTTTAAAGTTTTAAAGCAACTCTTACCTCGAATAAAGCCAAGTATGGTAGTCCGAATTTCCCAAGGACATGGTTGATCTCTCTATAGAGGTCATCAGAGCGGAACAGGGGCCGCCATCTCTTGAAGATGGAATGGGCTACTTGCAAGACACCGATGTTGGTCTTGATATTCTCCGGTGACAGTCGAGATACAAGGTCCTGAGGCGAAAGGTTAAATTAGCTATCAACGCTTCCATATGTATATCGTATAGGAAGGGAAGACAAACATCGACCAGTGTGTCCCATCTCTCCCAGAAGTCACTGTCTGCAATGACACTGACTGCTTCTCCTAGCTGAGATTGTATGCCTGTGGGCACAGATATCATCAAGCTTATCAGCTCCTGCTTGATGGTGACGACATCGTTCTCCGGTAGCTTGTACTGGCCCTCTTCGTCGGTCCAATTCCTCTTTATAAAGTTCTTGAAGCAAAGTGCACTGGCAAGACGGGTGTTGTATGCAAAGGTCTCGGATGCTGTGATATGCAGAAGTTGGAGAGAAAACCCAGGCTTAGCTTCCTCTTGCTTCAAGGCAGCCTCGGCTAGAGAATGTAACCACACATCAGCTTCTTCATCCTCGTAATATACAGGGCTGATCAAGGAGCTAACCTACCCTGTTTGTGCTGTCGAGGATCCAAACTGGCCTCCAGAAGCTGCGCAATTGGAGCTAGATTGCTAGCCATGGCGGGGGTAGATCTGATCTATAAAAGATAACGGAACAAGGGAAAAGCGACAGGGTACTCTCGTCTGAGGCAGATGAGTGCGAGTACTTTCCAGCTGACCAGACAACCTGACGCCCCTTGCTATGTTGCTGTAGACTGGAGAGAAAGAACGTGTGGTTCAAAGCTGGGACGTAGATCTTGATATCCTTCTTTCTTCGTCTTTCTTTTCGATCAAAACAAAAAACATCAAGAGGGGATGCTTATGTCATATATTAGTCACTTGATTAGTCATTCATTAATCAGACGGCCCGGAATAATAAATATCCGTCCTCCCCCGGATTCGCCACGAAAAAAAAAGAGGCCGTCGAAAGTTTCAACTCTTTTTCTTTTCTTTCGTCGACTTCGTTGCTTTTTTCTCTGCTTATGACCTGATATTTTTTTTGCCTGTTTCCTCTATTCTTAGCTTAACGGTGACTGTTTTGCTGCTTTGATAGCTCCTATAAAGCTGCTTGTTTGAATAGGTGAGCAAAACTAAACCACCCCGCAATTCCCTTCCTTTGGGCTGGCTATCTTTGTCTTGCTATCAAGTAGCGCGCTTGGCGTGGACTTTGGTAGTTCAAAACGCCATTTTGATAGGCATGACCACTGTCTTGTTAATAAGCTGCTGACCAGGTCACAGTGCTAGAAGACATCATCGCCGGCTGCAGATTGATCCTGCTCCCCTGTCCGATATAAATATATAACAGCCTAATGTCCAAAGACCTTACAATGTTGGCGTGGATATAGGAAACCTGGCCTTTTATCCTTAGCTAACAAGCTGGACAAACCCAAAAATTCACAATATCAATACCAACAAGAGACAGGATAGAAGGAGAGAAAGGGATACAAGCGACGCTCTACGACTAAGCCTACGACTAAGCCTAGCAGTGAACAAGCTATCCTGTCACTGTCCTGGCCATCAGGACCTTGACTCATTCGCCCGTCAGGGCGGATGTCTTCCGACGATGTCCCCCAAGCGCCACAAAACAAACCGTCTACCTCATCCTTCGCCGACGTCTTCAAGACCCTCGCGGTAGGCCGTCCCAAGTCGCAGTCACCGGTTTTACATGCGCAGAACGCGGGAGGCGCGTTGTCACCCGACATGGAAGGCAGACGTGGCAGCCGAGTGACGTTCGGATTCGAGGCCCTTCATCGAGGCAGCGTGGCTGCGGGTGCGTCCGATGCATCGAACACGCCGAGTTTCGATACGATCCTTCATAATCTAGCGGCGGACCAGCCTCTCCAGAGTGCTGCTGACGAGGCCGAGAAGGCGGTGCGCTATCTACACGGGTTCAGTGGTGACCAGGTTGTCACCCTCTGGGAGCAGGCTGCCTATCTCATCGATCACCCAAGTTCATCGGAAGCACGTACCTCAGGCGGCATTCTGCTGGAAAATGTCTCTGCCCGCCAGGATCTGTCACTAGCCGGCCGCAAGTCCCTCTTTCGCTCTATCTCTCAGCCCTCACATCCGGATGTCATTGCTCGTCGAGTGAAGGCGCTTATCTCCCTCTCAGATTACGGGAGGAAGTTTGATTTCACCGATGAGCCCATTCTACAAATAATTGCTGCATGGATTGTACCACTTTACGAACAAACCGCTGCTATACGATCGAAGATTAAGCGGTCCAGAGGACAGAGACCCAGCGGTGCTACTCTCGATGAGGCTATCTTGGGCGAATTGTTTCAACATATTGTCGATGTCGTTACTCTACAACGCCACCCCCCTGGGCCGGAGGTCATCGAACTCGTTCTCGACCAGATATTCACTGTTTGCAGAAAGACAAGTGCTGCCGTGGATATTAAAAATTCCCTAGTTGTCTTCGATGCCATCATCGCCACTTGTGGTGTCCCTGATGAAAGCTTCATTCCTTTACTCGAAGTCTTGTGCAGCATTCACGCTTCGGTCAAGTCGTTAGCAGGCCCAACATCAAGAGCCGTCCGAAGTCTTGCCAAGTCTAGCAAACAGTCAGATATGATACAGAATCTTCACACGTTTCTAATGGAGACTACCGAACGGCCTGACAGGAACCTGAACGTCACACGCGGTGCTGTTGACATTTTCCGTGATTTACTGGTTGCATATGGTCAAGATGGGATGCCTACGATTGACTTTGAGCCCCTCATCGCCTCTCTGCACCAAGCTTCGCTTCGAAAGGACGGCCGTATTGATACAGACATCCTAGAAGTCTGTCTTAACGCGTTACAGGGTGAATTTTCACAGGTCGCCCTCCAACATGACTGGTCAGAGTTTGTTAATGTCATGCTGGCTTGCTCAGATCGAGCCATCGACAATATCACCGCCCCTACCTCTCCCACTTCAAACTTCTCTCCCGCCCCCCTCCCAGCGGCATCTACCCCTCCCTCTAAAGCCTCCTTGGCAGATGACATACGCTCCAACATAATCGCCAATCTTACCCGCATTTCAGCTTCTCTGGAAGCCCTTTGGCCGAATTTGAGCAAGTCTCAAAAGCTCGAAGCATGGCGTTTGTTGGCTGACACCCATAAGCACCTTACCCATTCTCAGGCAGAACTGGCTATACGTCTATTGGGAACCGAAAGACTGTGCCATCCATCTGCTTCAGATGGTTGGATCACTTACTCCTGGAAATTGGTGCAAGATTACATTTTGGACCGGGAAAAGGCCCCCGAAACTCGCATACTTGCTTTGGCAACTTTCAGAGATGCATATTTCAGTGAAAATGCTCCGGGATTATATCTCAAGGAGGGTCTTGTAAGTGCCCTTACCAAGGATTTTACCGAAGAAGATTCGTACCTGTTTCTTCAGGAATTGGTAGCTTTTCTGGTGGACGGGACTGCCAGCTCAGACGAAGATACACTCAACCTCATTGTCGATACCCTAAGCCAGCCCATGAATGCGGATGAAAATACAGACGACATGTCCCCTTCCGGGACCAAGCCGGTTCCGCACTATGTTTTGGCCTCGGACACGCTTGCACCGTCTCTTAGTGACGCGACGACTTGGGGACTCATCCGCATCTTCCTAAAAGGGCTGGAGACCAAATCTCAAGTCGTCCTGAAAGTATACCAGAAATTAATAGACATTGCGTTGTCGACGAGCCGGCCTTCTGATTCCCGTCTCTCAGCCCTCCGACTACTTTTCCGGCTTCGATGCGATACCTCCGGCGTTGTGCACATTGCATCTTTCATAGACAATGGCCACTTGACTGCGAGCATGCTGCGCACTGCTGAATCAACTAAATCGACCGCAAGTGAAGAGTCATCTACAGAGCGCTCAAAAGATAACGATACATCATCCACTCCTAATAGCAGATCATCTCTCAAAGACCATTCCGTAACTCCGATAGGAGGCCATAGCCATCGTGTTATCTCTCGACGTCCATCGCGATGGGTTGCGCCAATATGGGCATTTGATGACCAGAGCAAGCTACCTGACATGACGGTTCTCAAGCTAGGAAGCAATGTTTACGCATTTAAAGCACAAGGCAAGGAAGGAGAACAAAAGGGTGAAGAGCAAAAAGGCGAAGAGCAAAAAGGCCAAGAGCAAAAGGACCAAGAGCAAAAAAGTGACGAGCCAAACAACAATGATAAACATAATGCCACCATCGTATTGAAAGTTAACCTCTGGGCTGAGGCCATTATTGCTCTTCTCCAGCGCGAGAAAGACTGGGATATCTACAGCTATGTTTCTGCTCACGTCAGTGCTCAACTTGCTAATCGGGACTTTTTCCGTGCAGCGATTCCCCAAATTACGCTGCTTCGAAGTGTTTTGTGCGAGCAGATTAAAAATGAGAGCTTCCCTGAACCACTTGGATGGACAGGAGTGAAAAAGAAGGATATTGCTATCTGCCTACTGGAAGCTCTGACAATGCTTATCAGCTTCCATGCGCACTTTGCAAAGGGCGAGCAGGACGAGCTCGTTCGCTCGTTTATGTACGGAATTGGATCATGGGAGGGTACGTCTCGTGGATGTATTCATGCGCTGAGCGTGTGTTGTCACGAAATCCCCTTGTCGGTAACAAAGTCATTAAACGCTATCCTTGACAAGATGTCTAAGGTCATTACCCGATCCCACATTGCGGTTCATATCCTTGAATTCCTCGCTCTACTTGCCCGTTTGCCCGAAGTTTACGTCAATCTCCGTGATGAAGAGATCCGGACTGTATTTGGTATCTGCATTCGTTACCTCCAGACCTCGAGAGAACAACGATACAAGAATAGTGAGGCTG